GGAGGAGGAGGAGGAGGAGGAGCTTGAGATACAGGAGGGACTTGTGGACTCCTCTCTGAAACACAGACTTTGGAATTAAATATTTTGTATAACTCTTATCTCAAGGTGCCACAATATCTTGTGTTGCCACGCGACAACACTGAGCCCATCTTTACTAATGAGTACTGTGATTCAGTCCAAAGTTTCAATGCTTTATTGTTACATGACCTTAAGACAAGGTTTTAGCCAGAAGGGTGTCTAGCTGTCCTATGGATGCCCATTTTTGGAAGAAATACAAGGAAAATTCACTTAATCTCTTACAATTCTGCTGGAAAACATTCCTTCTGGATGGCCAGTTTTCAATGTCTGGCTTAAAGCTTGCCTTAAGACCAGAGTTCATTATACAAATCAAAGACAATGTTCACCACGAATATGCACAACACTCAGCCATACTGTTTGGTGCTTCAGTTTTCATTTAACATTTCATTACTTCTATGGATCAAAATTAAATAAAGTTCTCAATAGATATTAACCCCTTACTAACCAACTTCCTCTAAATTTCAAACTTTAGCATTCCACAGGGTACAATAATTAGAATGAAGACACTAAACAACTTGATGCCATTATTTTTAATGGTAAAATTCAACATCTTGGTGGAGGAAGACCCATGAACTATACAGTAATCCAGAGTTACGGAATTGTAGAGACCATCATTATTATACATGACATGTAATAATATGTTTATGTACATCATCATATATCACAAATGTCATTTACATGTACACTATTGTAATTTTAATAAATTCAAACAGGAAGAACAGCCCCACTCACCGTCATGTGCATGCCAAAGGTCATCACGATGTCGGCTTACTGGTATAAAGGACTGCGTAGGTGGGGGGCCATGTCTGTGTGTAATCCATGGTCCTGGAGGGGCTGCTCCTCTGTAATGAGGTGCACCATGGAGGATCCTCTGTTCACACTGCATCAGCTGAGCCAGAGCACTGTCATGACCAGGAGGAGGTGGAGGAGGTGCCCCAGGGGTGCGATATACAGGCTGCCTTGGACCAGCAGAGCATGAGCCTGTGATCAACCAAGATATTTTTTTTCAAATAGGCACTTAGGAGCAGAACACCACTTATAATACAAATGCCAGCAGTTCTAAAATGCATTACAGTGAAAACTGAGAAACAAGTGGCTTGTCGGAGGTTTTACCAAAACCATTGAACATCACAAGAGTACAATTTATTGCAACCTTGCGGGATCACCATTTAGGAAATGAAACCTGTCTGTCAGCAAAAGCATTTGAGAAGGAAGCTTTACACCTTGTACCCTTGAGTGTGAATTGGACAGCATTGCCCTTAATTAGCAAAACTATTTTTCAAATATACTTAAAACAAAAATAGCTGTGATAACACCATTGTCAGACAAAAGTTTCTTACCACAAACAGTGTTTTTTTTGCACGCTTTTAGTAGAAAAAGAATATGTATTTATAATATGTAGGTTTCATGGACATGTGATTGCCCGCAAAATTCTATTAGACCAAACAAGACCATTCAGTGAACCACTGTTTCATCAGAAATAAATGTTATTTTTTTCTTCTGAACTCTTAATAAACTAATAATAGCAATCTTTTTCACATTCATCACTTACACTGTCCGATGCAGTGTCCATGCGGAGGAGGGGGATAATGCATACCATACAGCATGTACCCCGATGTTGGGGGTGGGTAGTCTGGGTGTGGATGCATGTGCCCTGGTGGAAGGTGAATTCCATGCGCTGGATGTGGTCCATACATGCGCTGATGATGCGGGGTTGCACAACATGACCCCGGCATGGGAGAATAAATCAATGGTGGGGGTCCAGGTGGTGGATATGCCTCTCTAGGGTAGGGTGGGGGTGGGTTAGCTGGTGGTGATGGAGTTGGCAGTGCATGTGGAGGAGGCGGGGATGAATGAGGCTTTGTGACTTGAAAAGCAGATGGTGAATGTGCAGCAGCTTTTGCTTCACTTTGACGTTGAGCAGACAACTTCCCTGTTATTTGATCCAACCTAAACTTCTTTGCCTGATAGGTCTGTTTCTTGGGAAGAGGTTGATTTTCAGGTGGTATTCCTGTGGAGCTTGTAGGGCTGATAGAACTGGCTATGGTAGTGGTAGAGTTTTGGGTAGAAATGTTTAAGGCAGTTAACCCTGGCTCTGGTATAGATACTTCAGCTTCCTCCTCTGCTTTGACCACTGGAGGAGCAGATTTGTCCATGTCCATAAAAGCCATAGAATAACCATACCCTCGTGGACTGATTGACGATGATCTTCCTCCCTTAAAGCTCCTTCGTCTTTGCACAGTTTTCTCGCTCTTGATGTTTGGTTTTAAGGAGGAAGTCCCTTTGGGTGGTGAACTAACCCGAGGGGTTTCAGTCTGTTTTGGTATCTGCTTAGTTTCTGCTTGCTTACTGGCTTTTAAATGACTAGCTTTGAAGCCCATTTTCAGAGTTAGCCCAGTCTTATTTTTGCGAGACCTTGACAATCGTTCTGCTCTGGACAAAGTCCTTTTAATCTTAGGTCCCTTGGAAATTTTCATTTTATGCAAAGTGGATTGTGCAGGTTTGGAGTCCACAGAATGATCTGTCTCTGTGTTTGGAACAGTGACAACTATTTTTAAAGAATCACTTTCCTCCTCATTAAGCTCCATTGAAGTATTAGGTTCACCAGCAGTGGTATCATTACTAGATTCACTTTCCTCCATTGATGGAACACTAGCATAAGGCTCCAGTTTTACCTCTTTACGTTCATCACCTTTATCAAATACCACATTTTCATCTTCCATACTTTCAGATGTACCTTCCATGGGATCAGCCAACTTATTTGTAATATTCAACATGCTTGCATTAATAACATTATCTTTGTTTTCACTTTTTAAACTTATTTCACAAGTCTCCTTGGTTTCTTCATTCCAAGAGGAATTGTCAGCAGATCCTTCTTTCGGAGGCATATCTGCTTCAGTGTCTTCATTCCGAGTTTCACCAGATAACTGTAAAACATTTGATGCAGGAGGATCTTCTATTTTTATTCCCCCATCTTCAGTCTCTATCTTTTCATAACTAATAACAGACTCTGCTGATTCATCATGCTCTTTATCCTCATGTTTGGTTGTGGCAGATGTAATAGGTTCTCTTATGTGAGTAAAGGGAACTTCTGCTGTGTTCTTTGTATCCTTCTTTACTGATTGCCTGACAGTTTTATTTTCATCAACCTCTTCAGGCTCATTCTTCACAGCTTTTTCAACAGTCATTTCTTCCACTACTCCACCCTCCTGGTTTTTCTCACTCCTTCAGTAAAACACATAAAAAAACACAGCAAAAAATAACTTTGATCACGTTAAAAGAGAAGTATGGTGTACTTAACAAGCACAAAGTGATAAACACCTAAATGAGGAGACAGAGGGTACGAGTAAGGCCATACAAGACCAAGCTTTAAGAACCAATAGTATAATTAAGAGGATAATTGACAAGTAAAATGTGTTGGCAATTTGTAGAGGAGGTGGTGGCAAAAAGAGGTTTAACTTTAATGACACTGCTACTGCCACTACTACCACCACCACTGCTATCACTACTACCACCACTGCCACCACTACTACCACTAACACTACTACTTTTACTGCAACTGCTACTGCTGCTGCTGCTACTACTTCAACTAATAATAATAATAATAACTATTATAATGAAGGTGTTGTTTTTGTTAATAATTAAAGAAATTACAAGGCAATTGCTATGAGATTATCATAACAACTTATTGACCGTACAGTGCATAAATAATTTATGTCATAAGAGATGGTATTATTATTTAGGTCTTAGAGATAATTACATTTTGTCTGATTCCAGAGTCACTTCATCAACCTCAGGCACTTCACCAGCTGGGCTTGACATACTGGACTCACTGACTGGTCCAAATTCATCTCTGCTGCAAAGAACAAGACACTACCTCAGTAGGATGTAAACTTCTACCCCATTCTTGAATCCTAGCTATCAAGTTTGGGTTTTACAGAAGATACAAGACTCCTGATCCAGAACTTACTACACACCCCAAGGGTCCTCAATAGAGGCCGGCACCTGGCAATTGATCACCGCCTAATTTGGAATTTGTAGCCGCTTACTTTACATTCTATTAGCTGCTTTTCTCTACTCCGTTTGTGCTCAAGTCTTCTATCTATTCCTTTCATCTGATTTTAAGTTTTCCTTTTTCCTATATTGTAAATTATAATCGAAAAAATTGAGACCAAACAAGTGAACTTGCTGCTGCTTCCGCACTTCACAACAGCAATGTTTTAACCACATAAACATTCGGGTATGCGACATTCACTTTGGCCCAGCCCTTCATGATAAAACATGGTAATGAGTTACTCAATTTTAGACACACTTTATTATTATTAACAATTCACATTTACATAGAGCCCATTTCCGCCCGCAAATAGCAGGTGCTAGTCGAGGCAGGCGGAGATAATCGGTACAGCAGACAGACTGTCTGTAATAAATTACAAATAAATAGATAAATAGATATGTGTAAATAAGTGAAATAAAGTTAAACATGAATTAATAACATTTAAAAAATCAACTACTTGAAACTCGTGAAATTAACTCCAGTCCTACTCTGGTTAAAATAACTAAAAGAGACACATGGCATCGCCAAGAATACTTTATTGAATTTGTAAAAGGAATTTTCTAAGCATTAGAATTAAGACTGTATTCTATAATACGTAAACTTCAAGTGATCAGTTTTTTCCTGTGGTAAAAGTTGTAATAGTCGTAGTTGATGCCCAAAATGGCCTCAAAACTGCATTTCAGAGTTTGATATTTTAAACTTTGTCTTACTCTTGTGTCTTTCCTTTTCTGCTTCTTCCATCTCTTTTTTTCACAGCTACCACAGGTGGGGTGGGACTTGTCTCAGCACTCCTCTTGCGTGCTCTTTCAGCTCTAGCTGAAGCCATTTGCTGTCGTCTTTCTTTTCTTTCCTGAACCTCCTTTTCATGCTCTAGTTTGGTTACAGGCACCATTATTTGCTTCTACATTATCAAAGGGAAAACCATTGTTATTATCATGATCATAATGTTTGCTTTCTTCCTACATCATTAATAAAATGCATTAACAACTTGGTAGTCACTTGCGTTTGAATATAATAGCCTAAAATGCTGAAGACTCGTCCCACTAAAATAAAATGAAATAAAATAGATTTCAGCATATTCTGTGGTCAGCATGATGTTACATATAAACAAAAAAGAAGTTAATGAACAGATCACAAATTTGCTATTAGAAATTAAAGAAATAAGAATACATTGTTTACACAAAAAACGGCTGTAATTGCAATGAATGCATGATTGAAGTGAGCAAATAAATGGACAGCGGGCCACAGCTCTCTGCATAACAACTGCACTATTGCCTCAGTGGTTCAAGCTCAACTGTCCTTCAGGGTTTCCCTTTGGCCAGTTGCCAAACATAAACATTGATCACTAGCACCAGGACACTTAGACCCAATTAAACACACGTCTGGACAAATTTTTGAATGGACAAAAATTTGCACGGATCTGCCTTTCCTTTGCATAGGACCTGTAGAACTGTGCGCCAAGTGCAAGTGCAAGTTTTTGAACGGTAAACAGTTTAATTTGTAACAGGATTTGCATGGTTCCAAGTGAACAAGTTGCAGAGGTACAAAATTTGTTCCTTCAAAACTTTGTCTGGACCAGTGTAAATAGGGGGTCTTAGTGCCTTTGGATGTAAAGTTTGATAATCAAAATAGCTGTCCAACTATCACAATACATCGTAGAGTTTGGATGTGCATGCAACCTTTCAATACAGAGACAGCCCAAATAATAATGAAAACAGAGCATAAGTAATATTTCAGGCACATGTTTATCTTATTATTGAACTATAGAAAGACCTTTAACACTAATAAAACATTATGGCTTATCTCATGACAACTAAACACTGGTTGCCAAATTGGCAACTTCTAAGTGCAATTTGGGCCACAATTTTTTCTACTTGCCACGGCAACCAAACACTCACAGCTTGAAATGCTGTGTGCACACCGTCAACTTTCTTAAATTTGGATAGGAAGCTTAGAAAATTGTCAATGAGATGTTATAGAGTAAACAACATTAGAGAAGTTTATTCCTGGCTATCAGTTATATGCACCAGGCCATCTAGGCTACAACGAAATTTATTGTTTGACAAGGTCTGTATACAAAAACAGCACAAGTTAAATGAAGTGTTTCTGTATGGACATCTTGTCATTCTCTTTCGCATTCTTCCCTATCAGATGACTTACGAAATCTGTAAGCCAACTGTACACATGGAATGCAATATTCAGCATACATATTAGTATAACTAGAGTAAAATGTGCACAAACTTACTCTGCTATCGGGTTTAATATTTACTCTATGAACAACCTTCTTGATTCCATCATAAAAAAGGACTTCATATGCACCTATATTTGAAAGATATCAAGAAACAAATGTATCTGTTGCATCACATGAGAGAGAACAACAACTCTACAGAGTAAAAAGCAAACTACACAAAGTCCATGTTTTTTGTCAATTAGTGGAAAATAACAGTACAAGATTAATTTTTAAGAGGAAGTCACTTCTACATAGGTTTACAGCCAGGAACCATGTAGTCTTTCACTTAGGTCAAATCCATTTGTTAGTAGTAACGATATTAAAGCTTTTTGAGTAAAACAACCAAAATATTATCAAACGCTATAAAGGAAACTACCACTTATATAAATTATTATTGCTATCACTTAAAATTTAAACTGCTCACACCATTCTCAATTTTCTCTCCCACTCTTAACACTGTCAATATTATTTTGACTAACATCCCAGTACAGGAAGAATAAAATACAGTATGTACATGTAGTATTCTACTACAATATTGCAACAGCTCAACCATTAACATGACGAACACTGGAAGTGAAACACACTTGCTCAAAAAGTTGGTCAATAACAAAACCACATATGATTGACTTATCTTACAAATGAGCCATCAACAAAATATGTTCTTTCTTCTTTCATTGTAACCTTGCTTAATTATTGTTCGCCATAACAAAGCTAAGCTTCAACAACTAATCTTGCAAATGAACCAACAACTTAATGTTCACTATTATGTGAACCTCAACAGGTGATGCTGGTTTTAAGCCTTAACCTACATGTACCTGTCATATCAGAGAAACTGGGCTTTTGCTATGTTTTGACTTTACCAGAAACAGTTTTCAATAACTAATGTCTCTCAGGGATGTACTCGAGTGGTACCTGAGAGGCCCTTGGCAACATACTATTGCAACAGGGTGCCACAGTAGCTTTCATTATGAATGGTCACACTTAAGGATTTCATGCACAGAGTCAAATTTAAAACCACTTTATACAACATAATGAAAAGCACCACAGGAAAGTACTGCCCATACAGTCATGTGGTTTCATTTGAATGGTCATACTTCAGGATTTCATGCACAGACTCAGATTTAAGGTGGCTTGACTCATTATTCACTGGCATTCAAGTTTCATATGTGCATGTACAACTTAAACAAAAAACTAATTTCCATTCAAAAGAACCCTTGATTACTTTCTGAAGAGTTCTCCACAATATGCTAATATAGCTGAAGTGGTGAAGACAATAGCAGTGGTCACACTACAGACTTTTATCTCGGTAAAACTGATTTACATAGGTTAAATTCATCAAAAATCTCCCAAGGTAAATTCATCTCAGGTTTTGTTTGACCTAGGTAACAAATTCTGGGAAGGTCACACTACTGATACTGGCTTCCAAGGTTTTCACGCACAGTTGAATTTTCTGGCACGTAAATTCAAGAAGGCAAGATGCTGAGGGATCGAGCAGATCATAGAGACATTTTTCATTTTATCTCACTGTTAATTTTTATGCTAATTCAATGAGCAAGGTGAAGACAGACGAAGACGTAGACGACTCATGTCCCCAAAATTTCTTTCACAATGTGAACTATGTCTGGTTCTGTCATCCACACCTTTGCTGATGAGCCTCTGTTGGCTAGCAACCTCAGTATTTCATTTTTCCCTAGCTATCGCTTTGGGGTAGCTGTCAAAGGAAACTCTATTGTTCTCAAGACATATCCAAGCCCGAGACGATAAAATTTTCCCGAGGTAAGTTACCTTGGGAAAAATCGGTCACACTTAAAAAATCAACAAGTCATCAAGTCAAGTTTACCTAGGTAAAAAGTGTGCAGTGTGACCACAGCTAATGTCTGTAGCATCACTTTTTCATCATTTGGACCGAAGAAAGAAATTTCTAGGCAATAATATATTGGCACTTATGTTTCCATTCTGCAATAATTATATTTTCTCTTTCACCTTATTTTCATTGGATGGAGACCCCTCAATTTGACTGGAAGGTAATTGAGGCTCCTTTGAAGGCAAATAAGTTTTTGGCTAAAGTTGTGCATGTGCATATGAAACTTGACTACAGTGCCAATGAATAATGAGGACGCTCACTCATAAACACAAACTCTGGGGGGAAAATTTGTGACATTGGAAGCCCCATTTAATATTGCCTTCCTTGTTTTCAATGTCCTTGAAACCAGGAGGAGATGTAAATTGATGATTAATCTCCAGATTTTCAACTATTTAAAAAACATTATTGAGCGGTTTTTAAATTACCGCGAAATTTGTAGGTGTGGACCAAATTACACACCAAAAATGGTCAAGAAAGCAGCTGAACGTAGTCTAATCAAATTCTTCTTTGTCACAACCAGCCAAAGCAATCTGCCTCTTTTATAATACACAATTTAGGTGGAATCAAACCACTATGAGATAAAACTGCATTTCCAGACCTTTTATGTCGATGGTATGATTATTGACTGTTTTTATGACATTTAAAACTTTGTTTCAAAATATTTCCAAACTACTCTCATAGAATTTGTTCAAACTTTGCCATAAATCAAGGCAACTAAGGGAGAAACAAGCTCCCTTAAGCAATTTCTGAAAAAATCTCATGTTACTGAGAAATACAAAGGAAAGTAAAAAACGTAATGGAATCACTTTGTTGCCATACCAACTCTGATGTCAATAAAACATGGATCATAACAAATGTGTATCCTTATATAGCTGTGGTAACCTTTTTCTGATATTTTTTGTTAATGCCGACGTGGTAAACATTCAAAGTGGGGAAGTTTACCCCCTAAAAAATCCAGTGGAGCCACCTTAAAACCACCTTGTATAACATTACAAACAGCACCACAGGATAGTACTGCTTGATCAGTACAGGTAGCCTGCATTTTGCAACACTTCAGAATTTCTTACAGCATAATAAAATTAGTACATGTCCCAACACAAGTGAACTGATAAAATTATTAACATGTAGGATTCATTTCAAGAGTAATGACATCATCCACTGAAATTCATGAGAGTACGTTCTCATTCTTGCACCTGAATGATGGGAATCTGACACCTAATTAGCAGAGTGGCTACATTTCTGATAATCAAATGGGATAACACTTTGCTTAGATGCATTTCTGACCTCCACAGAACACTTGCATATTAAACAGATCGACAAGAAAATAATAAGCAAAGCTTGAACCTCAGCTGGTTAGTAAAATTAATTAATTCTTACCATCACTAAGATTTTTAACTATTTTTGCTGGGTAGAATTTACAGTCCTGCCACTTTGCTAACACACGGTCATTAACCTTCCAATCCTGCAAGAGCAAACAAATACAATACTGTATGTTAAACAAACAGTCAAGTTAAACATAAGCAATTTTATCTAATCTGCTATTACTTTAATCAGTGCAGTTGAGTTTGTTTCTCAAATAAACTCTCATAAAGGTGCATGATACTGCTTCAAAAGAAAGTGGGAACTTTATTGAGGGCTAGAGAGTCATCATTTATTAACCAATCCCTACTATTCAGTTTTGCTACATCGGCTACATTTTGTCTTTTCATTTGACAGCTGATTTCTACAATGTAAAGCGTTGAGTATAAATCAAGATAAGAATGGAATTCATCCTACAGAACAACTAAAAGCAATCTAATGAACATTCACCTTTCCCTATAATGACATAAGTTTCTCACCTCAGAATTTGCAATTTTCTTCAACGAAAAAATGTCTAACATTCATTTTATGTTTCCTGATTGAGAGTTTGACACTGAAATAAGCTCAGGAAAAAAAACTGAAACATATTCCCTGCTATTTATATCACATTAACTCTGTACAAATTTGCCCAGGCTCATTTAAACCCCATGACAACTACCACAATTAGCTGGGATGTGAACCACTCACTTGGGTTATTAAAACAAGGTGATGTTATAAGAAACTACAAGACAGTGGTTAATAACTCTAGCTACAGCTGTATATTTCACATCTTATAAACATAACCGGCTGTCACTATCATTATGTTATTGCTATTATACAAAAGTGGATATTGCATTGTATTGTAAATTGTACGACACATTGTAAAATGGTCTCGAATTGATGTCCATGGGCCTTCTATCATTTCCGTAAAATATCAAATTTAAAGCACTTTTATTAGTGAGGATAACAGAGAATAACATAATGGAGTCAAGTTAGTACTACAATCAATATTGAAAATGCCAAAAATAAATATTCTTTTTTTAGTTACTACACAATATTACACTAGTAATAGTTGACATTAGAGCTGCCCCCCCACCCCCTCTCTGTATATTGTCGGTCAATAGTATTCTTGCTCGTTGACTAGCTCTTTGAAATATACCAATAATTGGTATATTTCAAAGTTATTCATAATGAAGATTTCCACACATATTGCACACAATAGGTGAGATAAATACAGCACAGGCAAGGTTCCACTGCACAGTTTCAGTTCGATTTACACAGCTTTGATCAAAACATTCTCAGTTTCGAGAATAATTTATTCTAAACCATAAGAAAAGACTTAATTAGAAGCTGAATTTTTCGTTGTTCCTCTTTCACTTTCTACATTCAGTTCAAATTATTTGCCGGAAAGTAAACCTTAGAAATTAAAAGGATGTTTGATCACTTCACGCTCGCACATTCTAGTCTTATTTTAAACTTTATAGCACAAGGACATCTGTGAGCAGGGAATAAGTCAGCACAGAATTTGATTGTCGGCTAATTTCTGTAATCATCCATCGTTCTGCTAGTGATAAGCTAGCTGTTGTTCACTCGTCTTGCTTGTTTGGGGCTGAGTCTTATTCCGGTCAAAGAGAGAGAAAGAGTGTTTGGCAAGGGTGCCAATCAAAGATTTGTGAACTCTCGATTCATGGGACAAACATCCTACATACTGCTTTACTGCCAAATAACGGTCACAAAATCTATCTAAGCGGTCCCTTCTGGATTTTCTATCTTTATGTCATCCTAACCATTTCGTACTTGTGGGCACAAACAATAGAAACGTCACCATTACCTACCCATTCCTCGCGGCTCCTGTTCTAGCCAATCAAGATTTTTTCTGGCATACTGACTGTATATATCAATTGTAAATACTTTCCTTAATACACACACGAATTACTAGAGTGCCTCCTCAGGATTTCACCTTCTGGGCAAAATCCCTGCCGGGGAAATTAGAAGTGCGAGACACAGCCCAAAGTTGAAACGATCTACCATGTAACTCTTTTCTTGCATTACTTTCTACGTGCATGCATTATACCTTGGTATAACAAACATTTCTTGTTTTCCCAAAAATTTGTTAAATCGAGGTTTTCAATATAATGAACCCGAAATTGAAGGATTAGCCTGGTCAGTTATAAGTTCATGTCACTAAAGGAAATTTCAACAAAGGAAAAGAAAGAGTCAGCTTTAACCAGCTATTTTCATATTGGTCATAATGACTTAACCAGTCACAATGAATAAAAATAGTCCTCTAAGAGTCTTAGCACGTATGGTTTGTTAGGCTGCGATGGTTCAGGGACTATTGCAATTGGCAGGAAACATCTTGCCAAGATAAAGCACGCCAATTTCATAACGAAATTACCATAAGACAAAATTTTAAAGATGCCAGTTGTTTTGAATTTTTGCAAATTTGTGACATTGAATGTTGAATTGAATGCTGTCATATCAAAAGTGGTAGTTATCTCAAAAATATTAAATTCTTGGTCTTAAAATAAATAAATGAAGAATTATTAAAAATGTCTGAGAAAAAAAAGGGCAATAGCAGGTATTGAGCCCAGTACCTTTCCTCCAAAGGTTACAAGTTAACTCTGAGCACTACAGAGACAATAAAAATGCCCTTACTGACTTACTTACATAGACATTGACAAAATACCTACTCGCTGTAAGCCAGTAAGCACAAAACTGGAAGACTTGCACCCCTTCACCAAATATATATATAGCAAATAGCTGTTTTTCATAGTACCGTATGAAAAACTACTCATGCTTTATGCTGGAAGTTGCATGGATCTGTGATTTTATTAATCGAAGAAGGACAATGGGTTGCTATTTATGATAGGAGAGGTGCAGATTAACCTAACTGTCTGACTTAACTGTCTTCGTTAAGTTATAGAAATAAGATCTTGACTTGCAAAACTCCAGGACTTTTAGATTTTTTGGGGCAGTGTAAAGTCATGAGATGAACTTATTATAATGGCTTGAAAACAAGAATCAAAATTAGATTCATTGTAATTTACATTAGAGATTTAACTTTAAAAAATGAACTAATCTATATAACATGGTTATGGTATTAACAAGATAAAAACAGCAAAAGAAACTCATCTTAACCTGATAGTCGCAAGCTTCCTGCTAGAGATGGACATCGCAGCGAATGAAGATAAGCACGGTACAAAGAAAGGGAAAAATATTTTAGAAAGCAGGAGGGTACAGACACATACATGTACAGTATGTTTACAAGCAAAACAATGCATTAATAATGTATGAAGCAATAATAAAAAAACACCAAACAATCTGCATATGTATAAAGAAGGAGAATTTACAACAACATTATAAAAAACATTTAAAGTGTTAAGTAAATTTAATAATTTAAATTAAAATTCAGTGTAGTGGGGAAATAGTATCTTCAGGGAAAGTCCACACGGGAATTATCATTAATAAATTACAAGGAACAAAATTGAAGAGAAAATTAAACAGATTTTGAAGATAGCCATGCTACAAAGAGAAATATCATAAAAGGAATTCAAAAGAACACAGAAGGAGGTAATATTAAATTGTCTGCCAAAGAACATCTGCAGAACTAACTCTTGCATTACTTTAATTAATTTGCTGTCAATGTGTGTCCCTCTTTGTACACTTGTATAAAGGGAAACTTACTTTTCAAATCAAAACAGAAATTATTTATATTATTAAAAACAATCTCGCCAGCCATCAAGTGAAAAGATAGACTGCTCATAAAAACAGTCTGTTATACATACTAAGTCAATACTTGGAAATAAAAAAAGCCGAGTCAAATCCAAACAATAGCTGAGGTTAGTTAAGTACAAAATATTCCTCCTAGCTAATGCTATGGATAGAATCTTCTTTGGTTTTCATATTTTTTTTGCAAGTGGAAGCTAACTGCAGCAGTTAAAGAATTCTTGCTTGGATATAATTAAACACGATAAACAAGGTGGTTCTAAGTTTTGAGTAATCTACATCTAAGTGTCATCATACAAATGAAAGCTAGAGAGCAATGCTTTGTTATAATACATCCTCTTGTTCCCTTAATACTCTTAAATAAAGAAAACTTGGGATTTTCTATAAAACCAGCCTTAATGGAGTTTTCTAAAAGGTGCCATAACAGTGAAAACCACTATCAAAGTTACACCTACAATATTTTTACCAAACAATCTTAAAGTTGTGAGGGCTAGATCTTTGTTGATTACATAAGATTACACAAGAAAGTAAACATCTGTTAATGGACTGAAAAATTTACCTTCTAAAAATTTATTGACAAAATAACCTCTGATAAAGAACTCTTAGAGTTTGTGTTGCTTTTCTACACCACAGTTTGTGAAATTAACAAAGGTCCCAAAAAATGCTTGATGTGGCAAAAACCTGTGAAACACATAGCCACCTTGGCAGCAAAATTTGTGCAGTAACATGTACAGAGCACGATCTACATGCAATGTGTTCATTGTGATTGTTCATAAATTATACATGATAAGAAAAAGCAGAGAAGTGTATTAGCATCAACAAAATAACAAAAACAACAACAACAATATACAAAAACAATATTATTCAGTCCTGAAAATAAATTAAGTTAGTAAGTACCTCCCCAGTATTATTTAGCCTGTTCCAGGCCCCAAGTCATTTGGGAAAGCAGATTGAGAAAGGCTGAGGAGAGACAGAGTAGTGGAGTCTGTGAACATTGTTTTCCAGTATACCAGCTCCTGGTATACCCTATATTGGTCAATTGTGACCAAGAATGTGAAACCCTGCCATACTGCACCACTTGGTGTCTTGACATTTTGCCACCAAAAAACGCTTTTTCAGCAAGTGGGCAGGGTAGTGGGCAGATTGCTTACAAGCAATCCCCTTCTCTCTTCCAGCCATTTTTCTCATGTTCACTACATTTCACTGCTTGGTCACAGTTTTTGCTTGTCTGCATTGACCGAGATCTTGGAACAGGCTTAGTAAAGTAAAACTTTACTTGCTATGACAAACAATTATGTATAAAATGCAGTTAAACTTCTTGTTTTATATAAAACAAAGAAAACAACTGCACCACAACACATTGTTGTACATATAAAGACGTCAAAATCAGCTTTGACGATGAAGTGCTTCAAGCAGGACTTCTTTCAGCCTTTCACTCTTAACAGTGGCCAAACCCAAAATTCAATACAACGAAGTGCTGAAAAAACTGATGAGGAGGTTACACTTGAATGGCCAAACCACAGGATTTCATCCATAGACTAAAAGTTAAAGTGACTTTCTAAATAACAAGAATGCTCTTAGTAGCGTTGAGTCTTGCTTGCTCGGAGATAAGTATTCTTGTCAGCTGGTTATGCTACTTTTTCATTGGGAATACAAAACGAGTGTTATATGTTAATGTAAATACCCAAAACGTAAAAATTGAGAGGAGAGACAGGCCACCTGTACATCTTAGCTTTACACCAAGGTACTGAAGCCTTTAATAACCGTTTGCATATTGCTATTGCTACAGTGAGGAGAACTCTTTCAGGGATTTTACCCTCAAAAAATTGAACAATGATTTTTATCATTATAAAGATATATACAGCTTCTATGTAGCGTAACCAAGATACAGCTCAATACAGTTTTTGCTCAGCACAAAAGGTGTAAGGTTAGCAGAACCTTATACAATAGACAGTTAATTCAGTTTGCACGAATTCTTGTTGAATTTGTTGTCCATTTAAGATGTCAAAATTGTGTGAAAGTAATTACATTTTCCATGGCTGCTTGGTATCTGCTTTTAATATCTCTGTACATTTGATGTTTACACGATCTCAGAGTACAATGTTTAGAGCTCCACACAGCATGCATTTTATCAGAGTATCAATGGAATAAATCATTTCATTTTCCAGGAAAATTTCACTTTCTCATCAAAACAATTACTGACTCAGTCAGATCAGGAGTAGTTTACTTAAATTTAGTGCTCAGTGACTGCGTACAGTGAGCGGGGTTATGTTCTCTTCACTATTTGATCCAAGATTTGTTTATTTACTCATTTATTTTATTTGAGTTTTTTTAACCCTTTAAACCCTAAGATCAAAATTTGAATTCTTGTTAGTTGCCCCTATTTATTTCCTACAGAAGTAGTGGGGAGAAGTTGATAAGATATCAAGCAAATTCATCTTGTGTGATCATGTCTGTAATTCTCATGACCACTCTGTTTTACAAAGCATTGATATCACAAGGAGAAATTTGATGCTGATCACTCTTAGGTCTTAAAGGGTTAACCAAACCTCGATCCCCGATCCTCAATTCTGAGTCCTCAATCATTGATCCTTGATCCTGGTTTTCCAGTACACCTTGAAGCTTATTCTTTTTTTCGAGCACTGAAGTTAGTAATCAACACGTTCAGGCCATAGAATTCGTGGACCAACCTGTTCCAGAAAAGCTCAATATGGGATTTCTACTCTTTGGATATGGAGTGCTGCAAGTAGTGTGCGTGGTATTCAAATACAAAGCTCCCGTAATTTTTTAATTATTAAACACATCTGTGACACATACATAACGTCAGACAGGTAGCCGCTTCCAGTAGTACTCGAGGGTTAAATCATTCATATCTCAAGTATTTATAAAAGTGCGACTTCACATCTTAAAAACCGCGAAAATCTGTCAATTAAATAGATACAACAAAGTGAGTCTATTTAACCGTAGAGTTCCAGTAACTGCAATAATAGTCTGCGAAACGTAACACCTCAATACACCACAATAATATTTTCACATTCTTCACTCAGGGTATTTCATACGCATTCATAGTTACATAAAAATCAAGGACCTTGATTCTGGGAAAATTATATCATTGCCAAACGTGTTCAACTTGCACGCACATGCGTCATTTCAGTCATCGCCGAAAATAAACCGCATGCTCATCACAAGACGCATTTGCAACCAATGAAAATTATCACAAGTGGGATTATGCACCCCGTTTCATGACGGATAGATAAAAAAAACCCTGCATTTTTAGAGTCTTGCTGTGCTAAAGCAAGCTCAACTAAATAGTACCATGTGAAAGTACTGCTGAGGAGGTTTAATTTCATTTTAAGTGGTCACACCAGTAAGAGTTATGTCCCTGGCTATTATCATAAGCAACAAAAGGAAAGTAGAACCAAAAGAGCTTTCTAGTTGTTCAATTCCCTACCTGCTAATTTAATATACCTGGCTGACAGCTATGATTCACTGTAAGAGTGTTAGAAAGGGTTAAGCTTTTCACCTCAAGAGTCACACATGGAACCATGAGGTACAAACTGTAGAACTGCTAATATTGTACTTCTACAGTGTGTTTTAAGATACTAGGAAAACACTCTGGTGTGACTATTCCAATGACACCTTTGGCAGTACTTTTACGTGGTGCTATTCATTAATTTCGCAGTTCTACAAGTACGGCAAATTTTGAGGCTGTGGATGAATCCTATGGTGTGAAGAATGGTGCAAAAACCTCTATAACAGTTCTTCAATTCTGCAAGATATTATTCATTTTTCATTTAAATGTTAAAGGAAAAAACTTAGTATTTATCATTAAAAAAAGGTTGAGAGCCCTTGGGATTGAAAGGGTGAAGAACATAACTTATTTGGCGGGAAGAACGCAGCAGGTCTCAGTCAACGGATCGCTCTCTGATAAATTTAATCTGACTTGCAGGGTCCCACAAGGTTCTTGTTTGGGTCCCCTCTTATTCACCATCTACGCGAGTTCGCTGTTTGACATCTTGAAATCTCATCTGCCATCCGTTCACACCTATGCGGACGATACGCAGCTATATCTATCGTTTAATCCCGTTGATAAGACCAGCGAGGCTGATGCTGTGATTGCGATTGAGAACTGTATTCATGACATTCGCGCATGGATGAGAGATGATAAGTTAATCCTAAATGACGACAAAACTGAGTTCTTGATCATTGGCACGGAACGACAGTTATCAAAGGTGTCCGTTGACAAGATCACGATCGGCCAAGCTGAGGTATCGCCTGCCTCTTCAGTGCGCAATTTGGGCACCTGGTTCGATTCTCATATGGACATGTCGACTCATGTGTCTAAGACTTGTGCTAGCGCGTTTTATTATTTGTACAATATCCGGCACATTAGGAAGTATTTGCCTCGTCAGTCCACCGAGAGGCTTGTTCACCCGTTCATCACAAGCAGGCTTGACTACTGGAATGGTTTATTGTACGGTGCTCCTGAGTATCAAATTAAGAAACTTCAAAGAGTCCTGAATGCCAGTGCTCGATTGGTTTACTGCGCACCTAAGTATTGTCACGTTACTCCTTTGCTAAGAGAACTCCACTGGCTACCAGTGCGCTTGCGCGTAGATTTTAAGATTCTCCTTGTAACATTTAAGATTCTTCACGGTGTTGCGCCTAGCTATCTTAAGGATCTTGTCTCTGTCTTACCGGACTCACGTTACCAACTACGCTGTAACAATAATGGTATATTGTTAGAAAGACCTCGGCTAAGAACGAAGAAGACTTTGGGAGATCACGCGTTATCGATGGCTGCCCCCTTTTTATGGAACAGTCTTCCTCTGCCAATAAGACAGGAAACATCAATCGACTCTTTTAAACGCTCTGTTAAAACATATTTATTTAAGAAGGCTTTTAATTAGATTATTTATTTATTTATTTATTTTTAAATATTGTAATTTTACTGGTTTTTAATTTAGTTATTAATAATATTGTAATGCGCTTTTGAGTATTTTTATAGAAAAAGTGCAATATAAGTATTAAATATTATTATTATTATTATTATTAGAGAGAGGTGTATTATTTTGTTGTAGGTAAATCCATTCCCAGTTAAACCAGTTTTGTAGTTTAATTCAAAACTTCCTTTGTTTCCTAGCCCCATTTATTTATTAAAAAACAAAGGAAATTCTGGATTAACCTGAAATAAGATTTTACCTACAAATTATTTGCTTACAGAAAATTACAACATCAAGCTTCTTACAAAAAACGTTATTGAATTGAAAAATTCATGTTATTTTCAACACACCTTCTCATCTTTAGGATCCTGCTGTGTGTGTTGTCGAGAGTGTGGCCTCAGTCGTTCACTGCCAAATGCGATCCATTCATCGTATCGATGATTCCATCCTTCAAAGTGAATCAGCACCTTCTTCTCTTTTTCATCCACTCGGCAAATTTTTGCAGAATACCTATGAGCAGATAATTGCACTATGACAAGAGCAGCGTGCGAAGAAAATCATTTTTACAGCTTGCCCTTCGGGCAAGCTGAGGCTAGTAGTTACTAGCCCAAACGTCATTTCCGCTGGCCCCAAAAGCTTTTTGACGAGCAGAATTGATTTCACAGTTCTTCTGTTACTCGAACTCCCCAAAAAAACATCACAAGTTAAAAACAGAATTAACTAGCCCGATAACAAAATCCATTAGCCCCGAGCTGTCTGACACTACTTTCTTTGCACGCCGCAAGAGATACTTAACATTTTGCACCAATGTAATACAGGTGTATTAAGAGGTTATTCAGTACTGCCAAACAATAAGTAAAATGTCACACTGTATTATCTGTCAAAATACAATATCATTACTAAGGTTCTGCTACAGTAGTTGCACCCTAATGCATTTTTTTTCACTACCGAGCCATTAGCTTCTTCTTAAAATTACATAGGCTACTAAAGTTTTTGCACTCTAAACATGAAATAGGCTCAATTACCAGTTGCTGTTTGGGAAATGAGACCACACTCCTCCCCCGCTGAACAGACGGCTGGACATACGAGTTTGCTATTGTCAATTACCACCAATCAGATTGTTGCCTGCTCAAATCAAGCAGACAGCATAAATCTATTTTCCTGGCGCTGGTTGTTCAAACATTGAATGGCGCTATCCAGCAGATAAGTGTGAGGGAATCCAATCGCGTTATCCATTGGATAGAGATTTATCCAGTGGATAGCATTATCCACCTTTTGAACAACTGGGCCATGGAGCAGATTTAAACGGCGGATGCAAAGGCATTGTTTGATGTGGCGTGCGATCGTGTTTCAGAGCGTTTTAAGCTTAAAAACCTAAATCATTTACAAAGAGAAGCATTAGCTTAGAGAAGCTGGCAAATGTTAAGTATGTTTTTGAAATTCAACCACCAGATCTGGATCTTCCAAGAAGAACAAGCAAGAAAAGACATAGAAAAACATCATTTTTACCACATTTTGACATCTTCTGTTATCTATAACTGAACAGATGCACAGCAACATGGAATCTATTTTTTAACCTGAACAGTTCAACCAAATACAGGTAAAACACATTAACTGACTTTGCTAGACAGTAGGATGAAACTTTCATCCTGATAATACTACAATCATATACTGGTACACAACAAGAACTAAAAGTGTGAATAAACAACGTGGATTTACAGTGCACAAGCAAATCAATTGTATTACTTGTTTTTCCTCATATTTCCAAATTTCCTAAGATGTTAATCTGATGGAAACAATCTGTTTTGCTACACCCAAACATTTGTGAACACATAATCCAAATATTACTTAACCATGTATAGAACAAATGGGTAAACAGTATCATGCCACTTGGAGGAGAAAAAAAGTTATTGGAATGTTGTATCTTAAAAATTGTTTTACACAGCTTTTTCACTGTTAAATAAAAATCGGGGACAAAAATATTTAAAGCCAAGTTTTTGTGATTAAAATTACAAAAATAGTAAACATAAATGAATATCAAAGTGCCAACTACAACAATTTCTACAATAAAGAAGCAAATGAAATGAAATACAATATAGCCGAAAACCAAGAAATACAAAAGCAAAATAACTCATCGAAAACACCTAATGCTTCTAATTCCATTCATTGGAAAAAATAAACATATTTCCGGGATTTTTCTGACCATGAAAGGTGACATCATTTTCGACGATAAGCTGAATGAACACAATTTGCATGCACACTTTGCTGAATACTCTTCCACAATAAATTTTAAAAACATCGACCAGCGAAGACACCTTTCATGTGGATATAAGAGGGAGGGAAACAAAAAACCGGTGACGACAGCAGCAAACTCGGAAACACCAACTTAAAGAGATTTACTACACAGCAGAAAAGAAACATGTTACTGAAATCGGTGAACCATGCAACCACAAAGTTCATTTCGAGTTCCGCGCGCTGTGTTGAACCGAGAAATACTCCAAAAGATGCAATGACAAAGCAGGCAAAACATTAGTTGCTGTTAAGCAAAGTAACTCACCAATTTAGCGTGAAGTCCATTGCTTCGAGCCGAGCTCCGACCTGATAAAGAATTTTATTTTTTCCCGAAGATGGGGAGGTTTGTTTGGCAGACATTACTTTGTTGACCCTGTTTTGACGAAACGCAATCACCTACATTTACAGCCGAAATACAAGAGCCATTGCACGGACAAAGAAAGGCAACGAAACGAACAGAGCTTAAAACCAAAATGGAGGCAACGATATCTCAAAAAGTTTCACAGCAGTGCGTCACTCTATCTTCTTTCTCTCGACTGCAAATCAATAGAAACATGACTCACATATCCACGAGGATTTGTCCAATATTAAACCACAATACCTTGCAAGCTCAGCAAATATTTGGCGAGAGAGATTTGGTAACCAATTAAATGTCGAAAAGCCTTATGGGATAAAATGTCTTTGGGTCCCATGCTTTCGCGGTACAAAATCTAAAATTGAATCTAAAATCTCCTGTTATATCTCATGATCAGCCATTTTGAATTGTACTTTTGAATTTAGAAAAAACATTACTTAATTATTTTGCTCTTCCAGTAAAATATAGCTGTTCTTTTTAAATCAGGCAACAATTGAATAAATACAGTTCATAGGATAACATATAATTTTGATGAATTATTATCACACTGAATTTGCATGTCATTTACTTTTAAAGTTGAGATCCCAGATGCTAGCAAAGAAATATCCTCTGAAAACCTAAAGCAAACACAAAAATTACTACATGGAGTATTTTCATTAATAACCCAGCCGGATTATATCAATTAGCAATTAGCCACGCCCACAGATACAAAATAATTTACTAAAAAATGTTCTGGTTTTGCAAAACTGGAACTATTCAGTTGACACGAAGCTCTCGGAACGTCGTCTCTGATTGGTCAACTATTTCACTTCCGTTGCAGTGGTTGCAAGAAGTTCATTGGTTCCTTCGCTGTTTCGTCTTGATCGTCTAGTAGTGGTTTTGAGATTGTGGTTTGTACACGTTGTAGCGTGTGATCTGTTTCGGGTCCAGTAAGTTCGTGTTGTTCTGGTGCGATGGCCACTTGGAGCGGCAGAGGACAGGGCGCTTGCCCAAACTGCAGCACAACCTATTCAAGTAGGTGGAAACCTGCGAATTGTCCGAAGTGCGGCTTCGAACTCGGAGGTTCTGCACCAGTTGCAAAGGCCCAGAAGATGTGTTGTCCTCCTGCTGTAAACATATGCGGTGCACTGTATTCGATACGGACAAGTTCGAGGGACGACCGATGTTTAGTTTACAGTGAAAAGAACTTGTGGATATGCTTGCACTCAGACTGCAAGGATGTACGAGCCGCGTATGTGTCGAGCGATCGTGCAATGGAGTTCACATGTCAGCACATCAAGCAAGTCCCTGATAGCGTTCGCGTCCTCGACATGTACAACCTAACAGCAGCAAAGATAGCCGCATATCCTTGCGATGCACCAACCAAATCTTTACTATATAACATATCGATCCCGCTCGGTCGCGAGGCCGTCTACAAAGTCTCCGACCGCACGTACGTTGTTTAATGGGGTTGACAGGCCTACACGACTCCCCAGCGCGTGTTTAAAATAGCCTTTCTATAGTTTGGCTCTCACGAGTATGTCTTTGAGCGACCGCCCTCTTTTATAAGATACGAGGGGCGGTTTTTTGTAGATTTCGCTCAGTAATGGTTGTTGTTCTATTAAATGCCAGTTTTTCATGAGAATTTGCTTTAGGTTTGGCACTGATGGTTGGTATTGTGTGACAAAAGGCAAGATTCGTTGGTTTGTCTTTGGTTTCTGTTGAAGGGCTAGTTTCCTGTCTTTGAAGTTCACCTCTGAGAGGGTTGTGTTAATAAGATCCTCTGGGTAACCCCTCTGTAGTAGATGCGCTTTGAAATTTGTAATTTTCTCTTCGAATATTAGTTCGGAAGAGTTTGTTCTGAGGAGTCGGAGGGCTTCCCCTTTAATGAAGCCTTTTTTAACTCCTTGCGGGTGACAGGAAGCAAAATGGGTATACTGAAATGTCTCAGTTGGTTTGAAATGAGTACGCACATCAAGGATTGCGTCTCTTTCGAATCTTTCCCCTTTGTAGATGTAGGTGTCCAGGAATGTTGTTTCCTTATCGGAAATTTCAGCCGTAAATTTGATCGTAGGGTGATGATTGTTTGCTTGTTCAATGAAATGTTTTATTCTGGCTCTGTTTGTAGTCCAGAGCGAGAAGATGTCGTCTATGTAACGTTTCCAAACGAGCGGTTTGAAAAGGCTTCGGCTAAGGATTTCCGTCTCTACCTTGTTCATGAATATATTAGAAAAGGCGACTGCCATTTTCGTGCCCATGGCCGTACCATGTGTTTGAAGGTAGTTTTTCCATTAAACTGGAAAGAGTTCTCTTGGAGAATTAGCCTGAGCGCTCGTTTTAGTAGTTGTGTAGGGATAGGAGGTTCGTTTCTATAGAATATTTCGTATGCTCTGCATACCGTGTCTATTCCCTCCTCTTGCGGTATATTTGTATACAAGCTCGTAACGTCCATTGAAACAAGTATGACGTCCACTGGGACTTTCGTATTTTCTATGAAATTGACGAAGTCGGTAGTATCTTTAAGATAAGACTTTTGTTGTTGTGCTATCGGCTGAAGGAGTTTGTCGACAAATGATGATAATTTCTCTGTTGGGCCATCACACCCTGATACTATCGGTCTGCCGACCGGGGACGGCTTGTGTATCTTAGTGAGGGTGTAAAATTCTGGAATTCGAGGCGGATTTGGTGTTTGACAAAGCCATTTTTTAGTCATGTCGTCTATGTGATCCCCGTTGTGGAGGTCTGTAATAAGTTGTTTAACTTTATGGTTTGTATCAGTGACCATGGGTGATGCAAGAGGCCTGTAGTTGTCTTTGTTGTCTAGTAGAATTTGGCCTTCTTTAATTTTGTCTTGTGTGTTCATGACTACGGTTGTTGTTCCTTTATCGGCCTTTTTAAGGTTTATTTCAGTGTCACTTTTTAGGGCTCTCAGAGCCTCACGTTCGGCCGGAGGCAGATTATTTTTTGGCTTTGTTATTTCTATTTCTGCAAGGTCGCTCTTAACCTCTTCTAGGTAACTTTCAAGGGCTACTGATCGTTGTATTGGTGGTTCCCATGCAGATTTGACATGGTAAGGATGGGGTTCGTTGTTTTCCCCTCGAAATATGTACATGAGACGCATTCTTCTTGCAAACTGATCAAAGTCACGCAAGAGTTGTTGCCTGATTTGTGTTTGTTTTGTAACGGGTGTTGGAATGAATTTAAGCCCTTTTGCCAGTAAATTAATCTGGTCATTTGTAAGTTCTTTGTTTGAGAGGTTTTTTATGTGTTTTTTGTTCGCCTCTATAGTGATAGTTGAATGTTTCTGGCGTCTGACCTTTCTGCGCTCTTTGCGCTTATTGGTTGCTAGCCGTTTGGCTTTTAAAATTTGTTTTTTGGCCCCATGTTTGTGGTGGGAGTCAGAGAATACACATGTGTACTTTTGAACTTCTTTATTTTCAATGGCTCCTAGTTGTTGCATCATATTGCCGAACTGGGCGATTTGTGCCTGGAGGTTAACAGCAATTTGCTTTACTGATTCGATCGTTACATTGTTTTCAGCTTGCGCTGCGCGCGCTGGTTCGATCGTACTACAGTTCTTAGTGTTCAGTGCTATAGCCGGTGTGGCTCGCTTTCCTTTCTTGGCTTCGGCCTTAAAACGGCCGATTTCTCGTTGATGGAATCGTATAATCGCATTGAGTGTTTCTTGCTCCGCGTTCTTGCGGATTTGTTTTATCTCTCTCTTGAAGTCCTCGTCCGCTGTTATTTTAGCCCTCGCCCTATATTGTAGGGTTTCTGGGCAGGTTCCCTTGTCCGTGTGCCTTTTTAAAGCTTTTATCGCACCTTCAGCTTGGGTAATCTTGTCCTCCGCGGATAGGCTACGGCTCCGTTTTCGGTTCTCTGTGGATGGGCTGTACTGGCGGCGACGTTTTCGCACCAAGCACAGAGTAGAAAGTTCAACATTGCGCAACTAACAAGAAACGCATCCACTCCAGTTTTTAGAGGGAGTGTACGGAAACTCTGTGCGCAACTATTTACAAGAGTCTTCGAACTCTTCCACGAAAGAAAGTGCCTAAATTTTCACGAAATGCTTTCCAAAAAAACACACCTCTAGCTTGAAGCAGAAGAGGATCGAAATACACAGTGCGCAATTGGTTACGTTCAGTAGCCAGTAAGAAAACAAGAATTTCGATCCGCCACGTGGGTATTTATGTTCAGTTCAAAGCTCAACAGACAGAACGGCTGTACCGTTCTCGCCACGACAAAGTACAACTAAAGTTGCTCTTCTAAAAGCAACTATAAGCACAAAGCCAACCCGGCAACTGATGAGGTTCGTGAGGAGAACCGAAACCATGGTCTTGCCTGATCACAAACTGTGGCAATAACAAAACAGTTTAAAGACTGTTAAGCTTATTCAAAGCTATTACCAAGGGAGGAACTACGCGCTCCAGTCAAAAGCCTCACACTATCTTTAGAAAAACACTAAGCTGGAGTTTACTGAGTCACAATTCAATTCTCCATAGTAAGTTTATGTAGCTTCAGTTTAAGCTGCAGTTCACTCTTATATTTTTGGATCTGTAGGTCACTATCCGTGATAATTTAACATTCTGCAAAGAAAACTGACGAGCTGGGCCCAGCGTGATACAGCATTGCAGAAAAACATTACACTCACGGACTAAAGAAAATCGCTTAGATCAGATCCAGAAGGCACTTTGGAGAAAACTGGAACCCTTATTCAGCCGTAATAAAAAAAGCTTTACGCTTCAAAAGAGGTCAAAGAATATGCGCTTGCATCACAGGGCAAATCCTGCCGACCAGAAAACAATAACTACAGTCAATCGATATATATGTCATGACCTCTCAGTGTGAAACATGCGGCTAAAACCACATTTGCTCAGTAAAATGCAGAACCTTCCAGAGCATAATCTACCCAGCAGATAAAAACAACTTCATTGGAATAAGCAGCATTTTGGCATGAGGTAAAAGTCGTGTAGGCCTACCACCCCCTTTTATTGATATATATGGATATGTCCAAAGCGTTCGATAAAGTCAGTCATCGCCGCCTGAAACACAAGCTGAGCCAGTTTGGCTTCGGTAGTAGCCTCCTTCAGTGGCTTAGCTCTTATCTAACAGACCGTCTCCAGCGTGTGACAGCGCTCGATGCTACATCCGATCCCTTACCTATCACAGCAGATGTATCCCAGGGTTCCATTCTTGGCCCAGCATTGTTCCTTTTATATGTTAACACTCTCTCGGATGCACTTGTAGTAAGCCATGTAGCCATGTTTGCTGATTACACGAATCTGTACAGTGAAATTGGCGGTCTTGTAGTTGTGGACTGCCTACAAGCCTACCTGGACCGCTTGGACGCATGGTCAACATACAGCATTAAAGGCAAACCCTTTGATGTGGTCTTACGTCAGCGGGACATAGAAGTAATCGTCTTCAACATTCTAACATGGAATAAACAAGCGCTGGAATACCTTGCGTGCCAACAAGCTACTTGGATACGTAAAAATAAACACAAGATACGTCCAGTTCATAAACGTTCGCAGATCAATGTATATTAATCTAGTCAGGCCTCTCTTTGGGTATGCCTCGTCGTACATATGGGTCCCACAAACAATAGACCTCATTTGTAGAATTGAACAAACACAGAGAACTGTTAGAATTTGGAACTGTCTTTCCGATGACTGAACTTAACCTTACCATGGACAATGTTAGCTCTTTCAAATCAACCATGCTAAATTAATTATTACCTTTCCGCTTTAATCTACTACGACTGTAATAATCCTCGGAATAAAACTATCTGTCTGAAAGGTAACACTGCCATAGCCTATGCCATCCTACGTCATGCTGCCGGTAACCTTTTGTATTATTATCTAGTTTTTATATTAATTGTATTCAGCAATATTTTGCAATCCTCATTTAAACTTAATTTTAAAGCTCTGGGCCCAAAGTAATTAACTTCATGCTGTTGCGTTTGCCCTGCCATTTTTTTGGTGTGTAGGACATGGCGAAGCTAATAAAATAATATAAAACAAAATAAGTTACGCACCATGTTTTCAAAGCTCCGCTACCCGAGAACATTGGTCGATTCCACCATAAATAAGTTCGGCCAGGAACTAGATAAAGAAATACACACCGTGCCTTCAGCAGAGCCATCTGTTTACATAGCTTTTACATAGTAGTGCGCCAACATATTTATTCTCTGGTAGCCAAGATCGATGTTAACGTAACACCGGTCTTTACAAGTAGAAAACTGTCACAAAGTCTAAGTGTCAAGGAAAACAAGCCCCCCGATCGTGTATACTTATTTCAATGTGATTTGTGTGATGCAAATTATGTCGGATCGGGTTGTGGACAATTTTTTCCTTCAAGTTTACCGGAGGTGTACCTCTGTCCATAACTTTATACCAGAAACGTTTTGTAAAAACAACTGTTATAATCAAAGGTTATGAAATCGATCTTTTTCGGGCACTTTGTTCGCGAGTTGGAAATACGTGAATGATGTTACGATCAGCCATAGGGTTGCTTCTCAATCCCAGTATAAAGTTCTAAGATTCAGGATGAAATACCGTAAATCCTCGAACTAGCGCCGCGCTTATTTCAAATCTGTAAGACGAGGTCGTTTAATCGAGGGGGGATATTTGATTTTTCCCAAATTGTGGCCTGGCATGATCATTTTGTTAATAAGTCATCTGCACTTAAACAACAATATGTTAAGCTGTTTATGGACATAAAAAGAGGATCCAAAATGTTAATGGATCTTAACCTAGGTTTGACGTAAATATTAAGTCAGGTTATAATTTTGGAGGCGACACGTGTCGAAGACAATAATTTACGTTGAGCTAAAATAATACTAACAATAATGATAACGATTTCCTATTCACGAATTGAAATTTTGGTTATAATTTTGGAGGCGACACGTGTCGAAGACAATAATTTTCGTTGAGCTAAAATAATACTAACAATAATGCTAACGATTTCCTATTCACGAATTGAAATTGAAATACGAGAATTTAAATATCAAGTTCTTTATTTATCTGTGTTTATATATATATCTAAGTTTTCTGTATCCCGGTGTTTATATGTCTCTATGTGATCGTAATTAGTCACAGCAAACCCTGCAACCTACGGTCTTCCAGCTTGTCTCTGTACGTGTATGTCTCTAGGTGGCTCTTGCGAAACCAAACGGTCTGTCTGCCCCCGTATGTCTCTCAGTTACTCTTGCCACCACTGTAACCAACGGTCTGCCTGTTTGTTTATGTTTTTTTGATGTATCTGAGTTACTCTTGCAACCACTGCAAACACTGCAATCAACGGTTTGCCTGTTCGTGCATGTCTCTCAGTTACTCTCGCAACCACTACAACCAACGGTCTGCGTGTACGTGTATGTGTCTTAGTTACTCTCGCAACCACTGCAACCAACGGTCTCCCTGTAAGTGTATGTCTCTCAGTTACTCTTGCAACCACTGCAACCAACGGTCTGCCTGTAAGTGTATGTCTCTCAGTTACTCTTGCAACCACTGCAACCACTGCAACCAACGGTCTGCCAGTACGTGCATGTCTCTCAGTTACTCTTGCAACCACTGCAACCAACGGTCTGTCTGTACGTGTATGTGTCTCAGTTACTCTCGCAACCACTGCAACCACTGCAACCAACGGTCTGTCTGTACGTGTATGTGTCTCAGTTACTCTTGCAACCACTGCAACCACTGCAACCAACGGTCTGCCAGTACGTGCATGTCTCTCAGTTACTCTCGCAACCACTGCAACCAACGGTCTGTCTGTACGTGTATGTGTCTCAGTTACTCTCGCAACCACTGCAACCACTGCAACCAACGGTCTGTCTGTACGTGTACGTGTCTCAGTTACTCTCGCAACCACTGCAACCACTGCAACCAACGGTCTGTCTGTACGTGTATGTCTCTCAGTTACTCTCGCAACCACTGCAACCACTGCAACCACTGCAACCAACGGTCTGCCAGTACGTGCATGTCTCTCAGTTACTCTCGCAACCACTGCAACCAACGGTCTGTCTGTACGTGTATGTGTCTCAGTTACTCTCGCAACCACTGCAACCACTGCAACCAACGGTCTGTCTGTACGTGTATGTGTCTCAGTTACTCTCGCAACCACCGCAACCAACGGTCTGCCAGTAAGTGTATGTATCTCAGTTACTCTTGCAACCACTGCAACCAGTGCAACCAACGGTCTGCCAGTACGTGCATGTATCTGAGTTACTCTTGCAACCACTGCAACCACTGCAACCAACGGTCTGCCAGTACGTGCATGTCTCTCAGTTACTCTTGCAACCACTGCAAGCAACGGTCTGCCAGAACGTGCATGTCTCTCAGGTAGTCTCGCAACCACTGCAACCAACGGTCTGTCTGTACGTGTATGTGTCTCAGGTACTCTCGCAACCACTACACCCCACGGTCTGCCTGTACGTGTATGTGTCTCAGTTACTCTCGCAACCACTGCAACCACTGCAACCAACGGTCTGCCTGTACGTTCATATCCCTACATGACCAATGAATTGAAAGGTCTGCCTGATATTTCTGACATGTGACTCTTAAACCACTGTTACTGTGGAGGTATTCCTCTCTCTTAAGCTAAATATTTGGCACATAACTATAACACTGTAACGCTTGCCTCTTCCTGTTATTCGTTAACGTCTGCTTCTGCCAAACCCCCCAAAAAATCTATATTAATCCAATTAATCGAGAACCAATGAAGTTAATGCAACCACTGCAACGGAAGTAAAATAGTTGACCAATCAGAGACGACGTTCCGAGAGCTTCGTGCCGACCCGAACTATTGGAATTATGTTGAGCATTGTTCCTCTAGGCCTAAAAATGAGACCAGCCCGAAATTGTTCTGTGTTACTTGTATACCAGTCAGATAAAAGAAAAAATTGAAGTAGTGGCAATAAAGATATTGATGATATGACCAAACGCCTTTACTAAAACTGATCTTGTATTTAAATGAGCTAAGGAAATAGTGCACATAGAGCTGTAGCATTTGCTATCTTGAATTTTTTAACTGTTTTTAACCTTGTAAAAATTTCCCAATCAGGTAAATGCAATGGCTTTGCCTGTATGCTGCAAATATAAAAGCCACACTGAGTAATAATAATGTCATAAAAACCAACGTGAGTACCAGCCAACCTAAGAAATCTGCAAAGGAGACATTTAAAGCATTGAAAATCAAACAGAATTGTTGGAATCAATAGAAATCTCTTTATTGTTGGCCTGGTCTTACCAACAATTTAGTAACAGGCTTTCAAAAATGGTCTTCGCTGTTAAGGATAGGTAGGAAAAAGTCGGACTAAAACTTAAACATATCAGCCATTTTCAATTTTGACAGTTTTATCCAGGAAAAAAGCTTACAAAACAAGTGACCGAAGGTGGTTTGCTAACAAGTATTTATGTCTTTCTGTTATTCTTCATATGGAGGGAACATTATCTTAATCCTGAACTTTTGAGAATCCTTGTGATACTACCCTTTAAATAAATCTCTGACAAACAATTGAGTTAAATTAAAAACACCCTGATAAGATGATAACAATAATTGTTATCATCTTAAATTGTAATTATCACAATCTCTTACTTATCTATGCATGACTAGGCATATCATCATTTATAGAATTTAATCCTCTTCAGTGAACCATAGAGAGATTTGCATTTCCATAAGATCTGCAGTAGTTTTGAATTCAAAATTTTGATACCCACATATGATTATAACATACTGTTCAGAAACAACTAATAAAATTTGATGGACAACAAATTGGAAATGATCTTTCTCATCTTCATATTTATAAGTTTGTTGTGTAAATGAACCAGACTTATTAATCATACCTTGACTCACTTCTTTTGACAAGAACTCTAGAGGGAAAATCCTTTTGCAGTATTTTTGCAAAGACTCTTCACTGTTTTTCTGAAGCCTTTTTTTTGCCAGGTACAAAAGAAACCTTTATTTATAAGCCCGTTGTCATACGACCAGCGGTACGTCGTTTTAAATTAAACACCAAATTGACCAATCAGAGCGAGCCACGAGAGGCCGGCCTCTTTGAAGCTTCACAAAAAAGATAGTCCTTCAATTTCCCACGTCAGAATTTTGTTTTTCGTGGTTTATGGTTGTGTTTTGGACAAAATTTTGCCTTTTTGCTAAAATGAAACCAATAATCGGTAAGCTTATACCTTAATTTATCAACGTGTTAAGTTTAATTACATTCACTAGCTTCATGTCATTGTGTTTTTCAGGTGTTTTGTTATCGTGTTTCGTGACTTTGAGTAGAGCCCTTTACGGACCTCATACCGATGTCGTAGAGCTGACGGCAAATAATTTTAAATCTATGGTCATGGATAGTGATTCAGTATGGCTTGTAGAATTCTTTGCCCCGTGGTGAGTTAAAATTATACCTCTGTGGTTTTAGTTGATGCAAGATTTTGTGACAATGTAATAATGCCTCGACACGATGCAAGATTCAGGTCTAGCTATGCTAAGCTAAGCAATTACCGCAGCTAAAGTGGGATGAAAAGAAGCCCAGGTTATCAGCTTAGTTCTATGCGAAATTTTTCCATGTAAAATAGGTTTAAGCAACTCATACCAGTAATGCAAAATGGAATGTAATAAAATACCTTTCTTAATTTAATTTTGCCTAATTAATTAAGATGATCATGTTGACCATACAAAAGGATATAAACTGTTTACTATAAACTTTTTAAACATGTAAACATTTTCCCCTGAGTTGCTGTTACTTAAGCCAGGTTCTTATATGATACCAATAACCCTGTGAGTGCCACCTGGGATGCTGAGCTAACTGAAGTCGCCAGGAACAGAGCTGTAATACTTGGCTCAAGTTCAACTTCACAAGCATACCAGTGGCTAGCCTGCGACAACATCCATTTCTCCTCGCTCCTCGCCGCCAGGGACATTTCGCGAGGAGGAACGTCTGAAACTCAGTGACAGAAATTCCATACTGATGACGTAAAATCTGTCCGGAATCCAACGCTGATTGGACAACAGACTAGTTACATTGTTTTAGCTATTGTTTACGAATGACAGACAAAAGACAAAAGGCTACAAAGGTCAAATGTAAACACGATGAATCTATAACAAAACAGTCAATATTTGTGGAATATAATCTCTACAAAAGAAGCATTTAAGTTTTGCTAGAGCTTTTTCACAGATGAAGACAACACTTTACCAAAATCGACCAAGAGAAGTTTACTTAAAATTGAACAAAATTTGCATTTGGAACCCCATGACATGACTACCGAATCTTTATGTAAACATTGATTTTTGTCATCAGTATGGAATTTCTGTCACTGAGTCACAGACGTTCCTCCTCGCGAAACATCCACAAGTGTCGAGGAGCGAGGAGAAACAGCTGTTTTTGCAGGCTAACCATTGCCCAACCTGCAATGTTTCTTGTTGCCTGTCATCAGTGTTATAAAATATGTTGGTACAGTATCCCAGGTGGTAGCCATGTTGCAGTTAGATCGACAGCATAATTAGAACCAGGTCATAAGGGAACACAGAAACATCTGTTGTCTTACAAATGCCTTCGCTGGAAGAAGATCTCCTGGGGACCCAGTGGAATCCAGGCATGGGTACCCAAAGGAGTGGGTGTTCCTGAAACCTTCTTGGCCAAAATGTTCAGTCGTACTCTTCGTAATTCTCAAACTCTCTCAACAGACAACTGAATCAAAGAGCCTCTAATTCCATCCAGTGACAGTACTACCCCTTTGCTTTAATTCATGTGTAAAAAACCATTTTCAACCAGTAAACAAAGGATTGAATACAGAATTATTGTTTTACTCGCAGCTCACATTAAATACTTGAACTGTCAACTGCCTGTGCACAATTCTGGATCACAGCTCAGTGCATGAACAAAACAAAACCCTGTATACTTCCTCCAATTTGCTTTATTTCCAAAGAAGCTATTTGGTCCTTAATGAATGATACAAGCAAAGGAAAAGGGACCAAAATAATAATTACATTTGACAGTTGAAATAACAGGAAGTTCAAAAATTTTCTTGCTCAACATATCATCTCTCAAAAATCAATCCTTAATGCTTAACCTTTTTCCTCACCCCGCCCTAATCGGGGATCATCAATAATTAGGTTAACCCTTCAAGTCCCGATAGTGACCAACATCAATTTTCTCCTACAATATCCATATGTTGCCAAGAGAAATGATTATGAGAGTTAATAAAATGATCACCAAAGAAAAAATGCTTTGATCTGTTATCAAACTGTCTCAACTATTTTGTTAAGGAAATGTATGAAAGTCAGTATGGAGAATTTATATATGGATTTCGGGGCTTAAAGGGTTAAGAACTAACAGAGTGAATGGTTGGGTCAGCTGTGCATAAATCAAACAACAATAAATTTATTGAGCAAATTGTGTTCAAGTTGTTTCTTTGTTTCTGAAGGTGTGGACATTGTAAGGCATTAGCTCCTGAATGGATTAAAGCAGCATCAGCTCTTAAGGTGCAGTTCTTAAAACCATCAGAATTATTTTGTTTTAACCATTATTTTCAACTATCACACAATGCGCAAAGTTGTATATCTGTTCCCATTTCTTGACATGTCAAGTTTTGGTGCAAAGTAGAAAGTAAAACTTAAGCTCATTGACTATAGATGAGTATGGGGAAGTTGGCTAAAAATCGGTGGGAGCCGTAAGCAAAAATGAAATGTAACCTTGACAACCCTATGAGTGGCAACTGCCAGACACTGTGACTAAAGAACTTTTGCCTTTGAAATTCATCACCCAAAACTTTTCTTGACCTCTAGTTTACAATGGCTGCAACTATAGGCCAAGTTTGGATTCGTTTACTGGCAGCTTTGTTACTTGGTTATTGCAGACACCAACCTATTATATATATATAGCCAACTCAAGTTTCAACATAGTTACGTAATCCACGCAAGTTTCATGCAAAATGCGAATATTTTCAACAAAATATTACTATAACCCTCCTTTTATGAGGAATTTTAAAAGCACATCCAGAGGGAAAGGAGGGCTGTGAGCAAAAAGGTTAGCTGGATGTAACAGGCAATTAACCCCAGATCACATCTTATAATAGACTGTGGAGACTATCATCAATACTTTTGGTGTTATGCTACAACCTGTACAGTTACTAATGTCACTATGTTTTGTTGTTAGGGAGTTGTCAAAGTTGGAGCAGTAGACATGGATAATCAAATGAATCAACAAATAGGTGGCCAGTATGGGATCCGTGGATTCCCCACAATAAAGGTATCTGTGTCTGATGTTTATAGCCCAAAAGTCTTCTGGAATAGCTAACAGTCTTATTCCATTGTGCATTTGGGTAGACACGTCGTACGCATGTTTATGATGACTGCAAGACTTACACATGATTTTTCACATCACACTTGAAATCATGTCAGTCTTGTGAGACTCAGGGCACCTACTTTGCCAAAAGTGGCTGGATGGGTTCATTCTTGGATAGTGACAGTGCATGGCATTGACAGGTTTTAGTCTAAATTTCAAGAAAAGACTGCTATTTTTGATTACTCTGTCCATTGGAAAATGCCCTTAGTAGTAAAACATTCACATGTAATCCTTTTCCTGCTAAATGAAAGCAAATATTTTTAAAATTGTCTATCTTAGGTTTTTGGAGCCAACAAGAACAAGCCAGATGACTATAATGGTATGTGTTGTCAGTTGTAGGGTTATTTTACTAAAGAATAAAGCGTTTTGTTGCTTTTAGTAATAAGTATTGGTGATAAGTGTTGGCAATATTGGAGACGGTCAGTCACAGTGGTTATGGTCATGGTGATGGTGGTAGTAATTTAAAGGGGTTGTAACTGATAAATATTATTACAGTCAAACCAGGTCAAGCGTTCCCGTCGCTAACAAACTAATGAATTCATTAATGGAAAAATGATTTCGTTTGTTGATTCAATAATCCATTCATAAAATGAATAATCCAACGGTCAAATTGTACCTCGATTCAATAATCAAATGTTGATTTGGTTTATGAACAAAATCTACCTGTTCTTTATTCTTGTCTGTTGTGTTCAATCGTATTTGCTTCCCTTTTCCTGCTGTTTACGATTGCGTTTTTCATTGCCTTTAATCAAAATAACAGCTAGAATAGACAGACCGCAAACGCAAAGAAACTGACAAAGGCCGAGGATCGAAATCCACCAATCACCGCACATACACTGACCTCAGTTTGACCGTCGTGTTTTCTAAGAGGTCAGGCCTAGGTCTGTTGCACTGATTATTGGCAGCAAACTGGCGTACATGTAACAGTTTGTTTGGGTTTCAACTTCAGAACTCGCCAGCACTTGACTCTCAGAAAAAAAAGAGGAAAACACAAAATTCTGAGGTCAACTTGTGGAAAGTGTAATTTTTCAAAAAACAGTAATCGAATCAACATTCGATTATGGAATCGAGGCTAAATATGACTATTGGATTGCTCATTTTATGAATGGATTATTGAATCAACAAACGAAATCATTTTTCCGTGAATGAATTCATTAGTTCGGTAGCGACGGGAACGCTTGACCTGGTTTGACTGTAATATTATTGTAACAGTTTGTATCTTGTGCATACCCTAAGGTGCTAGAACTGCACAGGCCATCTGTGATTCTGGTCTCAGTGCTCTCAAATCCATGGTGAAAGACAGGTTGTCAGGAGGAGGACGTCGATCTGGTTCCAGTGGAGGAGGAAAGCAGGTAGATTTTTAAAGCTTTGTTTATTAATTATTGTTTGTCCTTTGACAGTAACTGTCATCTTCTTCAGCTTTTTGTGAAATTTTACAAAACCCTTGTTTAACATCTTCTCATGTTTTGATCAAAGCATGGAGAGAGTGGACACGCTTTTGCCATTTTTGAATTTAAGCCTTGTTGCAAAACGCAAGTATCTGTCAGCACTTTAAAATAAGTATTTAAATGTTTTTCACAGGGCAGTGGAAAAGCTGGAGACAAAAAGGATGTTATTGAGTTGACAGACAGCAACTTTGAAGAAGAAGTTCTTAACACAAAGGACTTGGTTCTAGTGGAATTCTTTGCACCATGGTAAGTGTTTTAAAGTTTTTAAATTGAGCTTGTTAGGAGATCAGTGTTTTTTCAGGAGTTAAGAGTAAAAAGTAAAGGGATACCCATAGGTTTCTTCAATCCTGGAATCCCATTGGTTTTTATGAATTGGCTAATCGCAATCGTGGACATTCCTTTTAAGACCTGCCTTAAGTAAAGAAATAAGATAATGAAATCAAACAAGTGCTGTGCTCAAAAAGGCACTTGACAAGGTCAAGGAAAAATAATATGAGCAACTTTTGTTAAGTCAAGATGGGTGGAATTTTCAACATTAATTATAAGCAAATGAAGCTTAGTGGTAGTTTCCTTACAGGAATATCAGTCCTTTAAAACATTTGCCAAATCCCGCATGGCAAAATCACTATTAAACCTGGTATCCCATTCATAACGTACATCCCAAAATCAGTTGTGCTCCTGTTTGTCTCTAAAATCCTGAATTATCCTAGCCTTCAACATGTTGAATCCTGTACCCAAGAAAACCTACTGCTGCTGGATGCTCAAAAAGAGAGCCAATGATTTGCCTGCACAGCTGGTGATTTTGCGTCTTTGCCGCTCATTTCTTCACTTAACAAAAAATAATAATGATAATAAACTCACTCAGTGCCAGCTATGCAGGCTACTGCAGGATCCAGCAGCTTTTCTTTAGCAATCTTTTCTATCATCATCATTAAACTTCAAACTGGAGCTGATAAAAGCATTTAATATCTTCTTGTTTATCCTAGGTGTGGTCACTGCCAAAGGCTGGCCCCAGAATGGGCCAAAGCAGCAACAGAACTTAAAGGCAAAGTGAAAGTTGCTGCTCTTGATGCTACCGTTCATACTGTCTCAGCTAGCAGATATCAAATTCAAGGCTACCCGTCCATTAAAGTGTTTAATGCAGGAGTTAAGAATGCACATAGTGTTGAAGACTATGAAGGACCAAGATCTGCTTCCGATATTATCCAGTTTGCTCTGGATAAGCTTGCAGAATCCATTGAGCCACCAGAGGTTTTACAAATTGTTAAGAGTCAGGTACTGAAAGAAAACTGCGATGACAAACCCATCTGCATTGTTGCTGTTTTACCACACATCCTGGACACTGGGGCATCTGGAAGAAACCAGTATCTGAAAATCATGAAATCAATGGGCGAGAAATATAAGAAGAAGCAGTGGGGTTGGATTTGGGCTGAAGCTGGGGCACAGCCAAAGCTTGAAGATGCTTTGGGTATGGGAGGATTTGGTTATCCTGCTATGGCAGCCGTTAATGTGCGCAAAATGAAGTATGCTACCTTAAAGGGTCCCTTTGACAATAATGGTGTTGAGGAATTCCTAAGGACTGTTTCGGTTGGGCGTGGCTCCACCTCTCCTGTCAAGGGTGCAGCTTTACCCAGTATTGACGACACAGAACCATGGGATGGAAAAGATGGAGAGATGCCAGTAGAAGAGGATATTGATTTGTCAGATGTAGATATGGATGAAGATGAAACACCTAAGAAGGAGGAACTATAAGACAGTGCACCTGGCTTGTTTGTTAACTTGTGTGCCAAATTTTTATGTCCTGTTCCACAGCTTGTCCACAACAAGACTTCTTTCAAATTTTGTTTTGTTGTGTCCATAATATTTTCTAAACTCACTTGGAACTTATTCCATGTTGAGACCTTCATTGTGGATCGAAGTGCTCTATAAAAGATACACAAGCAAGTTTAGGATGGATTTTTATTACTGGCAGGTTTCCTTAGTATTAAAGTGAAATTCTTCAATAAAAATAAATAAATGCCTTGAAAAGGGGGCTTAACATGATTGATGTCAATCACCATCTTGAGGCTTTGTTGCTCTTTGTGTTATTCTTGTCATAGAAAATTACCACTACAACTATAACAATGGGTATTGCTTTATGCGGACAAAAAGGAAACTAGCCTTTGATGTTTAACCCACTTAATAAATGGGCATGTGCAACTGGGTTTTAAAATCGTTAGAAAAACATGCCACTTTTCATTTTGGTTCTGTTAAGGGCAGCTACCTTGTCATGATATTTTAAAATTTTTTTAACCTGGCTGGATTTCAGTTTCTCTTCATTTAATTCCCTTTCACTGCTTACTTTTGCTACTTGTATTGTAATATCAAAGTAGTCCCCTGGCCCATCAGGATTCAAATCTATGACCTCTTCTTCTTTCACAGGTGTTTATTAGCCTACGTCACAGACATAATTTAACTCTGGTTAGTAACGACTGGAAAGGAGCACCCAGATCCTTGCTCTGGGCCCCCAACGGACTCAACAAATCAACAGAAGTACATTTTGAATTTCCTTTCAACTTGATTGGCAAATCAACAATGGCTTTTTTAACAGCCCAATCATGGCATGTTCTCAAATCCTGGTACACAGCTGGGGGCCCAGAACACGAACTTCTGTGCTGTTTCACAGATAGATTTAACCAGAGTTAATTTTTGTCTGTGGCACAGGCTACTTAGTGTTTATGCACTTTAGTTAATCCGAGGAAATTCATTTGCAAACAAAGTATTCACTCTAGACATATTCCAGATTCAAAATCTCCAAACATGCAACCAAACTAAGAATTTATTGGGTTAATGCATCTACATGTACGACAACAGCAAAACAAACCCACTACCAATAATGTTCTTAATTCATCAAGAATTCAGTGCAATTCCCTGTAGTGTAAACCTGGCCCTGGTCAAACTCTGTATCAGGGTTTTCAATAAGGTTTTAAGTAGGGAGCAAAAGCTCTGGAGTAGGCAGAGCAGGAAACGACTTGTGATAACAGCATGGGTTTCTAAGGGAGTCCAGTGGTCTGCCCCAAACACACCTCCCCGAAAATATATTTTGACACCTGGACCTCATAGAATGCATTCCCAGCTTTCCAGAGCAAAAGTAAAAAATTACAGCGTTTGAACAGAACACAGACATCATTAAACTTTGGCTTTTTTATTCATGTGAAACATCTGGCTAAAGTCGCTGTCTGCCAGCTCTTATTGAAAATCCCGCTGTATTTTAAACACCAAAATGTCAACAATTTCATCTGATGTTACATTTTATGCAACTGGGCTCACTTTTGTTGGCCTCCTGTGTGTAGGGTAATGAATTAATGGTAATGTCATAATTACAACACTCTTCAAATGTGTGCATTGGAGCTAAGACTATAGTTGCTTGGAATGCATCCATTCCCTTTACCTTACAACAAATCAATGTTTAACTGATCCAGTCATGCATGTAGGTAACTTTAATAACAAAATCTATTAAAAAGTACAAATTTACACAGGGCAGTCATTACACTGACAAAATAATGTCTCTTTGCATAAATAACTTTGTAAGCAAACAACACACAGGTGATTTCAAAATTTATAAAAAAAAAAACAATTTTATTTATTAAATGTTCACATCACCAATGCACAATTAAAGAATTATTAATGTTTAAATCAGTATTGAAATCTCCGCTAGATCTGCTTTAGAGGGTGCCTGAATTGAACCCCTTTTTATGCCTCCCTTTAAATTATCATTAAGTCTTGATCCAATATTATATATTTACCATTCAACAGTCACAAGTAGGACATGATGACCAAATGAGAACATCTTAAAAAATAATTTTAAAACCTCATAATTCACAATCAAAAAAAATACAAAGGAAATTAATGTTGAAGATCTGATAAAGCACAGCTGAGGTTCTAGCTCCAATTTGGTCAGGATAACCATTCACATGAAAAAGTAAGGGTTATTCTACTGAATTAACTGATCTACTACAGGAAGGTTTTAAACCTTCAGTTGTATTTTAAGTATGATAAAACACTCCTGATCATCATAAACTACTATCCAAACTTTTCTCGTAAGATTTGTGTAACAAAAATTAATACTAAAAAATTTTTTATAATTTTGTTTTTATGGTTGTATTGTCTTTGCTTGCTAACTCTCACAAAGAGCCAAAGAACATTCACCCTAAAGTTAATAATTATGTTGACAAATTTTTATTAATAGTCATAACCATTAGAATCGTAGATAAATAATTTTTTACTTGTTTACCATCCAAAAATAAGGATCCTCTTTTGACTATTTTATATCGCAGCTACTGTTTTTAAAGAAAACAAAGTTTAAAGGCAAAGTGGAAATATGTAAAGCAAGAATGTCAATCAGCGTTTGAGGCAAGACAAAAGGCTATACTCCGTACAACGTGAACACTGCTCATCTTATGAGTGGCAGATGACAAAATAATCTTGTGACTCATTGTCCAAGGGAGATTTTTAAGTTGTAAAAGCCTTTTTTTTTGCAAATAATGAACCGGGGACTGGGTAGGAATGCCTAAAAATTGAGAGGAATAAAATTGCAAAACCTAAGCCCATCACTGAGAGCATTTGAATGTAAGTACATTCACTAAATATCAATGTATTCATCCTAGGAGATCCAGGGACAGTCAGTCGGGCTGAGAGAGGAGGCTTGACAAAAGTATTCAAGCACGGGCGGGAGAGGTCCTCGGTACCGACTCTCACCGAACCATTCCAAACGGTAAAGCAAATGCTGGCTCCTGATTGGGCACCAAAAATGCTTTACATTATAGCGCCCAATTGGCAAACAGCATCTCCTCAGTTCTTTTCATGAGTTTGTACACAACGGGTTTTGTCTCACCGTACTTGTCTGGTTCATAGTTCCCCAAGGTTGTGTGTGCAAGGGAAACTTTCATTTTCTACTTATTCCTTGCACTGAGAAAATTCTGTTTCTGACTGATCACAAGTCAGACTATCATGAATCATACAAAGTTTAAGACACCCCAACAGTAATGACAATGAGAACATCAGGTAAACAAAAGCTAGACAAGGCAAAACAACAACTTTGCACATGCATCACATTTTCTGTACATTTCTTTGCCATCACTGCACAACTACCATGTGAAAATGCCTATTTCCACATTTTGTGTATACAAGCAATGACAAACTTTTCTTTCTCTTTCTGAATTTGGATATGGTTGAAAGGAATTCAGCTCCAGAAGATCAGAATTTGCTTGTATTTGACGAAGTAAGCGAGATGGAATAATGATGATAAAGATTGAAAACATGCAAAGTCACTTTTCAAGCAACGTTTCCACGGCCATTAGCCATCGTGGTATCTTAAACTCCCTAATATTTATGAAGGCAAGATCAATTCAAGCTTGAATACCGGTTGTAAGCTCAAGCTTGTATTTTTGGAAAAGTGTCTCTAAAATACCCTTACATATGTTTCTACGTTTTAGTTTTTGGGTATACAGTATTTTGAAATGGGTAGCTTATATCAAAGTGAAAGTTTCCTGATTGCATGCATTCCTTTGGTGCATGAGCCAGGACTAGACAAGCCGTGATCAAGACAATAGCCGTGATGTACAAACTCACAAAAAGAACTCAGGAGTTACTGTTTGCGAATTCAACTCAATAATACAAAGCATTTTTGTGCCCAATCAGGAGGCAGCATTCGCCAGACCATTTGGAAATGGGGGTCCGGTCAGTTAGGGTACCCAGGGGCTCTTCCACCCATGCTTGAAGACTCCTGTTGCACCTTTTCTCCTGGCCCGACTGACAGCTCCTGGGTCTCCGAGGATTCAGTGCATAATTGGCTTGAATGTTAAAACACACAGTACACTTTTGAAAATCTGTGATGTGAGAGCTTTGTTGGGTTGCAGGGACAAAGGGGCCTCAAATCAATACCCAGCTTATTTTTTTGAAAGCCAACAGTAAATTATTGACTTTTTTTTTTCCAAAGCACACTCAAATTTTACAATCTGAATTAAGCTTTGCTCCTTTTACAAGTGGTATGTGGATTCACTTGTCAACTAGTCTACAAGCAGTCTGTTTGTTTTTCTTAGTCCATCAAGCAAAGAAAAAGAGCAAAGAAATCCAATCAAATCTGGTTACTTTATAGGCCTTTTTACCCAGTCCCTCACTCATTTTAATAGAAACAGACTTATTTTCGTGAAAGCTAAAATATCCAAAAATTCTAAAATTTTATTATTTATTTTATTTAATAACTTTCCAGCCCTCCCTTGTTAGCAAAGCATACACAGTATCTATAAGGGAAGACGTATTAAAACCATATTATTCAGCTTAGAGATCATCATCTCCAATCCCTTCAAACACTTCATTTGTTGTCATGGCTGCACCATTAGTGGCTGGAGGCAGCTTCTGCTTGGTTACCTGAGTTTTAGCCTGTCAGGAAATATTTAAAAATTATAATTCACAATAAACAGGAGCTGTATTAAATCTTATTCTGTTATTAAATTTCCGTTATTCACCCTCAGCAGTATTTATAGCACTAATGCTAGTGGGGCCACAGCAAATCCTTGAAACCAATAATTTAAATCACACATAATGGGGTTAGCAATCCCAACTGGCCAGAAGCAAACCAGTTGGCTATTTACAAGCATGGTCGAGGATTTGAACACAGGAATACCGACAACAAATCCAGCTAGCCTTCAGGGTGGGGCTTCAACTCAGGGTCTCCAAATTTCAAGTCCAGAACATTGGATAGCGCTATCCACCGGATATTAAGTCACTATTCAGCAGATAAGTATTGGGGAAACTAATTGCACTATCCACTGGATAGAGATTTATCCGGTGGATAGCACTATCCAGCCTTTGAACAACCAATGCCAGGGCTCTAACTGCTTGGCCACGCTGCCCCCTATACTACCAAAACTGCAAGCGAACAGGGCAGTGAAACATTCTTCAAAGGGAATAAACACACAAATCATTAACAGCAACTTAAGAGGAACGTGAAATAAAACAATGCCACAAGTGGCCTTCAATGCATAACTTGGAACCCCAACTTTGAGGTAGAAATGCTGCAAGGTGAGATGTCTCTATTTCTCTCCATGCTAAAAAAAAATAGAATACTGACGGCCTGATAAAGAAGAAACTTTGCTCTCCAAACAAGTCCTAATCAGGCAGTTTGTTTAGGAAAACAGAAAATGAAATGAGATTCACATTTATACCGTTCATACCTGTCTGGAAGCAACTTTTCTTCCAGGAGAAGTTGGTGGACTTGTTGATGGAGAGGTAGAGTTATTATTTTTACTGTTCACAACTTTGCTCTCTTGATCTGTATCACCCTAATGAAAACAAAAAGAAATCAATGTATTTTCCTTAACACTTTTAAATGGCTGACTACTACATGAAATGAACTTACTTAATTCAAATAAATGTACATGTAATAACTAAATTTGGAATGTTATGCAGCTCTGCATGCTTAGCTTGTGCTCATAAGTAACTCACATTACCTATAATTTACAAGATGGTATGGCTGACAGAAGATTCTACATGGCCTTGCTGCAAGTTACCTTTAGCCTATGTTGGTTATAAGCATTTTAATATACAAGGTCACAATAACAGATAGAATTAAGGATCACTTAGACTCGGCATTTAATTAAGGAGAACTTTGAAGTAACTCTGCAGAGATAATTTTTCTTTCAAGCAATATGGCATCATGGAATAAGTTAAACAAGGACAACAAGAACAGTTTCAACATTGATCTTTTCAAGCATTATGCCTGTAGGGAATTTTGCACATCTTTACTTTGACTTACATGTATGTAATATTTTAAGGATAATTCTTTTAATTCATCTCAGATAATTTTAAGTAGTTTAGGGAAATGTTTAGGCAATGTAAACAAACAACAACAATATTATATTTTAAAATCAGTTGGCCTGGTGACCTACCTCAGCTGATGCCTCTGACGAGATGGAATTATTACGCTGAAAATCTGGAGCAGCTGCATTTTTAGCTTTTGAGCGATCTTTCGGCTGAAAAAATATATGTTTTTATTTCAATAATTAACAAATCAATCCCAATTAATCTAACTGACCATGATCGCTAGAAACTGGCAAAACATCAGACAACTTCCTAGATTCTGTATCCTCGTTACCCTCCATCTGGTTAGGCCCGGTTTATTTGGAGGAAAGTTGTCTATGTTAGAACAGTCAGCGGCATGCCTACCCAAGCTACCGTGGGCAAGCCAACTTTTCATATTCTGGAAAGCTGGAAAGCTTTTGTCCTGCCTCCAAAACCATATTGGATAGGCATTAACAAACCATTTACATGAGAAACCGCAAAAAGTTGGCTGAGCTAGAAGGTTGACCCGGCTACCCGGGTAACCTTTCCGCGATGGTACGGTCTCCCTTCTTGCCAGGTCAACTTTTCTCCATAAACAATTTGGCTCACTTAACCAGGTCAACTCAGTCAAGGCGAGACAATAAATATAGCATGCACAAGAGCCGTTGGCTCGGGCAAAGGGGTCAACTTTTTTCTCTTATAAATGCCCACTAGACGCAGATGGGAGGTTCACCTTTTTACCGGGGCAGGGCCTTAGTACCAATGCTACACCTAATCATTCACCTAATTAACACATAAAAAATTATACAGGTACATACTATTTATTTGTGTATTGTAAGGGAAAAACTTAAAGTTGCTTACCCTTTTGACTGGTTTTCCTTGTTTGATTCGAAGGATCTCATCCACAATGCTTTGAAGACAAAGGCTCATAAGAATTGCCTATTTAAATAGTAAATAAAAAACAAATGGCCGAGCGTGAACATGCAGAGAGTAGACTTGGTGTGGTACAGCCCAATTTTGTCATTTTATTCCTGTTGCCATTCAGTGCCATCTTTCACTCTTTTATATGTGGGGAAGGGGATTGATAGAGGCTCTTGGTAGTTGGCACAAGCTGTTGAGGGAACAATGATGAACTTCATCTTTTAAAGAAGATGCCTTATAAATGGTTCCTTTTTGGGCTTCCTAACCACATTGCTTCTGTGTACTTTCTGTATTCTTGTCTTTTTTTTTCTGTAGTGAAATAAATAGACTAACTAAAGGTGGTCTATTGACCTAACCAAGAAAAAAAGCTTTCTGGCGACATGTCCCCAAGCCTTCCAAAAGATGTTGGAGTTAAAGTATACAAATAATAATTATGTCTTTTACCTGGTCACTGTAGATTGTTATCCATTGCATCTGATCTTTTCTTAGAAGGTATTCAAATGCAAGCTCCAAATGTTCCTCTTTTTCCCCATTCTCATTGATGTCGCTCTATAATCACGCAAAATAAATATAACTCACTGCAACCAACCAAATGGTCCTAACACACCATTTCATTTTCAGTATTGACTAGACAGGCTAACCTGATATATAACAGAGTCAATTGATATTTCCTAGAAATGTGGGAAAGAGGGAGATACCTTCCTCTAAGAAAGATCAAAGCAACTCTTACACACTGTAAAAAGGTTAAGTCAGGTTTAGCCATGGTTTTTAGGTATACAGTGTACAGGGGGTTTTTGTAGGGCACCATGGGTTTCAATATACAAAAAGATGTTCTTGCGGTACATGGAAATCTGATAACCCAGCCTCCCTGTACACCTCAACCCCCTGAGATTCCTGACTAGTACAACATACACCTACAATACATCAACAAAATTTAATGCCAGTAATAATTAATTAAATCAACAAATTGAACAACTCACTGTTGCCGTTATTCTCCAACACCTCATTCTGGTGACCTTGAAGCTCCCTTCTTGTACTTTGTGCTTTAAACAAAAGAAAAACCAAGAACAGATTTTATTATGACGGTTTGCTAGTGATGGTTTATAGAACATTATAATTTGAACCTTTCAGTACATTACTAGCCCAAAAGCATAAAAAGGCGGTAATCTGGTTAACATAGGCCATTAATTTTGCACCATTCCATTTTAATACTACCAGAATCCATTTCAGATTTAAATTTGGTGGTGAGGCTTAAAAAACAAAAGCCCTAATTTGTCCAGGAAAGCAAACCCCTGAAGGATATACATCTGGTAGAGTAAAAATATTACTGGGTGTTTATAAGAAGGATCCAAGAACTTACATCTGGAGTTTGAAGTCTAAAATTAAGTTCTCTGTCCCCAATGCTAACAATAACTCTTGTGTCTTCCTCGGGGTAATTTGTTGTACAGGGCTTGAACTGCATGTATCCATAGAATTTCAGTGATCTGGCTAATTGTAAGAACTGTGATACAAAATATTAATCATAAAATGGATCACAGAATTAAACTCAATTTAATTCATGAACTACCTGGGCTAGGAGAAAACAGAAATTGAGAATCAACGTTAACCTAGGTTAAAAAAAATTTAAACCTGAAATTAATTTTGACCTGTAACCTATACATTGATCAAGAAACAGACATAATACTTTTTGATCTCCTGGATCTGCTATCAGTAAGACAAAACTGCTTCAATTGAACAATACATTTTTTGTAAACTAACCATCAGTAATAGTTATAACACCTTACAGTTTCATGCCTGCTGGTGTAAATGTTGCAGGTCAAAATTATCCTTGAGTGAATCAGGGTATTAACATTTAAAAAATATAAATGCATGATATATAACAAGGCCATGAAAAAGCAAGATATACATTAAACAAAGGATAAAACTGAACCATAACATAATATACACAACCACTTGTGATGTGCTTATAATTGATTACTTAATCAATCATCGATCAAAATCTTTAAGTGATGCAATAATAATATATTTATTATTGATGAAATCTCAGCCAATTCCCAACACTAGTTTCTGCTCAATCGCTCAATTTCCTGTCTTAATTTTTTCGTTTGTATTTTTACTGAACTGAAGAGTATCGTTAAAGGCTGAGAAAATTGTAAGAACACAAAAGCTCCAACCTTTAAAATCCAGTATAAACCAGTATATATTGAGTCCTGTGAAAGACCATAAAAGACAAAGGAAGCCACCAGGGACCAGCAGGTGCCACTAGTCAGAAGACAGGTGTTAACTTACAACTTGATTATAGAGTTAAATTAAATAATTATGCTATCCTTTATTAGAAATCATAAACAAAATAGCTTACCTCAAGTTTGGCACCTTTCTGTTTGAGTTGTGCTAGTTTGCTATGGGCTTCCTTTGGGCCAAATGACCATCCTTTGTCCAGATCACTGACAGCCTGTACAACACAAAAACCTAAATATTATTATTAAATACAGTGGAAGCTTTCCTTATGGACACTCTTGTAGGCAGATATCTCTAACAACAATACTGTTACCTCATACTTACCACAGATTCTGAGTGGGAGGGAGGGCAGGAAGCTAAATCGCCGAGCATAATTGAAACAGGCAAAGCTCACGTGATCCCGAATGAGTTGACCTCAAGTCAACTGCAGAGCTGTAAAACCCTGCAACCCCCTGCAGACCTCTGACCACTCCCTATGCCTGTGACATGGGAGGCTGCTGATCAGCATTGTTTCGCGTTTAACTTTAAGCTTAAATTACAGCTAACCACATCTATGCACAAAATTGTAAAATTTCTGAGTAGATTATTTTTTAAGCGTCTGAACAATTTCTTGTAAATTTAGGGTTGGAGCCATCGAGGGAGTCACATAGAACTGACTTGCAAAACAACATTATATAAAAGCAGCCTTTTAGCCTTTAAAATTTTGTTGTTTTTGCACACATTATTGAATTTTAATAAACTGTAATTACAAGATTTCTTGTTGATTATGCAACTAGCTGTGAAATATAACCAAAGTATCTTGTTATATTAAAAGCTATTTCACTTGTTCATACATGCACTTCAGGTCTTAAACAGTCTCAGTACAGATTTCAAAACTTGTAGACCATCCCACTTCACCACAATGATAAAATCTGTTAAGTTTACCTGGACATACAAAAGATTCATTCCTATTCGGTCTTGAACTATCTTATCCTCAATTTTTGCATCCCACAGGCTGAAAAGTAGACAAAACAACTGAAAAAAAGCAACTGAAACATCTATCTTCAACATGTCAGCTACCCCAAGAAGGAATTTTTTGTCCGTTGTAAACCAAATCACCATTTCAATGGCTTACAAGACAACTTATTCGCTGGAAATTGAGCTACACTGTATTGTCATACTGAAACTTGATCTTTCAAACCAAAGTAATGTTATGCACCTATCAATGTAAACCCCATGGGGGGGAGGAGTACGGGCAAGGGGTGGGGATTTGACAAATTTTGAAATTTTTGGATCAAATTCCCCAGGGTGGGAAACGAAAGGTCGATCAAAAGTGTCAAAAAAGCCCCCACCCCAGGGGAAAAAAATCTAAACAAACAATACTTTAACACTATATAAAACAAATTAAAAGAATATTTCAAAAGTACATTCTTACTACTTTTATTTATGATTAACGTAAGCTCCGTTAAATTACTCGCTGTAATTAAGTATTTTCTCTCTCCACTAGCATCTCCTATTTTGAACAACAAAATCACTCCAGGAAGATTGAATGTGCTATTATGATATTAATGAAACGTAAAATGCTTTATAACATCTGCTCAACATGTCGGAACAGGTCGGATCAGTGACCCGTAAAACATCCTCTGACTTTCATGGTGGAATTCGATTTCAATCGAGTTTTACAATCAAATGGGAACTTGAAGATAAAACCTTTCTCAAAATAGACATTATCTGTTTAGATGACAGTTTAAAGTATCGGATTATGGTGATTAAAACAAATGAAAACTTCATACCTTTCTCCAACAGCGTGACTTTCAGAAAGCCTTGAGGGACGGACTTGGTAACCTCTTCTGAATTGATAACAGGCTTCTGTCGGTCAAAGTCAAATGTCCCGACCCCAGCGTCACTTCACACGATCAAAAGCCCGACAGGGGATAGTCTCAGGCATCAAATCCCTGCCCCTTGCCCGCACTTGTACTCCCCCTCCCCCCCCCACGGGATTTACATTGATAGGTGCATTAGTTTTTAAAGAGTAAATTAGCTGCACTGAAAATGATATCAATGAACACTGATCTACAAAATCATAGTGTGATCATGATAGTGGAAGTTCAGGTGACCTCTAGCACTGAACGTGTGGCTTTTAAATACATTTAGTAAAACAAGAAAATATTAATTATTGAAAGTTACGAATAACAAAGTTGGTTTTAACAGAGAACATTATTTTTTATTTTTTTAAAATGACAGTAATTTAGTATTAGTTTAGACCTACGTTTTCCTGACAGCTACACGACAAGTTCCTGACTGTTGCTTCAGTGTCAAATAGGGTGCTTCAAACTCTTGAAATTTTCTCACAACTAAAAGAACATAAACCATAACTCAATAAGATCACATACAGTTCTCCACAGATCACTTCAGAGAGTGAAAAAGTCAAGTACATGTAAAGTTACTCACTCGTAGCTTCACCATCATCTGCTCTTTTGATCAGAAAAAGACCAAAGTAATAAACAAGTTCTTCATTAAGATCAATTTCTGTCATCAGTGCCTGAGAAAAAGTCACACACAGTTTAAAATTTTTTTCTTGATTGTCTTACTAACAAAGTAACAATGAAAGACTGTTTGATTCAAACAGGTACATATACAGTAAACATTCATCAAGTTGACTGATTATTTACATGTACACGTAGGGCTGTCACTATATAGATTTCCAGTTGCCGGTTTTTTGCATAGGTAGGGAATTGAACAGCAAGGAAGTTCATTTGGTTCCATTTCCCTTTTATTTCCTGTCAAATTAAGCTGCATGATATGTCATCCTCATAAATAGTCACAGGAAATTACCAGCCATGATGGGGCTAGCGACAGCCCTGTTATTTACATTATAATTTATACTCAAAAAATGACAGACTCAAAGGATCTGCTCTACCTACTTGACTGACTGGTCAACACAATGATCCCCTGGCATGACTCACAATACTTAATATTATCTGACTTGTGGACTTGACTTCATGATTATGAAATAACTGATTGATTCAACAGACTACAAGTACAGCTTGACTACTTGCATCACTGTTCAACTGCTCTCCTGATACAATGGCTAAGAACAGCCTAACAGATTTATTTTCTACCTCAATAAAAAACCTATGACTTGTGACTGACTGACAGACTGACTGACGTAACCACCTCCCTGTTAATCTACATTGATTTGACATTCTAACTATTATCGACCAACCAAAATACTTGATGGATAGCCGATTGACTGACACCTTTACTGACTGGCTTACTAGCTGATTACACCTGGTTAACTGACTTGACTTGACTGACTGCCTGACTGACCGACCTAATTGCATGGCTGAGTGACCTGACTCACTCACTCACTCACTCGCTTGCATGGCTGAGTGACTGACTGACTGATGGACAGACTGACAAGACTAGCTGACCTAACCCACTGACAGGCTACAAACAACGATGTAAATGACCTGATTGGCTGAATGGAAGACTTGTTTCCTTGAGTGACAGATTTGATCAACAGACTGATCTGACTGTAGCTGGCTCTGACTGACTGATTGACAAGAATCATGGACCAGCTGGTCAAATGACTTGTCTGACTAACCAGTACGGCTGACTGACTGACAGACCAGCTGACCAAATGACTTGTCTTAATGATTAACTTGTATGGCTTGGCCTGACTGACCAACTTGACTGGCATGGTCCCCGGAGAGACAAATTTACTTAAAATACATGTAGTATGAAGTGATCAGTTGCTGACTTGACAGCTGACAGGCTAGCCAGCTGACCAAATAAATAAATGACAGCAATATGCACACTCTTTAAACAATTCTTTGGTTTCAAGAGTGTCGGACTGGTGGAATGACTCACAACTGACTGGATGGATGACTGATTAGCTGGTAACCTATTATGACTTGCTGATCTGACTGATAGAATCACTGACTAATGTGACTGCTGGACTAATCAAATTTCAACAAGCAAAGTGGGAGAGAGACGAGAATAGTAAGATACAGTAATATTATTATGAGGCAGTTTATCAACAAAGCCTCTCACCTCTAGCACATCATCCGTTCTGTCAGTAGACTGAATATTCAACGCCACCTTTTGACCATTCATCAAATAAATATCAAGCTGAACACTCTCTGAGGACACCTTTAAAGATTCCTTGAAGAAAACAACCAAAACAACAAGACCCTTTCCATCAGGCATTCTAAGGAAAGTCAATTTCTCATGAATTTATTACCCTCTAGAGTATAACCTAGCTTCTAGATCAGTAACATTGGGCTACGTAGACATTTGTATAGAAGCCAAACAACGTTTAGGTCTTTCATTTCATAAATCTCTCCACTGAAACAGCTTTTAATTCAGAGTAAAGTTACAACAATGTAAACCTGAAGTTCAGAAAATAATCGCGGGCTGAATCATCCACAAATCTGTTAAAATGTCTCATCAGAATCCCAACTTAAGTAACATCTTGGAAAGTCCTATAAGCAAGTTTTTGTTTTAGTTTTTTGTTTTTTTCATCAGATTAGCAAGCTGCAAAAATCGGGGTATTGTCTAGGGGTGAGTTGAAGAAATAATCCGCAGATCAACATATCAAGTGATATTGCCATCACCCCCTTTGCCCCTGCGTATTCATACTAAATTTGAAACAAACCTTTTGAGCATTAAGAAAGAATCCTGTAAAGAGAGAACTCAAGGTAATCGCATGATCCTGACAAACTTCTTGTAAGTATTTTTCCAGCTGTTCCCGTCTCTCTTCAACTTGTACAGGTGTCAAAGAAAGCAACTTTCTTGGAGGAAACTTGGCTGTGATTCTAGGGCCAAATGCTTTACGCAGCTATGGAACAAGTTTAGGCATTGATTAATCAACATTTGAATAGACTATTCTTGCTGATTTTGCAGTGTAATAATAAAACTTTAATAACCATCACAGTAACTAATGGTTCAACCCAGAGTGGAAGAGATGTAATAAAATTATTGTTAAAAATGTAAAAGTCTAAAGGAAGGTTTAACCCCGATCAGTAAAGTGGATGCTAATATAACCCTATAATCAATATTCCTACAAGAATTATTCCCAATTACCCATTATTTCAGTCTCACTGAAGTGCATGATGTGACAATAAACAGTGCTTTGATAAAAATATAAACTGATTTTTGTAATATTATACCATGTAGGTCAAAATAAATGAATTACAACATAAACAGTGCTCAATAAAAATAATAAACAATCATAAATATTTTGTATGGTGCTGGACAGTTAGTGGGCTTGATGCAAACATTTTTTTTTATTATTACTTATAATTATTCCTGTTATTATAACAGTAACTATAATAATATTAATAGGATGATTTAATAATTTAATAATAATAATAACAATAGTTATAAACATGCAAAAAGCAACGTGACAATGTTCTGACATTTTGGCGACATCATGACGACATTATCAAGGAAGAGAAATAAAAATGCAAGTACAAAAGGAGTTAAAGTACTCTAAATTTGCATGAATGAAAACAGTTAAAGACCACACAGATGCCATCCCTGAGGACCTTCTCAGCTGCTTTAGAGTGCTGAAAAAACTCAAGAACAAATTTAACTGCCTCGTTAATGAAATTCTTTACATCAAACAATTAACCCCTTCCCTGCCACACCATATTATACCAACCAACTGGCGGCCATATTGGATTATTAATAAAATTCAAGTTTGATGAAAAAACAATAATTACATCTCCTGTAAATACCATGTACAGGTCATGATCAATTCCACATGGTTGTTGTTGTAGTTGATTGTTGTCACTGGCTGTGGCCGACACATCACTTTCCAATCCCTTCGATGTTGTCTTCACTGGATGAATGCTCCTCTGGGGAACTTTCTCCTTCATATTCTTCTTCACCACTATTTTTGTCTAAATCAGAATCTGGATCAGCAAATATTTCATTCAGAACTTCGTCAGGTGAGTACACTCGGCCACGAGGGTGAGACGCCATTTTGTTTTCACAGAGAAAATTATAAAAGTTGGGACAACCATGCGGGTAAATGGTCAGCGGTTCTTTACCAGACAGGTCTTGTTCAGGTCAACAACCACACTTTACAGGAATAGTATGCATCCATGATGTATATTTACGTTGTGGGTCATTCAGTCACACAACCCATGACATACATAATTATACATCAATGGCAGGGAAGGGGTTAAGACCGCCTTTGAACATGCAAATGGATTCAATAAGTGCTAAGGTCTTTGTTTAGCTGTTTTCATTCATGCAAATTTACAGTACTTTAACACCTTTTGAACTCGCATTTTTATTTCTATTCCTTGATGATGGCGTCATGATGTCGCCGAAACATCAGAGCATTGTCCCGTTATTATTTTTTTAAAACAATAGTTATAGTATCAATTACACTTTTTACAAAAACTGAATTATTTCTTGGCGCTGATTGGCTAATTTTTATCATCAATAAGAGGACAGACACAAAATTTTTATTTATGCAAGACGCAGTCATGCAGAACTTCGATGTTTTTGCCTAGTTCCTTATATAGTTCGATCAATTCTGCCTACTGGAATAGTTTACGACTTTATACTGTACTCCCATTTTTCACGACAAAAAACATAGCTGATCTCATTTCTTGTTTTAAAGTTTGGAAAACAATTTAATTCCTAATTTACACAAGGCAGTGGAGTGACTCAACCTATCATATTTTTAGCAAATGAAACTTCAGTAGCCAATCATCAAGCAAGAAAACATAATATTATTGACAATAACATTTAGCTAGTTTTAAAAAGTCATAAATTTTGTTGTGTTTTCTTCATTTTTACTGGCAATTTGACTGTTTCAAGCTTTTGTTATTGTCAAAAACAAATTGACACCAGCTTTTTTAATTGATGATAAAATTATGTCATACCATTGTCAAAGTGTTGTGGATCCACGAGCCCCACGCAGTCAATTTGTTAATTGATCACAAATATAATGGCTCATTGATCAATGACAAAAAGGATGTCATCAGGCTGTACCTACCTGCTCACTGAACTGATACAAATCAGAGAATCTAATGCCACAATGATATGAGCCATTGATGTAAACATTATAGGCCTGTGGTAGAAGAGAAATTACACATTAAAATGCTGAGGTCAAAACAAACCCTTTATTGCTGGATAAACAACTGAAATCACGAACACATGATTTGTGTTTTAAAGTAAACTCTTACGAGAGGATTGCGGACACTCATGGTTCAACCAACTTGAGCAAATTAAAGCTCAATACAAATACTGTTAAAGTTAAAACAACTACTCAAATATCATCTGTCATTCATATTGTTTGACTGCAAAGTAAATTTTGTAAATGCCTCTTTATTGAAGTACCAAACACTGATCAGTACATTTTGCATACACAATGCATGGTTGAGGTTGGTCTCTTTTTAAAACATTCTGTGAAACAACCACAGATACTAGCTATCTGACTTGCTCATTAGTCAGAAGTGTAGGTGAGTTGGATCAGAAACAGCTGTGTTCCTCTTGTGTTTTTTTGCGTTTAATATGTTCCTTGAAGAAGGAGACAGAAGAGCACAGACCAGAAAAGTTCTACGACACTTTCACACCTTTTATCAGCAACAAAGGCAAGAGATCTACAGCAATACACCTAAAAACTGAGGAGAACAATGTCAAAAAGGATCAAAATGAAGTGGTATAAATGCTGGCCAATTATTTTACCAACACAGCATTAAATACTGGAGATCGTCAGTAGTCTGACCGAGGAATCTCACAGTGAACATGACAGTTAGTTAAGAACATATGAGACATTTACAAAGAAAACAATAGTGATTTTAAATTACCACAACATGTAACAGTGGTTGAAGTGCAGCAGGCACTTGAAAATATCAACTCAAAGAAATCTAGAGGATGGGACTCCTGGATCTCACCAAAACGTCTTAAGAATGTGGCTAAGGGAAAAGCAATATTGCTGACCAACCTTTACAATGTATAGTAATAGAGAAGAGTGAATGGCCGATTTCAAGGAAAATGGGTGAATGGACACCTGCCTTTAAGAAGGGAGATAGAGAAGATGCAAAAAACTATCGCCACCACTATTACTTCCCTTACAGCAGTTGACAAGATATTTGAACAGTTATTAAGTCACCAGGTGATATGCCACTGTAACAAAACTCTGTACTCCAAAATGACAGAGTACAGGAAGAAACATAGCTGTGAAACATCTCTGCTTCAACTGATAGAGGATTGGAAACTGGCCATCGATACATTACAAGTGACTGGAATGACATAAGCTACTTCAGTTCAAGGGTTTCCTTAGAAGCCAGAACCCAAGTACTGGCACCAGTGTACTATGAACACAGTACCTGTCTTTAAGCAAAATGAAAAAGCTGACTCACGAACCCAACTTTCCCTGCCTACTCAAAGATGGGCACTCTTCTACTTTAAAAAACAGTAAAAACACTCACTGCCTGATTGCTTTCAAAACCTCCTCCACCACCCCACCACCCACCATCACCTTCTTCTACCACCACACTCGCCAGACATCTGTATTACATAGTGTACCTCCATTAAGCCACCAATAAAACCTTTCAAATTCTGAGGCTGGAGAGCACTAGGAAACTCAAAATGCATTAAAACATTTGGCCCTCAACTACATCTACATTTAGTCAGCCACTGACTGATCATCATATTTTTGCAACCATGTGGAAGGGCTATCGCATAAAATAAGACCATCTTTTTAAAGGACATTCTTTTGCTTCAAGTAGTGTTAAAGGATTAAAAAGTATTAAATAATGAGGGGGACATTGGGGGGGGATACCCAGTACCGCAATACCATAAGAAAAATCGGCAAAGACTGAAATACAGTGTTGAAAATCGGCGAAACACCAATAACGCATATATGATCGGTCATGTTTACGTAAAGCTGTATCCATGTCATGTGTTTGTTTGCCTCAAGCATATGCACCAGAAATCAACCTCAAACATTGCGAGAAAATGTGAGAATTATTAAGACCTTGAATTTAAGCCACCTACAAGACCTTTCAAATTCTGAGGTTGGAGAGGACTAGGAAACCAAAAATGCATTGAAACATTTGGCCCTCAACTACATCTATGTTTAGTCAGCCAGAGTTGTCAGGTTGTCGGGGCAGGAAATCTTGCATGTTTTAAACGTTCTTTAGGATCATTTTTAAATATTTTGTAGTATTTTCTTTTTATTCCTTATTGGCTTTATTTTTAGCTACCTTTTTGGACGTACATTTTTAACATTACATTTTAATATTAGAATATTTTTAAGATTTTTCTTTTGGGAGTTCTTTACATAGGGCCAACCTCTCAAACTCCCTTTTCAAAGCATTCTTTGTATATATTTATCTTTGTTTTTTGAATGTTTTGAATAAACGTATGTATGTATGTATGTATGTATGAATTGATTGGTACAACAATAATAAGAAGAACCCAGTCATTGGATACCCTTCCAATTTCATCATAGATTGTGTAATCATTTACCATTAAGTCTGAAGTCTTCAAAATACTAACTTTTATTAACCTGTTTAGCTTACTGTGGTTCATGCTGAATGTTGTATTCACCTATATTAGACAGGAGAGTGCAAATGAATGGTAGTGCAATACCGTGAAGGATCTTCTTTTACAGAATACCGTTAACCAAAAGGATGAAAAACCACATTAACCGCTGCGAGGGCTAGATGATACAGCAATACCACACATTAAAATCAAAATTACCGAAATATCGCTTCAAAAAAAGCTCAATACCACAAAATACTGTACACCCCCATGTCCACCTCAACATTCCATTGATTTTGTTTAGTTCATATCAACTGATTCAAAAGATAGATGGGAATAAAGAAAGAGGAAGACCAAGAAGGAAGTGGAGAAGGGACATACAGGATGTTTTTGACATGTCACTAACAGAAGTTGGAAGATTGGCAATTGACTGAGACAGTTTCTGCTGTGCGGTCAAGGATGCAACGTTCTACGGGGACAAGCAGTTAGAGTACACATGTAGGTGTAACAGTAAACAAGGACAGATACAAAGCTAAATTTGGTTCTGACAATAGCAAACAGGAAACTGTAACACTGCAAAGAATTTCACTTTTTTGAACACCAAAGGTTTAAAAGTAGAAACATCGCACACTGTACAGATTGAGACCACCACAATACCTCAAGAAGGGATTTTATCATTCGATGCAAATTTTTCTTCCTTTTCACTGGCCGAGAGCCCACCACGTAACCCGCAAAGAACTGCCTACAAATAGACATCTGCTCTGATGAATGCACAATGTCGTCCAACTGTGTTTGGCTGCAAATAATATTCTGCTCAAGCATAAAAGAAACCACACTTTTCCCCTTCTTGTGATTGCTCTCGTGTTAAAATGGGATATCAATTCACATTCCAAAGATATTCATGAAAAGAAGAAACTTGGTGATCGAATGATAAAGCAGTAATATCATTGAAATCGGTTATCGCAAAATAAGGTGATTTGTCTCGCAGACCAATTATTTGCTGAAAGCTTCAAAATTGATCTGCTTGCCAATGAAAAAAGCACAATATTTTGCTAACCCTCATCCGGTAATATTGTTAATACTTCACCAAAATACCATACAAATAAAAAATTAATGACCAACACCATGTACAACACCTAAATCCCCAACATCCCCCTCCACCTAATAGGGAGCCGGAGCAGGGTGAATGTTCAACTTTGAACAACATGAGGGGAAAAGTACTTGATATGGAGTCACCCCAAACAAAGAATTAGAAAATAACCTCAAAGAAAATGCAAATAAACAACATGCACATTTTTATGTTTAAATCAAGTCCAGACCTTGAAATCTGCAAAACCCACAAAAGTAGCTGTGTGAAACCTTAATGATCCAGGAAAGGATTGTGCTATGGAAATATACAAGTAAAATAACGAGCTCAACTTATATCAGCTTGTGCACATACGCAAACTTTGAACAACAGTTCTGATTGAAAACGCACTAACATCGTCTTCATAATTAACAGAAACAAAGTAATCATCCCATAACGCCAAGAAACAAAAGCTACTCAATGGTACTTCAAAGTAGTATTTAGTGCTTCATATTGTGAGTTCTTAACTTAACTTAACTTAAAGTTTTTTTTACAAACTTCTACAAGGTCAATGGTAATACTATATAACCTTATGTTAATTACACCATTTAAGGAAACTGAGAAGGCCCTGCCTTCTGTTGACATTAAGGAGTAAAAATACCGCCTTTTGTGTAAAAACCAAACTTTATAGGAATCAATTTGTTTTGGCTGTTGGAAAAACTGAGCTTGAGATCCCTTCCAATGGATAGAAAAAGCATAACAATGTGTAGAAGCAAATTATTTGGTACCAGGCAGGATCAATGAGTTTTAAACCGTGCATCAAATGAATTTTTATCGCTAGCGAGCTGAATACTGACCAGATACTTTGATCCACTCTTGTCTGTAAGCTCAACGGTATCAGGAACTGAAAAGTGCATTTTGTCTTACAAATAATCAGGGCCAACGAACTGATGACCTACATAACTTCTGGCGCCGATTCTCCACCGCCATGACTCCTGTTTTGATCACGTGTCTAAGGTTTTTGTGTACCTGGTACTGAGCGAGACAAGACGAGGAACACTCGGGGACTCGGCTCAGTGAAAACCCATGGATAAAACAGTGGTTGTTTATTAAGGTTGTTTACCATTCACATGGGCAAACCGGTTGGTTCATGGTGTGTGTAAATGGTTCGCAGAGTCCAGGACAGGTAAATTTCGTCCCGGAAATCGCGTTTAACATTTGTACGCGTCAGTCACATTTACCGGAAAACGGCCGCGAAGGCCTGAAACTGGTATCAAAGATAGCTTTGAAGAAATGGAACACGAATATTTCCTTTTGGAACATTCCATCCGGAAAAACAGGACTACCTTTTCAGATGTTCCGTTGCTCCCGGAAATTTTCCGTTGGGAAGACCCAAAACGTCGTGTTCCATTTACCTTCCAACCGGTTTTCCCAAAAAATTGTTGTAAATGGTAAACAACTTCCGTTGCCTCGGTGGCAGGGTTTTCTAGTTCTTCTACCGACAGTAAAACTGCTGTTTTGTATACAGGGTGCAAAAGAAGAACAAACAAAAATAGATGCAGCTTTGTCGAACGCGAAGAGTGAAGCTCGGTGATCGACGCCGGTTGGGCGGGGTTGTTGTAGGGGGGGTGTTTGAAAAATTGCTTATACAAATCAGGGTCATAAAATTGTAAGATAAGTGGTCTTAACACTGGGCGTTATGGATGGTAAATGAATGTTAAACGGAGAAACCGTCAGGAATGCGTGACACTTGTACTCCAATAGCTGATGAGGTGATATGCGGTAAAGAAATATCAAAAAGGGTCAAATGTTTGGATGGTAGCCTGAGAAAACCAGTGCCAGATCCAAACCTTGAGATAAAGGTGGATAGGGGCGGTCATGCAGACCCTTAGATAAGCAGGGGCGGTCTCCAAAAAAAATTTTATCGGCCCTTCAGGCCTCAGTTTTGTCTGAAAATAAGGGGGGCATCGGGCCCACCGGGCCCCCCGGGCCCCTCCCCTGGATCCGCCACTGAAAACAGCCGACATTTCACGACGCCACAGGCTATTACTAATTTCACATGGGGACGAGGCTGTAGAAAGATTTAAAAGGACGAGTAGTGAATAGCAATTAGTGAATGGCAGACCCCAGAGAAAGACTATACTCATTTACTCAATTAGCCTGCGAGCAAGCTCTCCTATTTGGGCGAGTGAAACGAGTCTCGCGAGAACGCGTGAGCTTCGCTTGCCCAAATAGGAGAGCTGGCTCGCACGCTATACTCGATTTTACATGGGCCTCTCTCAGCATGAGAGGGTTATTCACTGACGATCAGTGATTATGATCTTCAATGTCAAGAAAGAGTATTAAAAGGCAAATGTCCCTTGAGCTAATAACTTTATTTTCAAATAAAAATTATATAAGGTATTAGAGCTGACGTCAAATAGTTACAAATGTTTCCAGTCTTTAACGTAAAATTTACGTTATCTTTCTTATTTCTCAGGGATGATATTCAGAATACGTCTCGATCAAAATCGATAAAAGTCGATAAAATCTCTCCAGTTCACAAAAAAAAATCTTCGAGCTTCAAATGTTTTACGAAGTAATCCAGCAAAAAATTAAGCTTAATTAAAGGCAAACACCTTTTTGGCATTCACAACAGACAGTATCCAATGAAACGGTCAGAAGGCATCAAAACAATAAAATATTGCTGTTGTAAAGTGAGCGCGGTGGCAAAAAAAAAGAAAGAAAGAAAAAGACGGATACGATTCTTTCACGATTTATTAAATTTTATTTACCTCTGATTGGCTTAAAAAACAGACTAGGCACGATTTTAGTTTTATTCCACTAAGAATCGCACAGCGTAGAATTCCACTGTTTATTTTATCGCACATGTACCAAAACAACTCACGATAACTTTCTATCAAGCGTCGACAGTCAATTCCGATTATTCCCGTTTTAAAATTTCAGCCGTCATAGTGTGTTTAATTATATAAAACATGGAAATAAAAAATGTTTATTATCGCTGCTCTCTCATCTGATCCGTATAAAAAAAAAAAAAACTTTTCAACTTGCATGAAAAAATTTCTTGTCCACGACCAAATTGTTTATTGTTCCCTTCTTTACCGCCTCTTCCAATTTTTTGGTGTCACCAAGAAGTTTAAATGTCGTCATAACCTTGGAAAAGCTTGGTGATTGTCTTGGTTCTCGGATTTCCCTGTTGATAAAGAGGAGAATGAAATGTTGTATTTTTACTTTGAAATGTCCATTTGCCTGATGGCCTCATTTTACTACTGTCTCTAGAATCCTTTTCGTTTTTCCGTTCATATTCAAATTTGGAAATCCCAGCGAGGTTTAAATAACAAGACCCCTAATTTACACAACAAAGCAAAACCCTGAAGGATTCTGGTCTTAGTAGTCAAAAGACGTCATCGTGCAGATGGCCTACTAGTAGTACCAGTCATTATTCAAGCTGGTATAAATGCAGGCTGCCTGAATGAAGTTCCAGCTCTAGTAACCTGTAAATACAGCGGTTTCTCCTCGCCTGGAGAAACGTCCCAAACGGCGAGGAGCAAGCAATGTATTGCAGGCTACAACATTTGTTATCATCGACGTCGAAGTGATACTTACGAAAAGGAAATTTCAGAAACCACTGCATTACTTCCTAGAACTTTTTCAACCTGCCAAAAAAGTTTAAAGGTTAGCTACAGGCAACACAAATTGTTTGTTAAAAGGCGAGAGCTATTGCATCGGTGACTTTTTTAAAAAATTCCCCTTCTCACCTGACTGCCATATACGGTCTAAATCCTCTATTATTAAGCCCCCGAGAGGGTTTATTTATTTCAAGCACGTTATGGGAGGGGGAAGAGAAGTTATTTAACTTACCCCATTCACACCAACTAAATATGTTTTTAAAATGAACGACAATTGTAGGTTTCACCAAATGAAAATCAGTAACCGAAAACTGGAACTCAGGCTTTCGCACAGCTGATTCAAATAAAATTGAACACGTTATGTAACTGCACAAAAATTGCATTCAATAACACTGAATAACAGTACAGTAAGCTACTTCTACGAAGAAAACAAATTTAAACTGTGTCTAACGAAACAGCTTTTAAACATGTTTAACCTTTGGTGTGAATGCAAAAATGATGACATCAATGCTGCATAAAATCAAGAAAGCGAAGTGGAAAAGTTCAAGCACCGCATGAAAGTGGAGGCAATGTAGCCGAAGATCAAATACTGACAAATCCGACCATCCAGTCCGCGTGAAGTGTTGCTGTCGTGATCGGGATTAATACACTCCATTACTCAAGAAAAAAGGGGAGAGGAGGAGGGGGCGGGGGGTAATAACATTCTTCCCCTGAAAAGAGGAGTAGCTTAATAGATGACTTATGGTATGCCTGAGTTTTAACAAATAAAACGCTACTTTGAACTACAGTTAAAGGAGCTTACTATTGAAAGCTTGCGCATTAAACGGTTGAAAATATTGACTTCAGTGATAGCTGTGCATAATTTCGCTGAGTGATGAGTTTCTTAGTGATCTACCTAGTCGCTCTTGGCATCTTACCTCTTTTTTGACACTGTTGGCGAGAATTTCATAAGCCGCGGAATTCTCATTTGCATATCCATCGTGGAAATCTTGATTTAAGATAATTGATACTTTCTCTCCTTTTCCTGTGGATCATAAACATTGTATACGAAATTAAATGAATCAGTCGGTCGCTCTAAATGAAGCAAGGAGCTAGAGCACAAATCGAAGGCTGGAGAGTCAACATCAATCAAATATACTGTGCCAACATTATTACTGTAATATAAATGAAGTCGATCTTTAATAGATTTCAGTGACAGACCAGTTCCTCTTTCCTACTTGTCAGTCCCGGAACAAAGTTGTTTTTTCTTTCGGTGCAGAGGACTTCCAAGAACTAAATTCCTAATTTCAAATATGCACCCATTAGAATTCTGCTAATAAGTTCACGATTCAGTGACTTTTTAGAATTGAGTGGTTGAGTTCTCTTGGCCAAGTTAAACCAAAAAAATAGTTGACCCCGCAGGAGGCACTCTAGTAGCTAGCGCGTATATTAAGGAAAGTTCTTACCGTTGAAATATACAGTCAGCATGCCAGAAAAAATCTCGATTTGCTTGAACAGGGGCAGGGGGGAATCGTTGGGCAATGATGACTTTTCTATTAATAGCGCCCGCAAGTGAGAGATGGTTAGGATGACGTAAACAGAAAATTCCGAAGGGACCGCTTAGGTAGGTTTTGTGACATTTATTGTGCAGCCATACTTCGATACTCATTTGCGTTACGTGTTGTAAGTTACATTCTGTGGAGCAGCTGTTTTGAAAGTTATGGACCAAAAGGCATTCGTTAAGCGCAGATGAAGTTATAAGGGACGTATAACTGTGTATATATAAATACTCGGGGAGTTTGCCAGACGCGAGTTCACAAATATTTGATTGGAAACAATTTGCCAGACACTCTCTTTTTTGGGGAATAAGACTTCATCCACAAAAAAACTAGCCTCCCACGCAGGCGTGCGTAGAGCGTACTCCGCTTACCTAAATCTGACTGCACTGCTGACTCAAGCCTAGGTACTTTGTTCCTGCTTGTACCCCCAACATTAGCCACGTGAGAGATCCCAAACGCTTGCAGCTTTCCTACCTTCATCATCTTTTCCATAAGGCTGATGTTCTCAGTGTGGTTTTGCGGAGTTACAAATACCTCTCGATTTTCCTCCTTGTCGACGGCACCAGACCCTGAACCAGATGTCGCAAAGTCATTCTGATTCTCAGTATGTGAAACACTTGAAAGTCCAGAACCGGAAGAAGCATCGCGGCTAATCTCTAAAGGTTCACCTTTCTCGAAAATGGCGTCTTCGATATTGTGTAAAGCATTGCCAAGTTCACTTCCGGAACCGGAACTCAACGGAGCGCCTCCGGAAGTAGGTGTTTGATCATCATAAGGACCAGCTAGAACATCGAAATGTGGATGAAGCGAGACATCATCTGACGAATCACCAGAATTACTTGCACTTCCAGAAGCAATTGCATTTGCCTCAACCTTAGCGATAACTGATCGTGAATTACTTTGCCCGCCCTGTTCTTCCTGAACACCATCAGATTCAAAACATCCTTCACCGGAGGAGCAACCCGAGTCTAATTCTGATTCAGTGGAGGAACTCTCGAACGGTGCCTCGTCTTCGCCAGAAACGGCATTCTCCTTGGAAGAACTTGTGGTCGCAACTTGATCTCTTTGATTGACATAATTTTCTCCAGAAGTTACATCCTGGCCTGAGAAACTTTCAACTGGAATCTGGTTTTTCCGACTTGGAATCTCACCGGAAGTGTCCATACCGGACGCACTGCCTTCTGCCGCCTCCTGAGGAATGAATGTATCAGATCTACGATTTAGTGGGTGCTCTCGTTCGCTTCCTGCGTTGACTGACTCAGGTTCAATTCTAACAATAGCCCAAAAATTAGCGCCAGTAGGATTAATACCGGAACCGGAAATAGACTCCTGCTGATCACCTGACTCGCCTTGCTGTTCGGCTTCTCCATGAAAACGAGACTCTGCTTTTTTGGTTGCCGTTCCAAGAAAAAGAGGGCCGTCCTGTTCTTCACCTGATCCTGACAGACTCTCTTTTTCATCCTTATGATCTGTTCTCTCACCGGTGTGCTTAGAACTGTTTTCTTTCTCAGTGATGCCCTCAAAATCTTCGCCAACTTCTGGTATTACTCTATGTGCGTTGTCTTGACTTTCTCCTTGGTAACCTGTACCGGACGTTGCTTCCCCGGAAGCGCTCACATCACCTAAGATGTCTGCAAGTAAGATACAATTGATCATGCTCATTAGGAAAGTTCTGTCATAATAAATTGATGGCATTCAAAGCTGTATACGAAATGGCTTTAACTTCAGTTATAGTTCGCGACGTTTAATGTGTCCATACATGGGAGCTATTGAGTAATGGTATATATATTATATGTTCATAGTACTGTTATGCTTTAGCAGAAGGCTTCTGGCTGTGCGAGCTAATACTTCAGTCTTTAGAGTCTAGAAATAACAATCTATGGTGTGTTCACACAAATGAAACCTTTTACACCGAGAGAGCGACTCTAACTAGTGATAGCATGGATGGATTCCCACAGTGCTACAATACACTAATTAATACAAATCATTCTGTTATTGAGGATTCGCTACTCAGTGATATTGTCAGTTTTTGTTAGCAATGAAAGAGTTATACTTAGTCCATTATGTCTTAGAAGCATAGACTGCTTGCAACCTGTTTCTCTCCAAGCCAATTTCTTTCTATCAAATAATCCGTCTTGCCGTATGCTCACAGGAACAGAATAGGGACGAGAGGGATTGGGCTCAGAAGAGGGGGTGGCGCCGGCGCGGGATTTAATCATGGTCATTTATGGAGATCACGTGATAAGTGAACTGAATTCGACTTCTCTAAGACGCTTTTTTCCCAATCTAGTCTTTTTTTTGGTCCTTCTTCCATTAACAAGGTCCATAACGGTGTTCCGTTCATCTTTTAACGAGAAGTTCGTTAATATTAGGCAGCTCTTTCACTGTTTTGATTCTTGTAGTTCGTAGGCCAAGAGTAGGGGAGGTAGACATCAAGGCCCAAAGATTCACTCTCTGTCCCACCAATTATGGGCTGATAGGTAATAAAGCGGTTGATATTTATTATTTGGGAAACAAGTTTTGTTTCATCCACTGTCACTATGTTTATTAGCATTGGAGAATTTTAGTAAATAAGTAACAGGTGTGAATTGGCCATTAATCGGCAGTTTCCTTGCTGGGTTGACGGAGAGTTTCATGGGCGGATTTTAGGGTAGGGTCGAGAGTCAGCGTCCTTCCCTTTTCTGTTATATTTTCTTTTATTAGGAATTCTGAGAACAAAATATAGTATCTATATAGTTGGCAAGTGTCCTGGCCACGCCTTTCTGAATTTTCTGGATCTGCCTCTAGGTTTGTTATAAATTACACAAGCGCCAGAGGTCCCTCTTTCTGTGTCTCTCCCTAATCCCATCTCGTTTAATCGCCTTGTTTTGCAAACGCGGGATAAGTAACCCGAGAGGTTTTTAAAGAGAAATTTAGTGGAGTGCAAGCAGGCTATTAGAAATATCACGGCTTAGCATCAACGATGTTAGCAGGTAGTATGTAAAGGTACAAAAGTTTTTTTTACCGTTACAGAGGCCGCAAGAGTATGGACATACAAGGTGCATGTAATCTTTGTAATCTTTCATTTCGCAGTATTGACCTTTCGCCCACTGTCCACAAAACTCGTAATGATCACGGCAGTCTAATTAAGATTAATGTCGGTCAGTATAAAAAATGGACTGAGGACTGCGGACTACAGACTGCGGACTGGTTATAAAATACAGACTAGGTATAAAACGAGGACTGGAAAATATGGTCTGGATATAAAAGATGGAGTTGGTATAAACTGCGGACTGCGGATTGGGTGTTAAATAAACGAACTAGGTAACGAAAAATAAGATAAAAAAAATCGATAAATAGAAAGAAAAGTGAATTAAGTTACAAATACACTTAGAAATTCTTGGTGGAGGTGTGGCGCCCGGTTCTCTGAATCATGCACCTGACCAATTTTCTACACCTATTTTATGACCTGGCCTCAGTCTCTAACAACCATGAAAGAGATCAGGACCCGAGAAGGGGGGTGGGACTCCCTTATATAAGTTATATAGGTATGTGCTGCCCCAAAGGGCAGGGTTTTTAGGCCCCTTTGGTTTGAACACACTTTGCTCATTTTGGTCTGGATTCGAGGGAACTACGGGAGTGACATGGTGAACTTATTGATCATTTCAATTCCAAATGAATAAGAGCGAAATAGAAATATGCGAATTTTAAATCGCTTGAAGAATTTTTTTTTATTTCCGTTCTAATCTGGTAATGATGACATACGTCCTCCCCAATTATGCCTAGCCTGTTCCAGGCTCCGAGATTGTTGGGTCCGCTGAATTGAGAAAGCGCGAACACGAAAATAAAACGTGCGGAAACTGGGGAGTCTCCCCCACTATCTGAAAACCTGGAACAGGCTAAATTAGGCCAGGACTGAAAATGGGTATGAATTTTAGAGATCTGAGCTGAAAACGGGTGCGGAAAATGGCATTTTTGGTCTGATATATGGACAGGATTTGGAGAACCGGGCGGCACACCCTCACCAAGATTTCCCAGAAGTACCCCCCCCCCCCGGGGGGGTCAGGAGCAGGGTGTACTGATCATATCATCATAAATCATCCCTTAGAATATGACGTTGGATGATTCATTTCGGTTATTATTCACGTATAGGTGAGTAATCCCTCCCCCTTACATACTACTTTTTTACATCGCGGAATGCCCCTATATTGACCTTCTCGTCTGAGTTCTTCATTTCCTCATATTCCCAAGGCTTTATTTGAAACTGAATAGTGGCATCTATAAAAATTTTACATTGACTAACACCCATACTTTTTTTTTTATTCGGTGCTTCTTATTGGTTTAAAACTATAAATTTAATTCTCTTCTTACTCCTTCTTTTTAAAGAATTGAGAGTTGAATTTCAGTTGCCTTGAGTAGAGGCATAACCTTCCTTGTCCGTGCAGTATGCTTTCCTTCTCCTCATGACACTGACGTTGGGAAGAATACACTGCGTGACCAGCTAAAGGAATGTTTGTTTGTGACGCAAGGAGCTGGGACTACTTTTTTTATGCTAGTCCGCTTTCCGTTTCTCTCAGTTTTACCTTTCTAAAGCTGTTTTTATATACGTAGTCTGGAGTCCGCATTTTATACCTAGTCCGTGTTTTATACCCAGTCCGCAGTCCGTGGTCCGCAGTCCGCAGTCCGCAGTCCGCAGTCCATATTTTATACTGACCCGACCAATGTTGGCACAGTATTAGATCATTAATGTTAGTACAGTATATCAAGGTCAACATTTTTTCTTTAATATTCACTTTGAATTCTGAACCCAAAAAGAGAAGGTTAAGGGAAGAGTATGGGCGGCCGTTTGTAGAAAGCCGTTACTACCAAAAACACAATCATGTCAAATAGCACAGACAAAGCGCAAATGGTCATTAGTGATGAATTACGAAATGTTCAAATAATAAAGAAATGATCATTCTTAAAATAAAACAGTCTGGTTGTTTTGTGTGAAATGGTTCACCTAAACTACAAACGATTTGGTCAGACGAGGAGCTGTCCACTGGTAGATGTTAAAACGATATCGCCAAACAAGAATCGGTTTGTTTAAATTATAATCCACCAATATACAATGCGCGAAATGATCGAGCTTGATAATGAACGGTCATCTGCTCTGTTGCGTAATGGTTTGAGTAAAGTAAGAAGTCACTCAAACATTTACAAGTGGTTTAAGTCATACGCAAATGGTTCAATGTAAAGTGGAACGATTTAAGAGTGAAATATGGACAAGTCAAGACTGGAGTTGTTTAGTCTTTGTGGGGTCTGAGGTAATGTTCTATATCAATGGCGCGAAAGAATGTTGACAATACTCCTACGCGGCTATGCCCCTCGGATCCCGATTCGTTTCTTTCACGATTTCACGTTTGATTTCACAAGCTGCAAATATGGTAAGCTGTGCCGTCAATAATTTCCTGAATGTATGTCCTTTCTTGCACCTTCACAGACTACCCTTCAGGCAAATTTTAAAAACGACGGGTTTTGTGGGTCGATTTTTGCCGTCTGAGGGCTGATCGTTCATTTGCTGTGAGGGGGGGGGGTAGCCATTTTGAGAAAGCTGAGATTATTTTCAAACCTTCCCCCCCAAATTCATCATAGCTTTTTAGAAATGACCAACCCCATTCTCTCTTGCCCCCCAATAAATTTTACCCTCACCCCCGCATATTCTAGCTGTAAATCGTGCTGAGGTTCACAGCGTACTTCATCTAAAGTCGTGTGTATGAGATCAAAGTTTACAATAATTTACGGCTGTTAACGTTCAATTTCAATTCAGGCTCGTTATACTCTGAACTGATACACTTTCATGAAATTTATCAAAATAACCCCCCCCCTCCACATGTGACGCTCCCTTATCTAAAAATAAACCCCCAAAACGAATCAAGATTGTGAAACAAAATGTCTAGACCAACAACAGATACGCGATTATATGACCTCAACCTTTTATTTTCTCTATATGCTTACAGGGCCGTAGTCAAAACATGCACGAATAAAAGTTGAAATTAATCTCCCAGAGCATTGAAACAATGATGTCTCTGAAGCTAGGTGAAACATTTTATGGTTTTAAGAGACCAGCCCAATGGGTCCTCCGGACCCAAAACTCTCTCCGTTTTTTTGCTTTAAATTGTTGGGCACTGGCTTTACAATTCCTTTTTTAAAATTAAAATTTGGCACAAAAAGATTCTTATATATAGCCCATAAATAACGAACATTACGTCAGACCGCACATTAGCCTGTGCCAGGCTCTCAGATAGTATTGTGGGGACGCATTAAAACTAGCCTTCTACGCAGACGTTCTTAGGGGTTCGTCACGCGTTCCGTCTGTGTGGGAGGCTATATTAAATCGAGCAAAGCAAAAAGAAGACGTGCGCGACTTGGGAAAGGCTGCGGTGGCTGCGAGAAAAATGTTTCTCCCCAGACCCCGCGCGTTTTTCGCATTTCTCTTTGAACCACAGGCCTACCAAGCTCACGTTACGAGGAGTAAAGGAATTTAAATTAGGTGACCTTTGTGCTGGACGAAGCACCGGTGTCGCGTTACAAAGCGCAGTTGAAAATAAGAGACTTTGTATGAAAAATAAAATACTGAGATCTGCGAACGCTAAATAACGTTAAACCTAATTTTTGCATCAATGAAACGAATAAAGAAGACTAACCTGTGATGTATTCCACTGTGCTTTGGTGTCTGCTTGTCGTCTTACTGGTTTTTTTGGCTTTATTCAATATTGCATAACCACTGTTACTCCCTGCATAAGAGGTTTCGTCTTATTTGACATGTTTTTTGGTGCTAACGGCCGCCCGTAGAAGAGAGTGACGTTTAAATGGACTATTCGAATTTCATTAATTCAAGGTGATTTTCAGTTGTTATGGGGTGAGATTAGAAACAGAGTAGATTATTGTTTGTATCAGATATTTTAGCATCGAATGTATCGCCGTTATACAAATAAAATTAAGGATTATTTCAGTATTAGTTGTAATGACTAAATGATGCATATAATTGTTCTTACCGTTAAAAGGCATTGCATCTGACAGGCAAACAATCAAGATGGTCACAAGAACCGCCAAAAATCTCATCATTTCTCCTATAACACAAAAGCAAACATAAGTTGAAGAAGGATAGCGTAAAGGCTGTAAGACAAGCTCTTCCCAGGGCGCTTTTCCCTGGGGACGAGCTTGGTGTAAAAGTAACTTTATTGTAAAGTTTCAATTACTAGGGGAAAATGTGGTTTCTTTAGTGCTCCGAACTAATTTGATTAATCGGTGTAAAAAAACAAACAATTTTACCTTTTTTCCAACTCGGGTTGATATTCACTGGCCTGGCTCGTCTTTGCTTAGTCAATTTAACAGGTCTTTTTTAGTATTGTTTAAACTTCAATCGTGACTTTACTGTCACTTATGAGCAGAAGTTGGCGCTTTCAGGTCCACAACGAATTTATAGGCAAACAATTAATTTTTCAAGGAAGATGGTTGTTAGATTTACGTGTATAAAGTGATACGCAGAGTGAGATAACCACTTAGCAATTATGTTATTACTGGAACGGTGGGTTGATACAGGTTTTTTATTGTAGACTTGGTATGGTTATCATATTTATGTTATGCGTCTGGGTTTTAAAGAAAAACACAGATACTTGTAGCGAATGATCTGCTTGTTTAAGGGTTTGCGTCTGATCTCATGTTTCAGTTACTGAGGCTTCTTTTTAATTCGCGCTTTCTGTAGTCAAGTTATTCAAGGTTAGTTAGCCCGCCCACCCGCCCTGGTATCCCCTCATAAGTAACCTGCGATCGGGCGTTCTTTTTTCGGGGATAGCGCGAAAGTCGGCGGACGAAGAAAAGGGAAAAAAGAACGCCTGATACATCTACTGCCGTCCCTAATTAAGTTATCTTTCAACATTTGTGTTATGTTGTCAGATAAAAAAAGGACCGCCTGATCGCAGGTTATCTTATAAGCTTTTGTGAAACCTGAACGAGGTTTGTACGTATACTATAAAGTTGACCAAGACAAAAGCCCTGTGTTCCTTCATAAATTAACCCCACTCCACCCTCCTTTTCGACGAGAAAGTATAATTACTCAGCTCTTTTGGATCTTTTGCATGAGAGCTTGATTCTTCACAGTGGGTAGCAAAAATAAATATCTACTGTTTTTCACAAATATTTATATTCAAAAATTTAGATATACACAGAGATTGAAAGAAAACGTTACAAAAGTTACCCGAAATCTACAGTGGAACCTCGATATATCGAAGGGCCAAGGGACTGGCAAAATCTGTTCGGTATTGCGATGTTTCGTTGTATCGAGGTCCTTTCCCATAATATTCTTTACTATATTAGCGGGGTAAAGAAAATCGTTCTTTATACTTCGTTATATAAAGGTTCGTTGTATCGAGGTTCCACTGTAATAATTTTTTCAAATGACAAAACGTTTTCAGTAGAAGCGTTGATAATTTTTGCTTGGCTCCAGCGCTTAGTTTACAATCGAGTTTCGCGGTGATTGTTTTAAAGTATTTTGAAAGTTATCTTTAAGATTTGTATTTTCTTTTAAGTTTTTCGTCTTTGTTTCATTAAGTGGGTCAAGGTTAGTTTGGATTTTGTCCGCGTAGGTCTTTTCCTGATTTCAAAAATATTGTTCGTTTGCTATTGTCAGATGTTAGTTTTTCAGAAGGTGGTCGTGTTTGTCATGTCAGACCTTCGGGTTCATTAGTCTCGTTGAAGTTCCTGTTTGGGTTTGTTAACCAGCGTTTTAGTTTTTCATTGGTTTGTAGCTTCTTGCCGATCGCAACCATGTAGGTTCAGTAATACCAAAACATTACCCACACCAAGTTCAACGGCTTTGATTTTATCCTCCCACGGTCAGTTAACCCAAACATGTCCACCTTTCAAGGGCACCCAACGTCTATTTTCGGAAAATATCTGTTCGGAAGACGATTTGAGATTTAAGAATTTTCGGAACATTTTTTGTAAAATTTCTTGCTTGCCTACCTCTCCTAGGATTTTGGTGTAATTGCCCATTTTTAAAGGATTTTTACCCTAAAAAGCTCACATAGAATTTTCGGGAGCCTTTTTTCTGGCTGAAATTTTCGAAAAGGTAAGTTTTGATCCCTATGATTTTCGGATCTCGAGACTTTCACCTAGGAAATCCGAACAGATGAAAAATTTTTAGGGAATAAAAATATGCCTATATCTACCGTTTAAACACTAAAATACTTTTTAACAATGCTATGTTTAAGTGGTTTTGAACTATATTCTCGTTGGGTGCCCCTGACCTTTGACTATAACAATCGCTACTGTACTTGAACTAGTAAGTGAGGATTGAGTCAGTAGAGAAGAAGAGTTAGAAGATTAATTAAGATTAAGATTGTTAGCAGAAGTCAAAGAAGAGTAAAGAGCAAGATGTAAATCAGATTCCTGGTTCCTCATCTTGTAGCGAGCGATTCACGAGTTACCCGAACACACCCGCACGCAGCATCGATCCCTAATCTAAACTTTAATACTAGAGGAAGGATAATGTTTGGCCGGCCGTTTGGCTGTGGGTTGGCTCAGTTAGGCGACGTTTGCCTTGCAATGAGAGGCTAAGAAAAAAAGTAATAAAAACGCACTATACCAACTCCAGGAAACCGTTTTATAGGGGTGTTCATTGATGAGATTTAACCGTGGTCCCTTTTCTGAAGCTTCTGGTTTGACGTTGTTGGCGCCTCCGGGCCAGTTCACCAGTGTAGACTAGTTTACGCATGAGCGGTAAAATGTGGAGGACACGGACACGTTACCGGGCAAAAAAGACGTGACACGAATAGTCTATTATTCGAAAGGTCCACTTAAACTAAGGGAATAAAACTATGGGTTGTGAAGTCAACAATATGTAGAGCCAAGAAAATCAGTAGATCTAGACTCAGGGCACCTTCGCTTAGGGGGCGAGTCGCTCGAACAACTTCCTACAATAGCTTGATTTAACCATGGATAGTTGGTCAGAAAGTTAAGTAACAAACATTTTATCTGATGAGGAAGAATTAAGGTTATTTTTTATGAGACACACCTCCGTGCGTTGTCTTCATTATCTCATCTCCCTAGCGTGCGGGTTTGATCAGCAAGAGCCATTTTTACGGGTTGTTGATTTGATCGTTCACTCTCACTTTCCGATATATTCTAATTTTTTTTTGCCTAACAATAACTTGAACTCGTGACTATGAAATCTGTGCGTCTTACTGTTGAAATGTAAACTATGGCGTAGTAAACATGTTAGTGCTACCAGTTAAAGTCGATCATATGGATATTTCTAAAAAAATGAACTGAATTTCAACATCTTTCCCGTTAGTTGATCTCCGGGTAAAATATTCCTTTAGTAAAAGGAAGAATACCAAAAAATTGTAAAGAAAATATAAACTAAACATACCTTTCGTTCTGGCCACACGACACCGGAGTTGAACGACAAACTGAAAAAGTCTCTCTGTAATGTCACACCGGATCCTGCTTTCTAATATTTTTGTGTCCCATAAAAAAGGAACCTGCACCACATGTAAAAATCTATTGTCTTCTGACTTGGTTTTGGTAGCTAGCGCCATGCAAGTCATCAAACATTTATTTCCCCGATGGTGGCACCAACAGATGAGTACATGGTACATAAAACCATTAGCAAGATACGAGAAATTCCTTTTATCCGCCGCCGAGTTTCAATGTAAGTAACAGAGGGAACTGAGATGAACTCTCTAGGCTCAGAAGTACCTGCAGGTTTCTAATAATAAAATCATGTTATATCTGGAAAATGCATCATGCGAATGTTTCGTGAGGCCTGCTAAAGGAAACACCAATCGACCAGTTTGAAATATAGCAGAGACAGTTTGCAGTTTCCTAAATGAGTGGATTATCAATTTGGGAAGGGAAAATTTCGGGAAGCCTTTAAACGTGTTTTGAGCCGGAAGTCAACTGCGAAGTGTGGGTATTACAAAAGATTTTTATAGAAATGTAGCCACGAGGAAGAAGGGTTGGAAGAAGGACGCTACTTTGATTTGTTGTTTAGCGACACACGTAAAATTTATTTTAGATAAAAGCAGCAACTGTAAAGTTACCGAGGAAGTATTGCTCTTGTTGAAAGCTCTAAATTAAGTATAGTTGCTTTGTCGGATCCGGATTCAAGGAGTGACATGTCAAATGAGGTACTACCCAAGTTTACCACATCAGCTGCTAAGATCAATGCGCTGATTCTATCAAAGAGACGTTGCCGGTCAACAATAAGCTCTGGGGTTATAAAACAGCGTAAAGAAGATTGAATACTGGAGATATGTTGATATAAGAGACGAAAAGGCTGGTAGGATAAAGCCGAATCACCCTTTCAAAAAAAAAATTACGGTATTTTTCCGGAACTGAGTTTCGTTCCATCAAAAAAGATTGTCAACGTCTCGTAGATCTTAGGGCTGTACTTACTCGCCCAAATTTGGGTACCTTTCAACGGTGACAATGAGGAAATCCTACCAACAGCTTCCTTGCCCCCAAAACCACGCCCTGGAGAAAATATATGGGGGCAAGAGCCATAATAGTCCTATTGTGGCTCTTGATGGGGGTAAATATTTACCACTGGGTTAATAGTTTGGCGAAAATAATTTAGCTGCGTTGAACAAGGTAATTTTTCCAGAGTCAAATGACGCATTACACCCTCCAGTGTTTCTAATCAAAATTCAATAAAAATCCTTAATTTCAAGTGCTTAAATTTTGAACTACTGCAACTGCCTCAAACGTTTGAACTACACACTATCTAAAAGGAACAACTAAAGAGGTTTCATTTGATGTTTCCCAATTAGGGGAGAAGATCCTGATGACACTAAAGTTTATCCCGGCGACCAATTCAAAGAGACAAGTGCGGAAAGAAATGAAAAGATATGAGAGATGTTCCAATCGTAAGGCCGTAGGAAAGAGACAAAAATATATTTTGACTGGATTCGAAAGCCGTGGTTTGTACCTCCCGTCCCACAAAAGTATTTTACAGGGGGTATTTGCTTGAAAACGTACGAAATTGCTCTTTAGTTTAAAAAATGTATCAATGTGAGCAAGAGTTGCGATAAGTGTTAAGGACGCCATTTTATTTTTTTTCACTAATAATCTCTTTTTCATCCGTATCGTCGTTGCCAATGTTCATAGTCTTTGTGTCCTGTTTTTTGTTTAACAGAGATGAGTTAAATTTTCGCATTTTCATCAGCTTGAGGCTGGCTACATCGCAATCCCAGTCTCTGAAAGCAAAATAAAAATGGTTAAAATCTTGGTTGTAGAGATGTGGGTGGGCTGAACAGTCGAATGCCGCTCAAGGACACCCACTTAATACGGACATCTCATTATAACGAAAGGTTTTCTCTAAATTCAACCCGTTTAATACGGACACCGGCTAATGCGAAAAAAGGACACTTTTCTCTCATCGGCCAATCAACAGATTCTTATGGAAAGTTAACCCTGCTAATACGGACACTTCCTTGCCAACTGTCTGCTGTACTAAGGTTTGCTTTTTCTGACGTTTATCGAAGAATCTTCATATGACAGCATGTCGATGGTCACATTGTTACAATAGACGGGAAAAGATAAAGTTAATTTCTGACGATATTGGCAACACTGAGATGAGTTATGCAGGGTACTGTTTGTGATTACCGTATTTATTCGATTAACCGCCCTGGGCGCTTATTAAATTTTTGGACCTTGAGAGTGGGCGCTTATTCGAGATGGGCGTTTATTCGAGGCTGGGCGCTTATTAAATTTTCACCATTTTCAGAAAGTGAAGTATGTTTATTTTGCAACAAAACAATAAATGCTAATGACAAAACGCGAAGAAGTAACAAAGCAGGTTTCTGTAAAATACTCTGAAGAAAACTCCGTCCTCTGGGAAGTCTCTTATTAGAATGTATTCACTCAAGTGGGTGGGGTGGGGGTGAACGCTTATTTGAGTTTGATTGAGAAGGGGAGGGGTGGGCGCTTATTCGAGGCTGGGCGCTTATTAACTTTTTCTACCTTTAGGATGGGCGCTTATTCGAGGTGGGCGCTAATTCGAGGTTGGGCGCTTATTCGAATAAATACGGTAAGTACTGTAATGTATAAATGATCAACTTTTTTAAAGTGTTTCAGCGGTACTGGTCTGCAGAATCTGAATGACCCCTTTGTGTTAGTTCAAACTAAGTTAGAGATGTTTAGATTGACGACGCTAATGTCCTGTTTTATTTCTTTGGTATTTGGTTCCAATGAAAGGTCTACTAATGACTTTGGACTACTGAGACATAAAATAACATGGCCCGATTAATTAATACAGAAACTAATTACAGTGGTTCCGTCAGTGTCCGTTTTAAGGGGGTTCCACTGTGTTGAAATCGACAGATTCAGCTTCACAAGTCGTATACGTTTTTTTTTTTCCTGAGGTGGGCAATATTGTTTTCAGAGGAAATGACTGTTTAAGGGCAAGCAAGCCAACAAAAACAAAAAACTTTTTCAAATACTACGAAAACCAAGCCAGACAAACGAACAAACAAAATTTTAACACCACTACTACCCACTAAAAATATCGTTCAACAAAACACAAAAACTTCTGACGGGCTGGGATAACTAACGACAAAATCATTGTACTTGTACTGTGCAGTTTTGAAAGCTAATGAGAAGCGAAAGCCTCTGAGAAGGGGAAATGTTTTGACGTGATTCAAAAGCATGCACTTTCTGGAATCCAAGATCTAACGTTTGCGTCTCATCTAGCTTCAATTACGGCCAAAACCGAATGTTCCTGGCATGAAACTCAAACTGCCGTCACATAACTCTATAGGCTTACCTAAACTGAGATAGTGTTTTAGAAGATGTGAGATCTGGAAGTTCTGCAGACAAAAAAAACATTTTTAAGTCCACCTTTGCGTTCAAAACTTTCTTTTTTGCTTCCAATGTGCTGCGTTCAGTTGCTAATTCATTGAGGCTGGAAGCCTCGAATGATTTTTTAACGCAACTTTTCTGATACATGTGCTTAACGTTACATGAGGATAGTTAATTAACTTAACTTCTTCTAAATCTTCCATGCATTCCGAAAATCTCCGTCTTAATAAGCCCTCCAAAAACTAAATTTGGTGCAAAAAAGTAATTAATACAAACAATCTTTTGGACTAAGAGTCAGTTACAGAGGTTAGTCAAATCAAAGGCGGGATCACTCAAGATAAATTTCTTCAGTTGATTTTTTACATTATCGGTGTACTTCCTTTGTTCCTGATTTCATCCTCCATAACAAGCATACAGTAAAGCCAAGGGAGGAGAATTTGGATTTCAATACATGTCATTAAATAGTTAATGAAAAATTAAAACAACTAATAAATTTAAAAAAAGTTGCACATGCTCACCAATTCCATTAGCATTATAAAGTTCTCTTTCATGTTCAATAATATTTTTTAATGCATCTTCCCTTGATGCATGAACCCTGCCTTGTCTTCCCTTCATACTGTTCTGTTCATTAATTTGCTCAAGTTCTTGGTCAAATCTGTGCAAATATCTGAAAAAACAGAAACACTTTTACCATGTAAATGTTAAGTAACCCAGAAAATGACTTGCAAGTTACAAACAGTGTCTCAGAGCAAACAGGTCATTATTTACACTGTAGAAAGATTGCAGCATTCAGTGTTTGCCAATTCAGATATCATCTCAGTGATACAAGCAAGTAAGAGAGTGCAAGAGATTTTAAATATTACTCTATAAAAACCAAAATCTGTTTATATGAGTTAAACCAGCCCTAACTCCACAGCCCATTCTGATGGCCTGGTCGAGATGCTGTAGGTGTTACAGTAAGCCAAAGAAGGCAAGCATTTGGAACAATGTTAATTTAATGCATAAAGGTGACAATTAAGTCCAAAAAGGCACCGGTTTAAGTTCACATCTTTACACCATTGCTAATCAGCTTTTATTGATACCACCACACTGGTTTAACTGTTTAACTGTTATTCTTTTTTCCTATCATTTTTACAAAAGGCAAATTACAATAATTTTAAAAATTGGCAGCAGTCTTGATTAGCATAATACTATTACCCAAGGATGTCTTTTATTTTTTCCTTTGAATAAAAATAATTGACATCTATTATTGTTGTTTTTTGCTAGTCCAGGAAAAATGTACAACAAAATACCCACCTTTCAATAAGCTCACACACTTCATAACAAGAATATTGTGTCTTTTCCTCTTCTATGTTCTCATAAAACCATCTAAACTTTTCTCCAACTACAAAGAGAGCAAGAGAATCTAGTTTGACAATAATAATATTTTTATTGCAAATTAGGAGAGTGTGTATGATGGGGAGGGGGGGTAGTGAGTGGTAGTCGTAGGGGGGTGCAAAACTTGATGGGCTTGTAAGACTGAGAAATCAAAATCAAACACTTTTATCAATATGAATATCAGCAGCTATCTTTCTCAGTGTTATTGTTGATCCTCCCACTTTTTTTACAATGCATATTTACTATTTCATTTTTCCTTAAAAATGCAAATGAATGTCGTGTATTTTTTACATTTTACAGTTGGCCAAACCTCTAAGCAAAGTACATGTAAGTAATAGCAGGTCAAACACTGACTACGATGCTCAAGATATTCACAAACTCACCAATGTTTCATCTGTGAATGAGTGTCACAAAATAGATACCAGTTCCCAGGCAAGAAAAACAGAACACATGAGATGAAGGCAAAATGTGCCAGCCGGTCCAAGATGGCAACAACCGTAAAATCATATGGCATCCAGAATGCTACCTGGGGGACTAGATATTAAGCATTCTCCTTCCTCTAACATAATAAGTATTATCTCTGCAGTAATAATGGGTCTATTAAGTAAGTTACAGTAGTCTAAAAACTTAAAAAAGGATCAAGGGCAGTTAAGTAGATATACAGAGGGACAAATACCTTTGATTTGAAGAAGGTAATTTCTCTCAGCTTTTTTTCTATAAAGCAGTAAAACACAGTTCACATAAATCAAATGGGTACAGTTAAGAGACAGTCATTACAAAATTTCAGAAGTTGATGTCCAGCAAGAGACAAACCCTATAAGTTCCTAGTCTGAATTGTATGGTTCCAGAAAATATCCATACTCCACCCCCACCCCTCCCCCACAGAAGACATTTTGGTTTACATCCCTGCACCACTCCAGAATTTCCACTCCAATGGGATCTTTTATCACCAGCCCACCACCCAGGAATTTCAGCCTCATTAAAAACCCTTAAAAAATAAAGTCTTCTTCCTTTTCTTCTTCCAAACATGGACTGCTCGAGCAAACTCAAAGTTACTGGTGAAGTAAGCAGTGATGATAATGCTGATAATGAATGAACGCAGGAAATAAAACATGTGGGAACTTTATATTGTCACCTTTTTTGACAAGAAGTAATACCAAAAACTTACTAAGTTTTTTGAGAGATTTTGCTGTTTTGTTCTGAGCGTTAAGTACAGACTAAATTTATTTATTAACGGTGGAACAAAAACTGAATGTGCCCAAGAACCAAGCGAACGTGGAACTCTCATATGGTTATAAATTAACAATTAATGAATGAGGCTGAGTATCTTATGAAGAATTATTATGGAGATCGAGGAGGGTGTTATCCGTCGAGGCCGTAGGCCGAGGCGGATAACACCCTCCAAGATCTCCATAATTCTTCATATGATACCAAAGCCAAATTCAATAATTGTTTTATTATTCATTCAAAATAATTCCTAGTTTAAAAACATGGCTAAAACATGCTTACCTCCATCAATCCATCGATGTTAAGTTCACCTTCGAGTGTGCACGTTTAGGTTTGTCTAGCTCCGCAAATATTCTCCAAATAGCAGATGTCGCCCTTCCAGTTGTCTTCTTGCTGTTCTTGCCATGTTTTTAGCTATTTTTTCACCTAGTTCTTACTCTTGAAACGAGTGAAACGACCGCCATTTTTGTTTACACAAACCAAAACAACTCAACCTCGTCCCCAGGTCTTCTTGGTTAACGGTGCCTTAACCTGCACAAACCTTAACCTGCATTTTTGACGTCATTTCCTCGTTAAACACAAAATTCTTCCAAATTTGGTCATCAGTAACTGGTTATGGTGAATTAAATGTTTGCTTTTAGCCAATCAGAATCGGGGAAATATTTTGAATGAATAATAACTGTCATTTATAAACAAAAACAGAATCATTAAAGCTAATTACGTTAACTTCATCTCAATGGACAGGAGCTCTAATCTCCATTCAAAAAAAGAAAACATTATTTCATGCTATAGATCTGTCGTGCATTACTTTCAATTTCTTTTTCTTCCTTCACCCTCTCGAAGTGGAGATTCCTAAAATCCTCCATTCCCTTGGAAATTCCTGCCTTTCTGAGAACCCACTTACCCCATTGGAATTTCCAGTTGTCTTCTGTGGAGGCAGGTTTGTTTTGGATATTTTCTGGAACTACACATTTCAAAAAACTTTTCATTCTGTATTGAGGAGGAAGCAATGTCCCTGTCAGTATTTTACTATGCATTCACCTCTGTCATTGGCTCAGTTATAACCCTCTTTGTCTTGCTTGTCACCATTTTATCTGTCTCATGTCGCTGTCTCAAGGCCATGTTGTTTGTCCAAATTTTACCCTTAATTTATCAATTTTCTTTTCTATAGAATAGAATCTCGTTACCTAAATCTAGTGGTATTATTTGGTCATTATGCATCAGTCAATTCCAGCTGTGCCCAGCCCACTGGTGCATGTCGTCGCAGCATGAAGTCTTCATTAGAATCCTAGCGCTATTACAAAGGAAGACGTTCATTGAAACAAAAAATCATACATTAAAATGCCTAAAACGGCATTATTCGACTGTGCAATCAATGAAAAATGTTACAGTGTTGACGAAGGACGGGGCATTTGCCCTCTTTTTTCCTCCCCACCCAGGCGGATTTGACAGCTCAAGAGTCCCCATCCCCAGGGAATTTGCCATCCAAGGCCAAAAAATTGCTAATGCTGGGGGTCAGCCCGGGGGTGGGGTGGGGTTGGGCACAGCTGGAATTGACTGATGCATTAATATCACAATATCACCTCTCTCTCATACAAAATGCAGGGTTTTTCACCTTTGTAGTTTTTCATCCCTGTGAGCCTGTCGTGCCAGCTTCACAGCTTTTCTAGAATTAGGATGAACCACTTTTTTACAATGAACTTTTGATTTTCCTTCCTTGGGCTGGAAAAAAACAAGAATTTCGCTTCAATCATACTGTAGTGTACACTTACTTGATGAGTTTGTTAAAAAGGAACATGTACGTGTTTCCTTTTATCCACTGGATTTCGATAGAAAAACAAAAAAATAACACTTCTGACTCACTTAACTATATGTGGTAAACTAGCTTCGTTCTGGAAAGGATTGAGAAACTACAAACTGAAAACATTCAGTGCACAGCTAAACGATCAGTTTATAGACATACTAAAAACTGGGCCACTTGAATAAACAAATAAATACTGAAACGTTCCATCGACTGAAACTTACCATTTTCAAATTGCAGAAGTCTCCTAAAGTGTAAACGTAAACAAAAATAACAGTTTGTTGAGTTGTGCAATCGGACCAACCACGTGAAAAATATAAATGAGCCTGCTACTGGTCAGCTCTCCTCTACGATTATGCGTTCTGGGCACTAAAACTAAAATGGCCGCCAGGCTGGGGAATTTTAGGAGCGCGTTTGGAAAAGTAAATCAGATAAACAACATGTTTTTGCCTCAATTTGAAAACTTGAAGCAAAGAAAGCTTGGAAGGTCAGCCATTAATATTTTCACCGACTACAAAGCCGTGTTCAAGGACTTTTACTTGCAGGCAAAAGAAAAACCATTTCGATTTCTTACGGCGCTGGCCACGTTTGGTGGTCTGTATTACATTTATGAGCACAACCCAGACGTTAATTCTTATGAGGACGCTCTGTTGGAATCCTCAAATGAACTGTTACAGATCAGTCATCTAATAAGGAATCCAGCGTCGGACAGTTACGTCCAAAACTTGCTGAAATTTCGTAACCAGGAGAGACTAAGAATTCAAAGTTTGGGCCTCCTCTCGCTAGTATGGGTATCAGAATTTGGACCAGGCTGCGATCTTTATGAAAAACACTGCTACTATACTCAGCCCAGGTGGAAGACATTTCCTCAAAAGGTGATTGACGTGGGGTTCCTCGGACATTGGCTTTTCCTGGAGAAGGCTATGAAGGATTTTGATGTAAATGAAGCTGAATTGGCAGACTGTCCTCCTAACACATAGCAAGTGAGATCGATATAAAGCACAGTTCCTTCTAAGCATTAAAAATGTGTTGTGTTATGTTTGAAGTGTTAGCCCTCAAAGAGAAATTGATATTGGGTTCCATGGACAGTGGTTTTTTTTGGAGAAGGCAATGAAGCAGAATTGGCAGACTGTACTCCTTACTTATAGCAAATGAGATATTAACTGAGTAAGCAGAGTTCTTCATGGCAAATAAGGAAAACCTATGTGTTGGCTTTGTTGTTTTCTCTTGGAAAAGGCAATGAAGGATTTTCATGCTGATAACACTAGGGTAACTGATGTCCTACGGGTCCCGGTTGTTCAAAAGTTGGGTCGTGCTATCCATGGGGTAAATTGCTATCTGGCAGATACACTGGTGACAAGATTTATTGAACCATGCACTGGGAAATGGTATGTGTGGTGTAAGCATAAACAAAAGAAATGAAGAGAAGTCCAATACAACCTTGCATAATATTTATGTGAAAAGAGGGGAAAGCCTAGCAAGAAAGTGAACAGATTGTTACAAGTTAAGACTCTCTGTCTCCTTCCTCAGAGTCACATCGGGTATACTTAGTATCAGATTTCACTGCCAAGTTAATGCTAGGCTCGATTTCTGCCGTCTCCCGGGTCCGGTCTTAAGGCTGGTTTTCACTAGCAATGCGGTTGTAAAGTGAGAATAATATTTTGTAATGAGATGCATACTGCATCGTGATCTAGTAAAAATAGCATTCCAATTCCACTTACCACTCCATCACTTATGATCTTTTGAAAACCAGGTTGTCAAAGTTGCAAAAGAAAGTGGAAAAACTAAACCAAAAGAACCTTGTCCAAAGCACCAACCCCCTGTAATTTCCCTTTTTTAAATGCAACTCCCCCTACAGTACAAAGTTTCTTTAAAGAGTGATCCTACCAGTGCAGATTTTGGTACAAGGAAAGGTCCAAAAAGGTGCAGAGAAGAGCCATAATATTATGATCTCTTGGTACAGAATAAGAAAGAGCCCCATTGTTTCTTCCGATTTTTCCCTCCCAGGCTGTTCACCCCTTTTCTGGCTCCAACTATCCTCACATAGAAATGTTGTTCTGTTTCTCCAAATTTTACTACTTTCATGAGGTAAAATGAGCCTATCTTGAGACTATCAAAGCTTGAATGTCACAAGGCTAGTGTGTCTTTGCTTGCAGCCAAATAAGTGGACCAGGTCAAGTCTGCATTGTGCAAAACTAAAATATCTGGCAAATACAAAATATTCAGCATTTGGCCACTCAAGAAAATGCTTGCGCTGAAACTTAATTACGTTTACACTTTCATTCTTGCCTGTGAACAGTGACTTGGCACCTTGACCTTGTACGTTGTTTCTTTCCTGTTATTAGGCCTTGACCCCCACTCTCAATGTGTTAAAATACTTAATTTTGGAAGCACTGAAATAATTAATTCAAGATTTTTGCCGAGTTACATGTTAATAGAAATTAAAGTTGATCTGATGCGAGATGATAACCAAATCATTTTTCTGTTCATTGCAACAGGATTCTTGGGTCAATGGAACTAATTATATTTGATCTTGTGAACATGAAAGCAATCAAGAGTACGTTATTGTGTTTATGGGGGTAATTATAACGTCTTTTTGGTTGGACATGAAGATCAGAAATGCGGAAAAAAGATACCTCAATCGGGTCAATCTCTGGAAAAATGATTAGTATTGCAAGCGTGTATGAAGTACAATGGTCTTCCATGTCTACTAGCGGGTAATGTCCTATACAAAATTAACCCTTTCGACCACAACAGCAGACAAACATCAACATTGAAGAATTATCCAATACTCGATTTTGTGAAGTACTGAAAAACGATCCTGCATTAGTGGAGGAACTTCTCAAGAGCTTTCATTTCAATGTTTCCAACCATCAATTAATAAGTTGAAAAGACCTCGGACGTCCATAGGGATAGAGTTTGTAATGGCTGAGTAATTTCAGAAAAGATTTTAATAATCTTTTCATGCCGTTTTATAATATAATTCAGGGTGATTGCAAGTAAACATTGAACAAAAGGATATTAAGCGATTTGTCTTAGTTTGACAGTTTGAGATCCACAAAGAGTATAGGCAAAGCAAAAATGATTAAGATCGATGTCGCAAAATGCCGATAAGCGTCCCAATGATGTTTTTTGTATTTCCGACATGTGCTTCAGGCGATATTTAAACAAAACAATATTTGTTCAAGCTTAACGGTATTTAGATTGCTCTTCGTAACATATCGCGTGTCCACTTTATTTTCGAGGACTGTTTTGATTGAAGACTTGAAAATTGCAAAACAAGCAAATTAAGGACGAGGGGTGATGTTGGATTTTGTAGATAAGAATATATGGATCAATGTTACGCGCAACCTTTTATCTGTTGAAGATATGGCGCTAATAAATTGAAACGCCTTGGGGTAATTCTTATCACAGTAGGGAAGACAATTAATACTGTTAAACACATAAAAACGTGGGCAACATTTTCGTTTTTAAAGTACAAACCTAGCCACAACTGTGAAATAACAATCCAAAATTCTACCTCTCTTTTTGAAATGTCTGTTAATGCTGAATTTTTCTCCTCTTATTTTCCTGCCGCTCTGATCCCGTGAACAATTTTACTGAAAAATGTTTTGATCTCACACTGTGATATGGGGTGCCGAAGACCAGCGGGTAATGCATAAGTTTGCATTCTCTTCAATTCATTTAACCTTGTAGCATGTACATCTACAAGCAAACCCGTCCACATTGATTACCGTTGATTTGACGTTTAGACGGAGGAATTTGATCTAGGTGAAGAGTTTGGGTAATTAGAACCTGATATTTCGCGATAACTACGTCCAAGATGAACGTCTATAAGCAAATGGTTGTTAAGATCGCGCCCGAGAAGGTTTCGCCGATCATACGAATAGAAACAAACGATATACAACCGTTTAGCGTCGTGCAGACGTCACCCGTGTTAGCTTTTGATTCGGGCCCCAAGTTTGAGGCGAAACCATTGGAACTGGACTTAAGGAATCTTCCAAGTGTTGACTCCCCTGAGCTGGACAGTTCTTTGCGAGACTTGCTCATGGAAAACATGAGATCTTCTAGTACTGTTAACGAAGATAACGATGATGCTGTCTCGGAAATTTCAACCTGCAGTTCGGTCGTGACTCTGGAAACAGTTGAGGAAGGTGAATCAGGGAACCTTCCGACAGTTCACCGGAAGACGTCGAGAACGTCTTCGTTTACTGCCGGTTCAAAGACGAGACCTTCCGAAGGAAGCACCAGTAGCTATCATTCTTCCAGTGAAGCTGAGGAAGAAGATGGCATAAAGACAGCAATGAAAAAATCCGCGAGGAAAATTTCAGACCTGTTTACGTTTAATGCGCCAAGTTTTAGTGGAAACGGAACAAATGCAGATGAAATTGAGGAAGCGAGACCGCCAGCTGGAGAAAGGAGACGAAAGCTGAGCATTACAAGAAGAATTTCACCGTTATCTTTGCATGGAATTTTTACTGGGAATCAGTCCGGCGTAAGCAACAACAAACAAGACCCTACTGTAGAAAAAACCGAAAGCAGCAAAAAGACAAGGAAACTTTCATTAACAATGTTCAACAAACCTCCATCTGAGAAGGAAAGGAAAAGAAGAAATACTGACCCGCAACTACCTCCCAATCAACAAATCAACACAACCATTGAAAACGAAGAAAAGAAAAACAAGGACATATCCTCGATACGAAAAGAATCTCAAACCAAACCCTTGCCAGAGCAGGCCTTGTTTAAAGAGGAAGATGTTAAAATTCATGACCTTATTAAACACGTTCTACGCGCCCACATGCTCTCAATAAAGGAATACAAGCGAGAAACGTGTGATCGCGTTTGTAAAAGCATCTGCAGAATCCTAAAAACTCTTGTGTCTTCCATGAAAGCAGTGGATAATGTACCGCAATGTAAAGTTGTGTGTCAAGCCTACATTGGTTCAGTGAGAGAGCAAGGATTGTTCGCATCAGTTCAAACTCTGTGGGAAAATGAAAAAGACAATTTCGCTGTAGCGAGTTTTAGAAGTGATTCTTTATTTGGTTTTGCGTCGGTTATGACGACAACGCTGTATTGACTCCATAGCTTGACCGGCACAGCCTCAGCTGTAAAATGCATCAAATGATAATGGTGGTCAGAATTTAACCCAGGGAACATGTTAAGTGCTGAGTTTTCCCTTCACTCGCCAACTGAAACGCTCGTGCCGTGAGAGTGTTTAACAACATTGTAGGCCAACTGAATTTGTAGGTAGTACAAAGCATTGAGGGTTAATTATTGCTCTATTTAAAGATACATCGATCTATTTTTAGTCTCACTATAGAACTCTAAATGACACTTTTTCATCAACGGAATCTATTTACAAATGTTGTGTCATTCGTGGTAATGATGGAATAGACACCTTCTTGAAAAAGACAGGCCGATGTTTTCATTCTTTACAATTAAGAGATGATAGCCATCAGGAAGTACCCTAATGATTAAAAGTTCACCAAAAGTATTGAAATGTTTTGCAAACACAAAGTTATATGAACTGAAATATAGCCCAACCCAATTGAACGCGAAGTATCAGCGTTTCCTACATTGATGATTCTTGACAAAAAGCGCGTTGTTTGCTTAACCCAGTGTTGCCAACAAATAAAGGCACGACGAGAAACAAGCAATTAACAACAAATCACTACAATTTAGTGAGAAACACAACTGGCCAGAGGCAAACCACTCCTGGTAAATTCGGGACTCACCGAGAACAAATCCAGGGCGGGGATTGAACTCGCGGAGCCTCCGGATTACAAGTCCAGCGCTCTCACCGCTCGGTCACGCTGCCGGTCTTCTGTGAACTCTTTGTCTCTTATTCTCTCCTTAAAGGATCACACATTTCTGTGGTAAAATAAACGCTGTTAATTCTGGGATAAGAAGTAAAATAATTGCAGGAGATTCTTCAGTACAGCAACCAGGAAAATCACCACGGCAATGTCCATTTTTAAAAGTGCTCCATTTTGGTGTTAGCATTTGTTTGTTTCAAATTTTCTCCGGCCATAGCACCAATGTAGGATTTCCCGGCTTTGGAATAAGTTGTCTCCCAGGAAGTTCACTCTTTACCTCCCCCCCCCCCCCCCCTCCCCCGTTACCCCCCTTTCCAGATGTGTATGTAAGGCATGTTTTATTTTATGTAATTCCGCCTTCTTTTTGCGGAGAATTGTATGATATTAAATTGATTCGGACAATAAGTTAATGGTAGTCGGTAAGAAGAAAGCGTTTTTAAAATGTCCTTTAAATAGCTGGATGCACTACTGAATATCACGATAACTCAAAACATGCCAGACATCGTAGTGACGTGAATAACAAAGAAACGCCGGCAGTTGACAAAAATATGTGTTTATATACACTGCTAAGGCAGTAATGATAATAATCTGACCATTATTTTATCAACTTCACCGAATACATCACAGGAACTGTATCTCTCAAACAGTCAATTGACAGAACTCTTTAATCATTGAAGACCTATTCAATCTTTCTCTGGCGCGGAAATTAATACCGACTGTACTATTCGGCCACAAACATTAATCGCACCGTTTCGATTTTCTCATCAATATGTCAGTTTGATTCTTTAATTAATATCAGTTATAATGAATGACTGTCGTGTGAGTTGTAATTTAATTTACTTCCATTGGCTGTTGTTCTACCCCTTATCACGTACTAGGCCGTTATTCAGTTTTTCCTAAAATTCTTTTGATTAGTGCTGTTTGTGATAGGCCTGTATTTCGCGAAGACCCTCGGAGATTGCTCAGGTGTCCGCTCGCTAGAGAACGTGATATGAGGACTCAAACACTGCATTGAAAAGATCGGGAACGGGGGAAACATTTGGAATACCCCAAGAGAGTATGACGATATACGTTTTCATTAATTTCTTTACTTGAGTGGACCAATTAATCAAACTACTTTTTAAGAGGTCAAATGAGGAAAACAACTGAGCTCTGTACAAGCAAACCGATTGAAAGAAATGCCAAAACAGGTCTTGCTGATTTTCTTGTAATTATTTATACGATAAACTAACCAACGAAGGATCCAAGCTGTTAAGCCACAGTATTAAGGCTGCTTCGTAACACTGTAGTTCCCAGTTTCTTTCCTCCCTGAATATTCGACAATGTTAAAATAAAACAATAAAACATGCAGGTTTGTAACGATAGAAATTACCATCTAATGCATTCACTTTTTTAGGTGTCGTCGTCAGCTCATAATGGAGGTGTTCGCTTTATGTAGAAGGATTCAGTTACAGTAAATAAGGGAAATTAATTTGAGAGCTTTAGCTACAGTGTCCGCCGCTCACATGTAATACGGTGTCCTTCACTCTAGCTACCTGTTATCAGTATTTGCTATAAAATCACCAGGAGCATTTTTTAATATACAGAGCAACCATCTTTCGTGCAACCAAAAGTCATGTAACGTTTCAAAACTTCCTTTTCATGTTCATGCTGGCATCAAGATTTTTTTTGTCTTTCTGTAACCGTTGAAGTCTTACGTCTTATTCAACTGCAAATCCAAGCAAGTGGCAAGGAAAGATTTAAAATCAAGTTCAAGAACGTCAGCTCCTGACTAGAGCCACATAGTTAAGGGACAGTATCACGAGAAGTCTCCAATGGTTTTTAGTGAATTACGCTCGAGTTTTAAAAGCATGTTCACCGATGCAAAGAATTGTTCTTAAACTACGAGAGAAAGATTTTGATTCATTCTTCAAGGCGGGATTAGAGGAAGCAGACCTGACTAACAATGGTCTCCATAAGAGGGCCTTTTCCGAAAACATACAACCAGTAAAAAAAGTTGGTTTAAGTTTTGGCATTAAATCCACTCTCTGCCTATCCTTAGATCCTCTGAAACATCTTGAATGTAGTTATTGACAATTTTCAACAATACTGCCATTAGAGGAACAACCATTGATTCAAGGATACTGCCGCAAGGAATCTCCGCTTTTCTGTTCAATCAAGCCTACTTATTTCTGTGTAGACCCCCCGGCAAGATTCTAAAATGCTTCAGTTCATCTGAAACATTTTTTAATTATTTCAGGGTTTGGCAAAAAAAAGAAATGACGGTAAACTTGTTTATAGTAGCCACAGAGAAACACTGTAACCCGCAAAGTAGAGTGGTAACTAAGACAACTAAGTGGTACATGCCTGTACTAAAGCATACGCGCTTCAGAGTCTCTGCCCCGGTTGTTCAAACGCTAGATAGATGGCGCTATCCACCAAAGATAATAACCATCCAGGGGATAAGTGTTAGTCAGTATCCAGCGGACAGTAGTGCTTGGCACCTTTTGGGGTCAGCTGTCCAGTCAATTTCTAACCGTACTCAGGCAATGGGCTCCTGCCTCACTTCATTTCTTGAGCCGGTTGATCTTATTGTGATGTTCTGTGATAACTCGTTTACGTGCAGATACATAGACTACGAGTAGTCCCCCATTTTTCCTCAGGGATAGTAGAGCGAGCGAAACGCGAGCGCGCGTGAAAATCACCCCACGCGAGAAATGGCGACACGCGGAAAAATCGGATCGGCTCCTGTACTCGTAGTCCTCGCAGTCTAGCAGGACATATCACATATCAATCCTTGCGGAGTCAGTAAGAAGAAGTTTCTCCATAGTATTTCCTCGCTTATAAAATGACATTGGGTGTATTCTGTGTATGGTTCAATATCATTCAGGTGGGCGATCATGTTGATCATTTTTCAATTTGGTTTCTCACTTTCTCGGCAGTCAAGCTGTGAGTTGGAAGAGCTTATCAACCACATCCTGTCTTAGCCACACCTTAATGCGGCTTTCACTTTTTGTCGATTTGCTGGGTTTGTATAGATATCAGTTGAATAAAACTCCTTCTTATTTATTAATAGTGATTAACGTGAGTCTTTGTTTTTAATTAACAATTCGTTCTCTGTCGCATACTATCACTGGATTTAGTTCCTTGCCCGCATAAACGAAGCGTTTAAAACCTTTTGTGTTGACAAATTATCATGTGAATACAAACATGAATCACTGCATGTATTTATTTCTAGTGAAAAGAAATCGTGACAGTAGTGTTCAGCTGTTATTTCTTGCCTTCAATCGAACCGTGAGGAAGTATGCATTTAGATCTATAAATATCAAGCACGCAAAGTAGCATTGCGGCTATTTTCGTTCGATTGCGAGACAGCCCTACGAGGGTGCTGGAATTACCTCGATTAGATCTCGAGAAAATACCGGTAGTTCGACCAAATATTTTGCGTCTTAAGTAAGTTAAGAAAACAATTGAGATTGTTCAGTAAGAAATTCAATTCACAGCTGGAATCCAGAATGTTACGAAAACCTTTCTAGTCACAGTTCTGTAACAGCGCACTCTTGTGTAACTTGTGAAGGCGTGCAGGCAGAACATGTTTTCAGGATTTGTATATTTTCAGGTTTGTAACTTTTACCCATTTGTAACTGATTAACAGCCTCCGTGAGTCTCTTACCCAAGGACCGTTGCGTGTTTATTTGAGGGATTGTCGGTCGTTGACCCGTACTTTGTTGCCGGAAGCGTCTTAAGAAGATTTCAGCAGCGATAAATCGCTGTAAATTAAGACCTTATCATTCAGAGTGCCGGCGGTAAGTCATGATATATACAGCACCTAATCACAAGACTTTGAACATATCTGTATGTGCTGTCGTCTGTTAATTATCTCTAGAAGAGTAGAAAAGGCTGACATCATGCGTATTTTCTCATTACAGATTCAACACCGTGTATGCTAAACATGGATGATACAAACGGCTCATGGATTCCGCGCGAGCGACAAAATTCAAACCCATTTCGTTTCACCTCTGGTCACGAAGAGGTGCCGAGGAACCACGAGACAGAGAAAAACTGCAACAGTGCTCCATTCAAAGTGCCTGAAAAAGAAGCAAAACCAGCTCCATCTCCCAGACCTGCTAGAAGATCGAGGAAGCTTTCTTTATTTTCGTTTCACTTCAACTCCAAAGAAAAGGAAGATAAAGGGAAAACTCGGCGTGCGTCGCAACCCTCCTACAATTACGGAACGACTCCCTCGCCTACAACTCTCTCAGCACCGATAGAACTTTGGTCGCGCGAAAATACTGTGAGTACTGGTTCGCTGAACAGTTTCAGTAGTCTAGATAGTTCACCCACAAATTCTAGGAAATGTTCTTCAGTAACTTGCCTTGTCGACAGAGAGAACTTGGTCATCCATGACATCATTCAAGAGACACTCAAACTACAGTTTGAGAACGTTATAGAATATAAGCGGGAGATTTGCGATCGCTTGGCGAAAAATGTTTGTCAGCTAGTGAAACGACGTGTGGAGGTGATGAAAGAGGCCACGAAACTACCCTGCAAAATTGTGTCTGTGGTGTATGTTGGGGCTATCAGAGACTACGGGATCGAGGTTTTAAGTCAAGCTTTATTAGACTCAGATAAAGACAATTTTACGGTTGCAAGCTACAGGAATGGAAAAGTGTTTGCTGTTGGCGGGATTATGGTGATTCCGTTGGACAATTAGCTGTTGGCGCGTTCAAAACCTGCAAATTGTTAAGTCTTTTTAGCAGATAAACGGCTGGACAAAACACAGCTAAAGAAAATTAGCTCTCTGTAGGACCCTGCCGGCCGGTCACATTTCGGAATGTTAACGATTCTTCAGGCATGACTACCACATTGCTAGCATTGCGAAAGGCCTACAATCTTGACTCCGGATAATAGAGAGGTTAACTGTCTGTTAAAGAATTAAGAATGCTTCAAAAATCTAGTCATAGATGAACACAATTCCAAAATTGGGCGAATTCAGATAAGGGGAAAAAGTTGTTTTCATGATGCCCTTGCGCGTAGATTCCTGTTCATTTCAATGTCAAGGAGTGATTTTATTGTTTCACTCGCGACAAACATTTAATAAAGAATTTATGAAATCAACCCGTGATAATCTGCTGTTTCAAGCATAGCCGCACTATGATCGAAAGACGGTAATACCTTAAGCACAGATCAGGAGCGTGTGTTTTTATAAAGATCTTCTTTCTATGTCAACAAGTTTATTTTCCTCGTGCTTCACTCATACATGCACGGCTACAAAGTGAAGGGTATTTCGGAAACAAGATGACTACACTTTGTTAGACACGATGACTGAACTGACCGTCTGAATAAAAACCATAGCAAAAACGGAGTTCAGACAAGAAACCCTGTCCATTATAATGTGAGTGTGTAGAACAAAAACTGGGTTTTTTTTCTTCTTTCTGTCTTTGCGAGTGAAAAGTCAACCTCTAACTTGCGAGCACGTGCAATAGCAGTATGAGACATTTAAATGAAACAGCATCTTCGTGCTGAAAACCTTGATGTCTGTCTAATCGAAAGTGCTCTTACTCTATAATCCTAAGGTGATATTTCAAATGGTTGAAAACAAAGACCATTTCGATTGACCCTTGGCACAGACTCAAGACGACAAGAAAAAAAACACATAGAGGAGCTTTCAGACTCTTTAGACTTGTAATTTCGCAGAACATCCAAATCGAGTACAGACTGAGTACTTTGCCTTATCGCCATAAAGATTTTTTCTTTCTCTTCAAATGTCGTGCATTGTCAAGAAGGATCTGGGCGGTATAAAGCCCTGACAATTGTGCTAGCTACTGATCACTTACAGCTTTTGGGAATTAACGGGGCAAGGTTTTCCTCCGTACAGTAATAAATTAGAATTCCGATTAAGTTTTTCAGGCACCAATGTGTCTACGTTGCACTCGGTAGTAAGTGTTCGTGACATAAATGGTTAGAATTTCGCACTGCAACTTAAGTTACAAGGGGTTATAGGGGTTGTAACGATATGTTGCCTGTTTATATTGTGAAATAGGTTTTAACAAGTCCGAAATTCCAGATGTTGTTTGCTTGGAATATCTCTCCCAAGCAATGGTCAATTGAATCAACAAAAGCGGCGATATTAATTGTTCTCCTTCTGAATGAACTTCACTTCAAACCAAGACAATGATCTCTAAATCACTTGTTAAGAAGATTTCTTTGCGTATGCTTAACTAGTAAGATAAGAAAATTCTTGAAATAAAACAGAGAGATCTCGAAGCTGTTTAGGGCCGGATGAATTTAAAATAACTGACTTAACATACTATCTCCCTTTTTTTATCTCAACGCCTTAAAGATCGAGAAAAATTTTAACCGTTTTTTTTCTCCTGGATATGTTTCTAATATTTCCTTTGAATGAAAACTATTTTTTAATTACCTGAAAAAAACCTTAATGCATGTGCCTTTCAAAGGTCTTAACGGAAGCTTTAGTTTTCAAATCTGTCTTTAAAAACACCAATTAGGTATTCTGCACTCAGGGTATACAGCTTAAATTTTTAACAGCTGTAAAAAATATTTACAATGCCAATTTGGCGCACTTTTCAGTGTAAAGCGGCTAATATAATGAAAACAAATAACAAGATTATATCTGAGGTCAACATATGTCCCGTCCCAGGAATCTCATCTAACTACTTTCAACACGTGCCTTTGCAATGTCTGTAATGGGTTGACGGCTGTGTGCATCGGGAGAGGTTAAGTACCCTCCCGAAAGCAATTGGAATACATTTGAATTTTTCTCAAATTTTGCCACATTTTAGCACAGACTCCAGTCCTTTTATTAAAGGTATTTGCAATGGCTGGTTTATCACGTGAGACATTAAAAGTCACGCGAAGGTTTGCGATCTAACCAAACCAGAGTAGCAGGCACGTGCATGATTTCTTCCGGTGTTGTTCGGATTGATCTTTTGCAGCAGTTTGTCTGGACGTAGCATTTTTCTGTGGTTTTGTAACAAGTACTTCGCGTTTGGAATTGTTACATATAAAATTCCACAGACTAGACTAACACAGGAGCCTATTACCCTAGGCTCCAGACTAACATGATAACCTCATTTTCTCTTGTGATAACTGATGGATCTTGGACCTTTAGTAATCCTGTGGCTTGATTTTTTTGAGCTTGTGGTTGAAATTCAAAGAGCAACCTTTTACTGACCCCCGTAATAGCCACTCAATTTTGTTAAATGTCGCTCTTTTTTAGTGTGGTAAGTCGTTCAATCATGAAAGCTTTCCTTGAGCAGAATATTTTAGCTAAGCGCGGTCGCGGTCACTACCATAGTGGTTTCTTATCGTGGTCACTACCATCTCACTTCCCAGCAATTAATACTCGGGTTAGCAGGATCTTAGGATCTTAGTGTTTTAACGTGATGAACAACATATGGGGTGTTTCTAGACTCTCGAGTACATGATCCTTAATGTGATCTTTCGAATGAAATTAATCGAAATTAATGAAATTAATATAATGTTTTCAGTCTGTGGGTAAATCGTTACCTTTAACCATTTCAATGAAACCTGTTCGTTTCGCCTTACCGACCGGAATGTAATTTTAAAAGCGAAACGAAAATAGAGCCTGATCTCAGGTTAGTTGAATGTAGACTGCGGGAAGTCCCTCAGAATGGTCACGTGAGCGAGGAAATCGAGCTAAGCGAGCGAAAGTAAAAAATAAAAAGCGGAGGGTGAAGCTGGAAAGGAGTTTCCCTCTCGACCATTTCACTCTCTCCAGTCCTACCGAGCTTAGAGAGGGACTGCTCGCAGTCTATGTTGAATAGCGTGGGTGGGTCTCTTAACGCCTTAATTGTTCAGTTTCATACCCCGCATCGATACATTGACTTTTAGTAAACTGACTAATGTTTAGAAAACTTTCGCAATACCTGAATATCGGAAAGTACTGCTTTGTATGTTTTGCTTAAAACAGGACAAATTTCATTCAATTCGGACTAAATGTTGGAACTGCAGCTAGAGCCACGTGGCATATACACAGTACATTAGGAAATATTATGTTTTCCATAACCTGAGATCAGTCTCGACCACGTAAGAGAAATGAGAGAATGTATGGAAGATGCTGAAATTAGGCCTGATCTTTGGTTATGTTTTCCATTCCGGTTTGACAAAGTCGGATACAGTAGTCAAAATTGCCTTGCAAGTAGAACGTACCTTTCTCGATGCAGCCCACCTGCGGATCCAGGCCTTCATATATGGTGGGGGACGGTCATCCAGACCCTGAGATAGATAAAGGGGGACAGTCTCCAAAAAAAACATAAAAAGGATAGGTCCTTTGAAACAAAAGAAAGCACATGGCAGGATCGCGCTAAAACTGGCTGCTTTATTGTTGAAGTAGGTGACTGAATGTTCCACAACGGGGTGGGGAGTGGAGCGAAGAGACGGGTGACATTTCAGACCAGCAGCCTGCTGCCGACTAGTTTTGAATCAGTATCCGTTTTTGTCATGAGCATTTTTACAACTGCTACTCGAAAATCCGAAAATTCATGCTTTTTGAATTACGTTAAAACTAGTTCCAGCTTAAAAAAAAAATCTTTTTACAATAAATGTCTCCTGTTTATTTGTGGTAGAAAGCAGACTGGAATTTCATTTTCATTTATGGCTGGAAAATCACCGCATAACCGTTTGTACAGCAAAACTGTAGCCTTATTGGGAGTAAAGAAATAGACAACCATTAACAAATTCAAATGTTAGGGGGAGGTTAAAGTCCCCTATCCCTCTCCCTCTGCGCAGTCCTGAGAGAAAAAGCTATGCTCGCAGCGGCGGTCAGAACTTACAACAGATCCTCAAGAATGTATAGTACTCCGTCCCAGTGAGAGCCCGTTCTTAGTGCCACAAATTTGACGCGTTCCTTCGAGATTTGTAAAGGTCTATATCGATCTATAAACCGGAGAGATGTGTTGATAATTATGCACATGTCATCGGCTTGTCCCGGGGGGTAGACCCGTGGGACAACCAGGGGAATGTGTCGGGGAATACAGGGGGATAGATTGGATTCTCTGCCCTTGGCCGTGGGGAGGGGAAAATTCACGACATTATTTTAAGTTCGAAGGGAAGAGGGTGGGGGAATTGCAAACCATGTAAAATCGCCGACGGTAACCACGGAAATATCATTGGGACTCACCGCAAAAAGGGTTTGAAGTCTTTTAAGAAGTAACTTAGTAAGAGAAAACTTTGAACAAAGCAAACGGGACGTTGAACGAGGCTACCCTTTAACGCTCGTTCAAGAAATACTGACTGAAGTTAAGTTCACCGATAGAAACGAGGCTCCTAGCGACAAAACGAAGAGATTTTACTGTTTGTTACTACATACAACACCTACAATCCGACCACACCGAATCTCAAAAAGATTCTCATGAAACACTGGGACATCATTCAACAGCAACCCAAGCTTAAGCATATCTTTCACCAGCCACCGATTGTCTCCTACAGGAAGAAAAAATCTCTCAGTCAAGGACACTCTAGTCCGCGCGAAAATTCCTTCAATGATCTCGCAACAATCACAAAATCAACGCAGTGGGTTAAAAGTAAAATAGAACTTGGCAAACTGCATACGATCACCTTAACTGACTCCTAAAAACGGCAATCACGCATCCATTCGTTTCTTTAAAACAACCGGGTCAATATATTTTCAGATCTCTTAAACCTGATCATTGAAAAGTAGAACTTGAACTGAGGACTGGTAGGCTTTATCAAAAGATTCATACGCAAATCAAATACAATTAGTAACTGTAATTTTTGAGCATCACGAGGTAGATTCTTTCAGGTCAGTTAAGTAGTCTATGGAAAACCTATCAGTCTCTCCTAACCTCGGTGAATCTGTCTTCAGGTGTTCTTTCATTGTAGTGATTTTTGTTCAGTAAAGATATTATATTCCCCTCTCTAAGCCTAACACAAATGGGTAAAATTTCATCCCCAACTATCATAAAAACGGCCCCTTCGTCAAGTGAATCCCAGTTATATGAGGTGGATATCAGAGGAATTTTTCGTTGACCCAGGGGACTTTGTCTTATTAAATTCCCCCACCCCTGGGGGAAATCCTCAATTTTGCTACACCCATTTTACAATCCTCCTGGTTGGCCTGGGGGTCTACCCCCGAATCAAGCCGATGACATGTGCATTAAACCATTGATGACTGGAAAGTAAGTATTAAAATGTGTTATCTGAAGATACGTATGTTTATTTACTGATAAATGGATCTCAGTCCATTAATCCTCTTAGAATCAGTCATCATGGCTATGCGGCTTCTTTCTTTCCTGCTATATCTGATTTGTTGTTCAGTTTATATTTCTTCGCTTATTTCGTTCAAGGCTGGTAAAGTCTTTTTGCTTTATACTTTATTTAATTCCCCACGAGTTTCGCTTTTTTTTTCTCTTGATGTTTCGAGCGTTGATCATGGTCGCTCCACCCCATGTACGTTTATTGAAACGTTTAGGTAGCTGTTAAGCGTATCTAGGTTTATCACATCTTCGATGAAATTTAATTTCATTATGTATTGGCGACTGAGTGACGATGGAACTACAGAAATCCCTCCGCCTGACGATTAAAGACCATTGAGCACCACGCCAAAATTTGTATGATGGAATATGAAGCATCCATTCATCCAACCATTCTGCAACTGTCGGTCGGTAGCTGGCTCGGTAGCCTAGTGAGGCCGATGTACCATACTACTCGGTATGTTTCTCTATTGGATCTTGCCTCTTCAGCGTCGCTCAACCTCATTCCTCGAGTGACGAAGAAAGAGGACCATAGCAACGAGCTGGGTTAACTGAGACCGGGTCCTTAACAGGGTTCCGTTCTAATCCCGTCATGCCGACCCGAACGCGGCTTTCCCTCGATCAATCCCGTAATCCCGATGTTTATTTTCGGCGACATCCCGCATCCCCTGTAATCTTTCAATCCCGAATCTCGCACCAATTTTGCTTTGAAATCTCGAATAATATCCTTGCTTCTGATGAGGCAAATCCCGTATCCTAAAACACCTGTTGGAGACCCTCTCTTAAAATAATAATAATAATAAGAAGAAGAAGAAGAAGAAGAAGAAGAAGAAGAAGAAGAAGAAGAAGAAAAAGAAAACAAATAAGCAAGCAAATACAACCCGAAGCATAAAAACAAACAAAACAACAACAGCATTAAAACAACAAAAGCAAGGACTAATTTTTTAATTAATTAGTTTAGTTCGTCACATGTGAAAACCGATGAGCTTCTGTCCGTCTGAGGCCGAGACGGACAGGACGTGTTGGACGATCCAAACTCATTCCTGAGACGAAATTAACTGAGCCATAAGTCGAAATTTTCATGAAATTGACTTACTAAGTTTGGTTCGTCTCATGAAAAGTTCGACGTTTGGCCTGGGCCTTAGAGATAAAAAAACAACAATAAAGCCGAGTCTTTCTTTCTTTCGTGAAAATGAGCGCCAGCGAAAAGAAAGCGAATAGGGACACATACGACATTTCTTCCACTTGTTACCAGGGAGTTTCTGGAAGTTTCACCTTGTTGTCGTGCAAAACAACGGCAAAGAAATGAACAGAAAAGTGTGCTGAACGTGCAAAATTGTTTTTTCTGCTAATCTACAATCTACCTACAATCCTGTTTTTCTATAAGAATGTATTTGATAAGACTATCGAGGCTGAAATTTGCAAAATTTAAAGAATATTTAAAGAATGAACCTAAGGCTGAAATTTCGAAAAGGATATTATTTTAAGTGTTGAAAATCTGTAAAATATATTTTTAACTAGACTGTATAAAATTATTGCAAAAAAGCCTCAAAACAAAATATGATTAATTGAAAAAGGAAACTTTGCCCTAATTCATTTAACCCTTCTTGTTTTGGGGAAACTCCGTGAACGGTATTTTTCCACAAGCGAATGCAGTTTGCAGGAAAGTGACGTTTATTTAGTTACTTGTGTACCGAATCTTGAATGGTACAGTATATTTAGAGAATAGGGAAGAAAACTGGCCCGCAGATAGCAATGTGAATAGTAGAAGAGTGATTTGAACTCGTCCTGTCTTCGCAGTGGAGTACGTGGGACACGTTTACCATATGCGAACGCAGGGTGCTTTTGTCGGTCAAAAACAGTTTATAATCAGAACACCTGAAACTGCTTTGGAACGTTGAAGGGAACTAGGGGGATTTGGAAAATTCGGAAAAATCCTGCCTACGCCTCTCCTGGCCCAAAAAACAATATTCTGAAACAAAATAAAGAGTGTATTGATCTTTTTTTTTTCTGTCGTTTTCGTTACCTTCGCCGCTTGCATGATTTATATTTTGTTTGAGTAAACTATGAATGATCATGAATATAAAGGATAGCTTCGCTTTTAGCCCTGGCGAGTAAATCTGTATCCTGATTATTTTTTAAGTCCATACATTGAAATCTGCAAAGCTGATTGACTACGTGAAAATTAATTTTGCAAGACATCTACATGACTTCGATAGAACCCAAAACAGAGCCGGGTTGTAGCTAGCTACTTTTCGCGCGCCAGCTCATACCGCGAAAATGTAGCCTCCGCTCGCAGGATATGTTTAGGCACGATGTTTTTGTACATTTTTTCATATATAAATGTATGTTGACACAGTGATTTAAATATGTCCCCCAGAAGTTTTCCAGGGGCTGGCAAAGAAGGGAATGGAAAAAGCTGATGACCGATTTACAGTGCTCCAAAACCCCGTCCAAAACGCATACTGAGAGAAAACGCCACCCAAACAGCGCAGAGGGAGTAAATGAGCCTTCTGTATTTCAGGTCAGCGTTCTTGATTTGACCCCAGGACCACTCCAAGAAAGAATAAAATGGCGGACCTTTTCAATCGAAATATTTGCAAGAATAATTATTCTCAACCAATCTAACCAATCACAATAGAAGCTAGCAGCTGTTGTTAGGGACACTTAACGTAAAATCCCTTTGTCCATTTGCTTGATTGTTTTCTTGAAGCCTGTGAGGATAATATTCCGAAGGTAGGTATAATACCAGTTTTATTCTACAAATTAAAGACTATACTAAATCAATTTTAATACTTAGACTACTCTTTAGTCTCTTAATAAGGATACAATATGACCTATGATGTGATTGCATATTGAATTGCATATAAGCTTGGTTAAGTTTTCTTGTTAATTTTGTATAATTTGCAAAGAAACTAATTTTTAACACGGTCAATCTACATAATTGAGAGTTAAAGCTAATAGTTCGTAGTAAATGCCCTTTTTCTTCACCGTTCAATACCCTCTATTAACCTTATATTGTAAAGTGTAATTAGCCTTACGTGTCCTTTTTGAATAGCAATTAACTGAAGCAGCGACGAATATCCTAGGTTTACTAACACGTAAATTGTGTTTAGAACAATAAAATTGTTTATTTGACCGTTTATACAATAAAATCAAGCGGACAAGAATTGTATACTGGATGACACAAGATGGTTCAACGAAGCTCAGTTACTAAAACTAAGGTTATGCGAAACATTTAGTTAGATTTCAAGCAAATTAAGATTACTTTTCTTATCGGAAGTTGGTGACACTTGTAACTGATCAACTCTTTTACTTGTTAGACAGCATATATGTCATTAAAAAACATACAAACAAACAAACAAGAAATGACTCTTGAGTACTATTGTACATGTAGGTACAGAAAGCTTTTTTGAGTCAGGCTGCATTCTTAAGGTGTTTCGATACAGTTTTTCGGCGGCCGTACCGATATTTTCAATCGCCTTAAAAGTGGTTTTTCCTTGTCCAATCGCTATAAAATTTTCATCAATAATTGGCTATGGATTGAAATTTGTGAGAATGTAGTTTTAAGTAAAATCGATATTACTATGACAACAATAAACAAAAAACTTTGAAATTGATAAAAGCCAAATTTTGTGTGATCTAGACCAGCTACTGAAAATCCAACACTAGGAACTTAAAGTTTGGTGTTTAACAAACAATCTCTGTGAGATAAGTAAAAAATTCTGTATGTTTGAATAAGACTAAAACAAAAATATATTTCAGATCTTAAGTTTTCAATAGCTGTGATAGATTATTTAATAAAAACATTATAAATGACTCACATTATTCTTAAGTAGCGTCAGAATGCTGCTTAATATCATATTTTGATGCTAGGAAATTTTGGTGTATTTTCATTCTTGCAATCTTGAAAACTAATCCGTTTTCTCACCACCTGTATAAGTGCAACTTCATTCAAAATTTGGACTCTCTGAAATGACTAAAATGAATTTTTTTAAAATCTCTTCACATAATCTTCATGATGTATATAATAAGATCTGAAACTTTCGTAGAGGTTGATTCAAAAATCTGCGCTAAAACATTCACTGTTTTGATGTTATGCTAATTTTTCCAGATTAATGCAGCAGTAGCAGAGGCTACTGTAAGGTCACGTTTCACACTATCACAAGCAATAATGAGTCTTGTTTAGCCTGCCAACAGTATTTTAAACTTCAGATGTTTTCCTTAGCAAGCTGAGCCAATAACAAAATGTGTTCTAATTTGAAAACATGATAACCAATCAGAAAACACCTGCCATATTCACAATAGTAGGTGACGTCACTAGACAACATTTTAATGCTTGGAATCATTCAGACTTATCCCCCATACCCCCGCCCCCCCCCACAGATTAAGGGGTGGAGACCTAAAAATGAGGGGGAAGGTGGGATGAGGACCCCCCTACCTCCAGAGCCTCTTCAAAGCTTAAAAGAACTGATGCATAACTCATATGAAGATTTTTGCTTTCAACATTTTGTCCACAGACTCAAACAGTAGATAATGTTATAAATAAGTGGAATATGATTGTCTAGGTGGTTATCTAGTCCTTTATAGGAATGTTGTTGACAGTTAGTGATGTTTTGACATACTGTGTAGTAGTCATCATCAAATTTAAAGTGAATTGTATCTCGTTAGTCGACAGCATTAAACTCTGTCTATTGACGTGATTGGTCAAACAGTAGCTCAGCCAATAATAATTATTGTGCCTAGTCCCCTCTCTCCCAAGCATTTGTCTAGTGTTGTGTTCCCATGGTGGAGCATTTGTTGTCAAAGGTCTGCCCTGGGTTGGGGAATTTGTCATTTATGAATTAATTTTATTATTTTCCACATACTTTAAAAAAGAATGCTATGGCATATAAAAAATATAGGCACAAGCTTAATAAAATAAGCTTATTGCTTTTACCAAAAACTACCAGAACATTAAGATATTTTGAAGAGAAGAGCACTCTGTTGTCTAGAGGGCTTTTGGAAGTACTGGAAACAATTTTGAAGAGTGCATGGCAAATCTACTACCTTTGAAACAAAGAAGAACATGGACTGAATTAACTTTTGCAAAGTGTTCTGGGCCTGTTACCAGTGATAGGGAAAAATTTGGCCATTGGCTATAAGCAGTGCATACTCAGTAACAATCCTGGGAACAATAATGTGACACATTTTGGCTCCTGTCCCCTTGTTGTTTCTTAAGTGGCAAAAAAACCAACTGTATAATATATGCAAAAGGTTGAGTTTGATCGTCCGGGTGAACGTAGTCCTGAATAGGACTGTTGTTGTTGACAGTGACTGACGTTTCGACAACCTGTGCGGTAGTCATCTTCAGAGTCAAAGTGAGTTGTATCACGTCAGTTGATGGTATTATACTCTAGTTATTGATCTGATTGGTCAATTATGTCGCGATGTTATTGGTCGTCTGTCAGTTAAGCCATGGTGTTATTGGCTCTGAAGACTTGTAATCAGTGATTGGTGTGTTTCGATCTGTCTATTGTCACAGTTAAACAGTCGTCTATTGTTAGTCAAATTTTCAGTTCTCCAGTTGTTCTCTCGTAGTTAGTTTTGCTTGATCTCGTCAATAAGTCGTTTGTACGGCGCTGGTAACTGTTGGCTACGTTTCAGTGGCTTTTGTTCTAAGTTAGTAAACCAGCTTCCTAAAGTAAGATGTTGATAGTAGTCTGTAGAATACGTTATACATGTCGCAGAGTCCCAGTCAATTTGATGTTTCGTCTTTAAATGATGCTCAGCAATGTGATTGTTGATGTCACCATTCCTCGTTGCGCGTTTGTGTTCGGTCAGTCGCGTACTTAGGTTTCTGCCGGTTTCACCAATGTAAGAAGCCTGGCAGTCGCAGCATTTGATCACAGTAACACTGATTCCAACTCTCAGACCAACTTTGGCCCTGTTACGACAGCGACTATACCGTACATCAGAAGCACCTCTGAAACTATTGCACGTATATGACAACCTTACAATATACGTGTTGCGCACGACTGCTTACTAATGTCAAGGACAAAGACAAACCGGAGGACAGACAGGGAGCAGTATACAAGATCAAATGCTGCGACTGCCAGGCTTCTTACATTCATTGGTGAAACCGGCAGAAACCTAAGCACGCGACTGACCGAACACAAACACGCAACAAGGAATGTTTTCTACAGACTACTATCAATGTCTTACTTTAGAACTTAGAACAAAAGCCACTGAATCATAGCCAACAGTTACCAGCGCCGTACAAACGACTCAGTCACTGTCAACAACAACAGTCCTATTCAGGACTACGTTCTCCCGGATGTTCAAACTCAACCTTTTGAAGTGACTCCTGGGTTCAAACCTTTCACAGTTGTATATATGCACTTGTCTTTCAAATATTTCCTCACCATGGTAAAATTTTGCATTCTTAAGACATTCGTCTTCAGGGTCTGTTCAAATCGGGAACACCTTGAAATACAATTATTCTATATTGTAGTTGGTTTTTGTTACATTATTTTACATTAAGAACGTTGTTGTCAATTCTGCAGCCTTACTAGTGAAGTTAATAGAGTTTTGTTCATTTGTGCCCTGCATGAATTTGTGATGCCTCTTGTAAAGAAACATACTATTTCCCTTATCCCCAGGGTGGGGCATTTGCACTTATTCCCCCCTCAGAGGGTTTAATTTAAGAATCTTCAGGGGCGTGGAGAGACTTATAGGCATGCTTGGAATTGATGGATCTTCTTAGTCATGTTCTTATTGGTGGTTTGTTTGTGGGCGGTGATGTTATTGGCTTTGAAGTCTCTAAAATATTGTGAATAAGGTGTATTAATCTGTCATTTACCAAAAAAAACTTCTGTCTCGGAATGTATTGTTATTCTTCTGTAAGCCCATTGGTCAAGTTTGTCCGGGTGGCCCCAATATTACAGCAGTTGCACTCTACAGCAGTTGTAGTTTCAGTTGTAGCAACACAGCCAAATAATCCCCAAACAGGTATCAGACTGCATACAATTCCATTCTGGGGTTAAAGGCTTTTTTGAATTTATCCACTTTTTCTCTTCTCTTCTTTTTCTTCCCGGCCATATGCATATGAGTACTCTGCAAATGGTCTCCACAGCATGGTACCCAGATCTCACAAATGTTCTGTAATGGGTCATAAGAGACCTAACTTTAATCAGTTGTAGAAATGTGGAGATTTTATCTGTCACAATATTTTTTTTACCCAAGTCACCAGGACAATATTAGAAGATTTTGTTTTGCTAAAACCATTTTGGGGGGCTAGTTGCACTGTAACTATGAAACCTTTCTTAGTGCAGACAAGTTATCATCAGAAGGAAACAACAAAATGGACAAGAAAACTGCACCAGAAAAGGTAGAGAAGAGTCAGTCCAGTCTGTTGAACAGGTTCTTCCAGTTTATGACAGCACCAACCGATCCATCAAATCTTGCTGTGATAAGAATCTTATTTGGTAAGGTTGTTTTGACCATTAACGTATAATTTTTACCAAAGTAAAATGTCATTTATTAACTAGCAGACTTGTACGGTCCAGTTGCTATTAGTGAGTTTACGCAACCGGACGGCAAAAAGAAGAGAATGGCAAAACGTTTGAGTGTGACAAATGTTTACAGGGCTATTACTGGTACTTGCGTCTTTTGTCAGGAATTCACTTAACTTTGATGTTTATTGCTCTTCTACAAAAAGATCTGTTTAAAGGAATGTGAAGTTTGGTGGAAGGTTTTTTCAAACAAAATTATTGTCATGCTTGTCACACAAGGTTTGCCGTCATCTTTCCTCTCCTTTCCTGTTGCATAAGTTCACTATTGATTTGTATTTTGGGAGTGAGTAAAGATTGAGGTTAGATTGAAGCAACTGACTTATCTCTCTTCACAATCCTCTTCACTTCCGAAATCAGATAATGATTACCACTTTGGAAAACTCTGATATAAATATGTAACATTTGCATTGTGTTTGAAAAGACATTAACAGCAAAACTGTTCTCTACTGCATATAACAACAACCTAAACTGTATGACTTGTGATTAATGTTTGCTGTTGTACCTCAGTAGAGTTAACACTTTGGTTCAGGTAACCATAATCTGCTTCACCTCAACAGTCAGGAGCACCCAACGTCAATTTTTGGAAAATATCTGTTCAAAAGGCGATTTGAGATCTAGAATTTTCAGAACATTTGTTGTAAAATTTCTGGCTTGCTTGCCTCTCCTAGGATTTTTGAACATCTAAGAAATGGTATAAGTGCCCATTTTTAACGGATTTTTACCCTGAAAAGGTCACATAGAATTTTCGGGAGCCTTTTTCCAGCTGAAATTTTCGAAAAAAATAAGTTTTGATCCTTATAATTTTCGGATCACTAGACTTTCAGCTGGGAAATCCGAATAAATGAAACATTTTTAGGGGATTAAAATATTCCTACATCTACCATTTAAATACTAAAATACGTTCAACAATGCTATGTTTAAGTGGTCTTAATTATTCTTGTTGGGTGCCCCTGAACAGTGCTACCATCCTTAGAATAGATTGGAAGATACTGTTTAGTGTATAACGAATTACCGGTATTAAAAACTAAATAACTGGATAATGATTGGCGTAGCCATCATGGTAGATAAGCCATTATACCATGCTCTCCAAATACTGGTAACTGTATGCATCTGCTGAAAATCAGTTGTTTTTACAAATAAAGTATTACATTCCACTCGCACTTGTTGGGTATGAGATGATTATAGCCAACTTGGCACTATGCGCCTCATTGGCTATCTACCATCTCATATCCAACATGCACTCATGGAGTAATTTTTAATTATCACTCTAATTTTTATCTTGCAGGTCTACTTATGATTCTCGACATTCCTCAAGAGCGCAGTTTGCTGTTCATTCATAAACATTTTGGTGATGATACCTGCCATTTTCCATTGTTCAATTTCATTCAGCCACTGCCTGTAGACTGGATGCATGTTGTTTATCTGATAATGTTCCTAGGAGCTTGTGGAATTTTTCTTGGATTCATGTTTCGCCTGAGCTGCTTTTCGTTCATGATAACATACTGGTATATTTTTCTGTTGGAGAAGTGTCGATGGAATAACCATTCTTATCTCTACGGACTGATATCTTTTATGCTTCTTCTGAGTGATGCCAATCGTTACTGGTAAATCAGATACTTATTCCCTATCTCCATTATCGCAATTTTAGCAAAAAAAAAACGATTCACAAGAAAGTCAAGAAAATTTTGTCACACACCAGAATAATCACTATGATACCCCTATTTAAAAGTCAAGTTCGGATGGGGGTGGGGGGGGGGGCAGGAGTTTCCCCCGTGACCATGACCACTACCCCCAGGTTGTCTTGGTTAAAGCCTTGACTTTAATTACTATTAGACTTCGAGCACTGACCCTTTTATTCAGATCAGTGGGCCTCACAACCAGCTGATTTATGATTTATAAAAGATAAGCCATAAAAAATGAAGATTCTTACATGCTGTAATAATGAGTAATAAGGTTTATTTTCGTTTCATTCCAAGGTCTCTAGATGGACTTTTCAATCCAGAAATAAAGAATGCTCATGTACCAAAATGGAACTATGTTCTGCTGCGTTTTCAGGTATTTTTTTTGGTATATTCTACAGATACAAATGCCTCTTAGCAAACAAGTTGAAGCTCTGTGTTGTTAGTTAAAATATACAGCAAAACCAATGGGAAGGAATTCCGCATTAATTACAACTTAAATTGTAACTCTAAAAACGTGGTTTAACTTATTACTTGTAGGGTATGTGGCATTCAATATGTTGGATCCACTACCACTACTTTTCGGTCTAGGTTCAATAATCACAGAAGTAGGATCAATGCCCATCTCAAGTTGTCTTCTGAAAATAAGAGGAATGACGATTTTCTTTACCAGCATTTTCATAGTTCGGGACACTTAGGATTAAGCCATTTAACTATACAGTTAATAGACAGAGCCATGGGGGAGAGGGAGTTGCGGAAGAAGGAGGGACAGTGGATGTATAGATTGAGAACGTTGCACCCTCAAGGACTTAATGAGGATGATGGTTTTTACGCCCAGAACCGCAAGACGCGCGCGGGCGCGCGCAGGAGATGATAGTGTCATCTATGACATTTTCCGTTAGACGTTTAAAATAACAGTCATTTCAGTTGTGATGCGCGCGCGTTACCTTCGCAATTCAGCAATTTAAAAGTTCTGTACGTTAACGGCTAGTTAGTCACCCTGAAGAAGATCACTGAATGTGATCGAAATATAGGTGGATTGAAAGGAAACTGTTTTCTGTCTTCATTTGTGATTAAGATATATATATATATATATATAAAATAGTTGGTTGCTACCCACACGCTTTTTTTCCCTTGAATGTTTGGGATTTCTGGGCTATTAATCAAAAGTAAAGCGAATTCCCATAGCAAGTTACCGAGATCTTCATTATATCACTGGGCAGTGGTCATCTGCCGCAAAGAATACAAAAGTGGGCTTTGTGACATAGACGGGACCACTAATGGACCACCACAACTGTACTAACTGTTTGATTAGCAGGTTCATTAGTGATAAATTATTTGCTGGTGGAAAAATAGTGAATGTGAAAAGTCTTAAGTCTTTTTAACAAGTTTCATTTTCCCTGATGACTTTCGGGCTTTTTTCATTATTCAAGGGTTTATTTTTTCTTCGTGTTCTACCGTCGCGCGTGTCTTGCTTTCCTCGGTTGCCTCGAGCTTGCCTTAGTCTGCTACACGGCCTCTTTTAGTGTCGTCACGCAACGCTCCTCCCCACTAACTTAACTAACTAACTTAGTGGGGTTGAGCGTTGCGTGACGATACTAAGAACGGCTGTGTAGCAGACTAAGCTTGCCTTCGGTCGTCTGAAAAATGCGAAATGATAACGCCTGTTTTGCAGGCTATCTCTTCTCCCGCAAAAATGTCGCTTGCTTGTCTTAAAGAAAAAAATCCATTTTACTCTGAGAAAGATCAGAGACTGAACTTGTCCTTATGCTTTGCGCCCAGTTCGTCTTTTGAAATTGACCTTTTTTTTTTCCTATCTCAGATTTTCCTTGTATATTTCTATGCTGGCATTAAGAAGATCGATATGGACTGGATGACAGGCTATTCCATGACTGGCCTTTCTCGCGAATGGGTCTTTGATCCCTTTCGTTTGTTTCTTTCTGACGAAACAATTGACTTGTTTCTAGTTCATATTGGCGGATTAGCATTCGATCTCTCAGAGGGTTTTCTTCTTGCTTTCGACAAGACCCGTCCTATTGGAATATTTTTTGGTGCTATGTTCCATGGTATGAATTCACAGATGTTTGAGATTGGTATGTTTCCATACGCCATGATGGCTACCTTGCCTCTGTTTTGCGCTTGCAACTGGCCAAAGAAGGTTTTATCCTTTCTACCTACCTTCATGGCTAGGATTCTACCATCGCTGGATGATCCTCAAACTAGTACACACTGTGTATATCCAGTATCCACCGTGAGTGAAGATAAAAAGCAGCTTGATAGAGAGAAAACAGCAGAGAAAAATCAAACCCCCGGAACAAAACACAAAGCTCTTGTGTTAATTGTACTAACTTACATAGGAATACAGCTCTTCCTTCCATATTCACACTTCATAACTAAGGTAATTTTCTCCTTTATTTCAGTCATAGCATCTTAAGTTTACTCTGATGACACTAGTATATTTCTACAGACTGTTTCTCCATCAAAAGTAACCCTAAGGTCCCGTTCATATGTAGAAAACTTTTCCCGGGTAGAAGAAGTAGAGGGCTTACTCGCCTACCCGCGTTAACCCTGAGCCAACTTTTCCCATCTTTCGTCACAAAATTTGTCAACCATCCACATGAGGAACAAATAGTTGGCTCTGCCAGAACTTGAGGGTAACCGGATCACCCTTTTTCGAAGGTAGGGTCACCCTCTTAGTGGGGCCACTTTTTTCCATATAAACACTTTGGCTCAACCAGCCAAGTCAACTCAGTCAAGGTGAGACAATCAGAGCTTGTGTGAGCGCTGTTGTCAGCTCTTGGCTCCGGTAAAGGGGTTATCTTATTTCTCATATAAACGCTCGCTGAAGTTGACTGGCTGGGAGGGTGACCCTCTTCACCGGGACAAAGTTTCTCCGTATAAACGGGACTTAACACTAATATGGAAAAAATTGAAATGCATTTTTTCCTCCGTTTTTTTAAAGGATGAAATGTCTTTTTTCCACCCTAATCCGGAAGAATTGAAAACACAACGCTTTCAAGAAACCATTAGATTATCGTGACGTCAGCGTTTTCGAAAAGTTCCGTTTTCCAAATGTTTTCCGTCCACACAAAAAAGCAAAGCCGGCGTTTCAAATTTTTCCACTTTGATGAGTTTTCCGAAAAATCCTGATTAGAGTGGACAGCAGGCCTAACCAAAGGAAAAAGATGCGTTTTCAAATTTATCTGGTGTAGTCTCAGTGGACAGTACCTGAATGCACATCGTTCTCATATATTCTAGCCTGTTCCAGGCTCCTACATAATGGTTAAAAGTCGTTCAGTAAAAAGAAATGCGAAAAACGCTGGGGGCATTTTTCCCGCCGCCACGCCGCCTCCTTTCCCAAGTCGCGTGCGTCTTATTTTCGCTTTGCTCGTTTTAATACGTCCCCACTATCTGAGAGCCTGGCACAGGCCACGTATATTCCAAATTCACCATTTGATTTCGTTGTGTAAATGACACCCCTCCACGTGAAATCTAATTCTAACATTATGCAGGATGTTTGTGACATGAACCCAGCTTAGTAACTTTTGCTTCCACGAGTCTCCCGTAGCTTAGTTATAGAGCATTAGGACTAGTAACCAGGCCCCAGTTGGTCGAAAGGTGGATAACGTTATCCACTGGATAAATCTCTAACCAGTGAATAACGCAATTGGTTTTCCTAATACTTATCCACTGGAATTAACAATTATTCCTCGAGCCCGACGGCCTCATGGGCTATTGACTCAGAGGACACGAGGACGAGAGGAATAATTGTTTTAGTAGAATCCAACTAGTTGGTCAAAAATATCGAGACAAAACAACTATAGCTAGCAAAACGCGATTCAGCCGCCATTGTATTGGCTTTTAAAGCCGGCGCTTTTTGCTACTAGTGAGCTATAACATATAGCTTAGTAGTAGCTCCACCAATCAGAACGCAGCATTGATAATAGACCACTAGTTGGATTTGACTAAAACGATTTATCCGGTAGATAGCGCTATCCATGACCTTTTGTCCCCTGTTGTTCAAACGTTAGGTTCAACTCCTATCGGGCGAACTCGAATTTCGTCTTTTACGAGTCATGTGAGGTGAAACTGATATAAAAAGCATAATTCTCAATCAGCTTATTATCTTTTCTGTTGCAGGGATATAATTCGTGGACTCAAGGTCTGTATGGCTACTCCTGGGACATGATGGTGCATTCATGGAGTACTCAGCATGTTAGGGTTAAAGTAGTGGACCAGGTGTCAGGAGAGGTCACTTTTATAAGGCCCACGGTATGTCAATTAGGTGACATGATCCACGTTTCAGTATCGTCTAACACTTGCTCAACAAATGTTAGCCGATTAGCAGGCTTTTCAATGACCAAACGTTACATTCAAGATTTTGTGTCCTGAACAATTGTTGGTCATTAGTAGTTAAACAGCGCGTTGCTACGTGTTATTGCGGGCGACGAGAGGAGCCCGCAATCCTAATCTCTAGGTTGTTGTTACGCATGCGTCGCATGTATGTAGCCAGCATTCGTTTGGACTTCCAGTAAGAATGTTTCGAATGCACAGAACGCGCTTTGATCAAGCGCGTTTGTACCTTCTATCACTCGTAATCTGATCACGCGTGTTATGACCATCTTTCACGTGAACCCTACGCAAAGCACAGCGCCGGAGCAAAAGCGTTTTGACTTTCTATCGTTGTTACCCGCACTCCGTCATCTTTGGTTATTACCTAATTTATATTTAACATTAGTATTCTGGTTTTAAGTTCACATGAAAAGTAACACAAGCTAAGTAAACAGAAGAACAAGATGGCATAATAAAGAAATGCATACTGTTGTCCTCTCAACACATGACGGGGTACACAGCCCTATGGCAAGTTATGCGCACAAATAACACATAGCTTCAATTAAAACCACACTACCATGGAGTAGGACAAGAGTTATGGCATAGCATTGCTTTTATATGTAGAAAGTGTCCCCCCAAAAAATCGAAACTTAAATTAGAGCGTAATGCCAGCTTTCTGGGACATGGAATAGGCACAACCGACTGAGGTGGTCGACACTCAACTGAGATGGGGGACTATATCAGCAGTCTCTAAAAAGAAAAAAAAAACCCATTTGGCGGATTTCAATCCAGAGCTCTGGTAAAGTTTCGATTCTTTGTGGAATTTTTACAATTAAATCCATTTGCTTATTATTTGTTTTAAGGCGTGGCTAAGAGAAGGAAGGATGAGACGCTGGAATTCTCATCCAGATATGATCAAACAGTATGTAAACTGTATGGCTGAAAAGCTTAAAGCCTTCAAAGAACTCAATATCACTGAGCCAGCGATCTACCTGGACGTGTGGCGATCAATGAACAAACGTTTTCAACAGCGTATGGTCGATCCCACCGTAGACATCGTGAAGGCTCCATGGTCGCCATGGAAACACACCCCTTGGATGCTGCCATTACTTACAGAGCTTTCACCATGGCGCGAAAAGTTGGCTCAGATAAGAAAGGAGTTGAAAGAGAAGTCAAATTTTAGCGAAATAACGTTTGTTTCTGATTTTCCTGGCCTTTTCTTGGAAAATTTTGTGGCTGAAGACCTTAACACGTCGTTAACTTTGTTACATGGTAGGAGTTAAATGCTTTTTGGGAAATGATATGTTTGCCTACCACAAAGTTTAGCAATGCAACTCGAAGAGGACAGAGTAAAAATAATTGTTGTTGCTGGAAATATTTGAATGTCGTAACTGTTCATGAGAAGGACTGATGACTAAAATGTGTGCAATTCTACAACTAGTTTCGGCTTATTAAATCCTTCAACAAATCCTTCATGCAATGGCATGATAAATATTTTCGATGAACAACTGAAAACTGCTCTGTTTCTCCAAATGAAGCCAGGTTGTGTGTCGAAGAAAAAGTAATGCCATATCGTGCGAGAACAACTGACCAACCGCAGCGCTTGAATGTTGAGCAGTATTCTTTGGTAACTTTCCCCCAAAATGAAGTTATAGCGGAGCCCCAAAACTAAGACAATTTGGTTATCTGTCCATCCAAGAAATTTTGGTGGTCACGTGACCGTTCGTCCGACCATCCGTCTGAACCACAGGGTAACCAATGTGAAATCTCACACGTTCTAGCTAGTGTGAGAGCCTGCAACATGATATTGCATATTCATGTTGTGGTCAAATAACGGCTGCCAAAACTGGTATCCACTAACCAGTGTCACATGACCATATCGCGGGCTCAGGTTATCCTCTGACAAGTAACTAGTTTTCAACTGATCTCAGGCTCAACTCCAAGTATATTTGTATTTGTTACAAGTTTATTGTTTTAAGTAAATTATAATTTTATTAACGGGAGCTTCGCCTTTAGCCTTGGCTAAATCTATTTAATATATATACTAAAACAGTGGATAGTGTTTTTCGCCCGCTCTGATTGGCTACTCAACCTCCGGATATCCAGTGCTCTACACTGATTCACCTCCAGTTCCTCCCAGCGAGCGACGCCAAACTCGCGTAAGTTACAAGCAAACTGGCTTCCCGCGGTTTGCTGCCGTAACAAACAGACAAATTTCACAAATAATCAAACAAGCTGTTCCCGAAATACACGAAACATGTGACAAATTCGGTTTGGAAGTTTTAACAGGTAAAGCTTTGTCTGTTTGACTTGAATTTATCGATGAAACCGGTAAAAAAGTTTTTTGTTTACAAATGCACATTATGTCTTGCGCTACCTTATTCAGCTGACATGTTCGCAAATAAGCCTTAAACTAGATTTAATAGTTTTTTTACAGAGTGGTTTTAAATACAAAAAGAATTCACATTTCCTTTTGAAGAAATCTCCCCGCAAAAGCTAAACAAATGCCTTCAAAAAGTTATATTTGTTGGCAAGAAAACGCAACGGCCGCCGCTTTGGTCATTGCGCGCCAAAATTGTTATCGTTGGCAACAGTAAATGAGTTAAAAATCATCATTTTTGTGCTCAATTATCTCACTGTTTTAGTATATACTAAAACAATTATTCACCTCAGTGTCGGTGGCTTGTGGGATATTTACCAAGCCTCGAAGCGGCGAGGTAAATACCACCACTAGCCACCTCCACTTCGGTGAACAATTGTTTAATATTAATCTATTTTCAACTTTTTCACTCTTTTGAGGTTAAACATCACGGTGATAGCTGCTGATGAAGCGCGTTCATTCATTTTCTTAGGGCAAGTTAAGGTGGAGTTTAATAATGCAAACCACACTGTAAACGTTGGTGAGGAAATCACTGTGCCATCAAATGACACTCACTTGGTATACACTGTGTCTGATACGCCATCATGTTGGATGTACATTTACATGAATACGACCGAGTGGAACAACGAGACCATTAGAAATTGGATTCTTTACCCAGGTATGTTAAATGTGTTTATTCAGTTGAAGCAGTTATGAGAGGGATGATACTGAGAAGGCATGGTTCTATGCAGTAGATAATGGAGACCTTGAGATTCTAAGACGAGGATGACTACGACAACGAGAGTTTCTAGGGTGGCTTACTACTGTTTTCAGATGAAAAATATCGACATTTTGAAATTGAACCATTTTAGGGAACTGAAGGCCTCTACAGCGCTGTTAGTATCTGCAAATGATGTAAAATATCTTTTTTCCGTCTAACAAAATTATTGCGTTGTTTAACGCGAAATATAGTGACCGAGCACCCAGAAAGGAGACTAGAAACTAGATCTTGAAAACCTAGCCGTACAACCCCATCTCAAAATTTCAGGATTTTTTCAGTAGGTAGATATAATTGTTTGTAGAGAAAAAGTAATAATAATAATAGTAAAACAGAAAAATCTGTTGGTTGTCTGTGTTTTCTTTCAGTTTCGCTCGTTTCTACTAAGTTAACTTTCAAAGTATACTAAATTATGAAAAACTAGATCCAACCAGTTCAATCTTGTCTGAGCGTTGAACCAAGGTAATCTTGTTCCCAGATGCCTTGTTGGCGTAGCCAAAGAGAGGTCTGGGTACGAGATTAGCACCGAGTCGCCCATAACATGAGCTGAGAGGGATTTGAGATCTCCAAACATATGAGTAGAAGTTTCCCGTCTACAATACAATACAATACAATAAGAGTTTATTGTGAAAATACACTTAGCTACAATAATGGTGTGCTTTCACATACGGAACCGAAATCGGGGTCAGTGAAAGCACGCCAGCTAATTTACAGGTATTCCACAAACACAATAAAATTAAGAGTTAAAAAACTAGATATGGAATATTCTATAATTAAAATTATAACAATAAAATCTTAATAACTATATCTTATATCTAAATAAATACTAAATTCAATAAAAAAGCGTCGAAATTATAAAAATTGCACTAAGTCAACTTGGCTAATGGATCTCTTAAAAGACTTAAAATTCGTTATATTTCTAAACGTGTTCGGAATTGAATTCCAGAGTTTCGGACCAATATAACGGACAGAGTTCAAGCCATATGTAGTAGACTTTGGCTTGGGTAGCGAGAGGATACAGTCACCTCTTAAATTGTAGCTAACGTTCTTCCTTTTTTGAATAATTATTTGTCTTATTTAATCCATAGAAACAATTCCGCAGAGACAGGAATATAAATTGTTAAAGGAAAACACAACCCGTTTGGAGTTGCTTAAAGCGTTTGTGGCCAATAAATACTTCATATTCAGACAAAGTTTTGTAAACACATACTACGCTCTGACCCATTTGACCCTCGGGATTGAAGAACCGATGGAGGACGAAGAGGATGATTCCACTGCCGCGGAGACTGGGTACGAAGCAGATAAGAAAACAGATGATGGAAACACCTTATCTAGTGCTGACGACACAGGTCACGTGGCTGATGAACCACGTGACAAAGCCACTGGCCAGGAAAGCGATCATCACAAACAAGAACTTTGAAAAGATTTCTAATCATGCACTTAGTCCAATAACTAATATGGTTTAGAGTCCTATTTCAAGTGTGGTTTTTATTTAAAGGAGTTGTGTCACGAGATTTATCACAATTCAGATTTGTGGGAACCTCCACCAAACTAAGTGAAACAGGAAAATAACTACCCAGAACGTAAAAAGAAGGTAGAAATAACACAACAAATGTAAAAGGAAGAACGGATGGACAAACTTGAAAAACACTGAAACGGATTGCAATTGTCGTTTTTTAAAATTTGTTAGCTCGGCAGTTTTTCAAAAGCTCATTTTTGTTATCTTTATCATTTGATATAATGCTTGGGAGACATATTTGTTTCACACGAAGATGTGATTTTGTAATTCACAAGTAACATCTCAAGTTCCATAGCGAATAAAGACGCGTGATTGGGATTGTCAACAAAAAAAAGTAGATCACCGTGACAGGGCCCCTTTTAATAAACGCACTTTATAACTTAACTGTACTGATTCCAGTTGACACTTGTATTCTGTTTCCGAGCAGTGGCGGATCCAGGGGAGGGGCCTGGGGGGCCCGCCCTCCCCCCTTATTTTTAGACCAAAATGAGGCCCGAAGGGCCGAAAAAAAAATTGGGAGGGCCGGGGCCCCCCCTTATCTCAGGGTCTGGATGACCACCTCCCTCCCTCCCTTATCTGAAGGTCTGGATCCGCCACTGCCGAGTACTATAGAAACCAGTCTTCCTTGTTGATATGATCGCGCATTACACAAAAGTGGCCTGCTTCTTAGTTCCTCGGCAACCGTTATTCCCTCGTGAGAGCAAAATTCTTTCAAACAAATTCCGTGGCTATGGCTGGTACAATGAAAATAAGGTATGGAAGTCGAATAGACTCATTCAACATTATCATCGCTGATACAATTTCTTTCATTTTTTCTTTTTTAAAAGTGGTTCTACTTAACGACACTAAATGAAATCAGCGTCCTCTTGCATTTGAACCCGGCTTGTCCTCTCGCTATTGTTTTTCACGAGACAAAGTTATCTTACTACAAGGGAAGCTGGAATATTCGGATATTCTATCCAGGCTTTGCTTTAAAAGCATGTAAACTGAGTTTGTGGTTGCCTTTTATCCATCTAAGTAATCTTTACAAGCCTTACTTGAGTTTTCTTAAAGTTAAGCAGTGGCACACACAGCAGGGATAGTGGTAGATAGATAGCCTTTATTTTTACACGGTAGATTAGAGAGCTGAAAGCTTGTGGGTGGTGTGTAAAATACTGCTCCTACTACTACCACTACCACCACCACCACCACTAACACGAGCGCTACCGCTACCATTACCACTACTGCCACTACCACTACCACTAATAATAACATTAATAATAATAACAATAATTATAATAATAATAATAATTATAATAATAGTAATAATTATAATAATAACAATAACTGTTCCCGCAACCAAAAAATATCCACCAAACCAAAGTAGGAACAATTCTTGACTGTATTAGTTTCCAAATAAGCTTTACAATCGTATACAGGCAACCATCCAAAACTGAACGAGCGAACAAAAAACACTCTTCCAAAAGGGCTAATTTCGCTACAGGGCGTCTTAATAGACCAAACTTTGTCTTCACTTCAGCTGATCTTGCAACATTGTCAGATCCAGGGAAAACGGTCACAATCCTGCCAAGAGGCCAGCACCCTCTTGGAGTTCCATAGTCAACTATGAGCACGAGGTCACCAACCTTCAGGTTAGGTACAGCTTGGAACCATTTCTTGCGGGCAGTTAAACCAGGTAAATACTCATGCAACCATCTTTTCCAAATGTGGATGGTGATGACTTGCGCTTGTCGCCAGCGCTTTTGGCTTGATATCTCCTTGTCAGCGAAGATTCCAGGTGGCAAGTTGGGGGTTGCTCTGCCAATGAGGAAGTGGTTGGGGGTTAACGCTTCAAGATCGTCCGCATCTAAACTCACTTCAGTCAATGGAAGACTGTTGAATAGGGATTCAACTTCAGTAATTGCAGTTAACAACACTTCATCCGTCAGAACTTGATTCTGCAGAACAACGTCAAGGGCTTTCTTGCAGGATCTCACCAAACGTTCCCATACTCCCCCCATGTGGGGTGCTGCAGGAGGGTTGAATACCCATTGAATTCGTTCTTTACTCAGCGCGCCTGCAATTTTGTCCTGATTCCACCCATTAAGTCACTCTTGTATTTCGCGATTCGCCCCAACAAAGTTCGTACCATTGTCAGAGTATATAACAGTCGGCTTACCTCTCCTTGTGATAAACCGTCGGAGAGACATAGTGAAAGAATCAGTAGACAAGGAGTAGGCGACTTCGAGATGTACTCCTCTAGTTACAAGGCAGGTAAAAAGGCAGCCATATCTTTTTTCTTGCTTCCTGAGGTGCTTCACTTTCAGAAGTCCAAAGAAATCTACTCCAACCTTTGAGAATGCGGGTGCAACCTGCAGGCGGTCGGCGGGTAGTCCCGCCATTAAAGGTGGTTCTGGCTTTACTCTTCTCCTTCTGCAGTATGAACATCGGTTTAGAATCTTCCTTACAGCTTTACGGCAACGTAGGATCCAATAATGTCGTCTCAGTTCGTTCCGAACATGTTCAACACCTTCATGCCTCACTTTCTCATGACAGTCCATAACGATGAGGCGACTCAACTCATTATCAGGTGATAACACAATGGGGTGTCGACTTGAGAATGGAATATCTGCCCTTTCGATCCGTCCACCAACACGAACAATTTCGTCTCCATCGAGGAGGGGAGAAAGAGAGGCCAGTCTACTCTTGGACGAGACCTGCTGGTTTCTCGTGAGGGTTGCAATCTCTTGAGGGAAACTTTTCACTTGGGCGTTGCCGATCCAGAACTTTTGAGCACGCTCCAACTCCTCCACTAGCAATCGACCACTTTGACGGTCAGTCCTTCGACATCTGCAGTTGTAAACATGTCGTGTTAGGGATGAATACTTGGTTAACGAAATGAACTCTTCTTTTGAAGTTAATTTTGAGCTTGCGATGCACTGTACGCTGAGGTCTCTTGTTTCTGCTGGCTGGAGGATTCAAGCTTTGAATTTCCCTTAGGCCACTTTTCTTCAGAAAGGGTTAAAAATACAGGACCATTCAACCATCTACTCTCTGATGTGATAGCTGTGACTGGAAGTCCTCTGCTACCATCGTCTGCTGGGTTAAGAGCACCAGGGCAATGATTCCATTGGCTTGTTTCAGTTGTGTCCAGAATCTTCCCAACTCGGTTCGCAATGAAGGCGGGGTGTCGCTTGGATTCACCACGAATCCACTGAAACACAGTGCTACTATCAGTCCACAGGTAGGTAGAGTCTATCCTGTAATTATGTTCCTTGATTACCACAGTAGATAAACTTGCACTTAAAACTGCAGCTTGCAGCACTAGTCTAGGGATGCTCAAAGGTTTCTTGGGAACTACACGCGTCTTAGCTGTTACAAAGGCACACTTGACAGAACCATTGGCATAACTGAATCTGAAATAGGCTACAGAACAGAATGCTTGTTCACTTCCATCACCAAACACATGAAGCTGGATAACGGTGGGACTGTCTGAAACATGACGGTAAAATCGAGGAACCAAGAATTCTGATAGACTATCCAGCTCTTTCTGCCATTTGGACCTCTCTAAGAGGAACTCTGATGGAGGAGTTTCATCCCAGCCAATACCAAATTGCCACTCTTGTTGAAGGAGGAGCTTCGCTCTCACCAGGAATGGAGCCAGGAAACCAATTGGGTCGAACAATGACGCTATCAAACTCAGAATCTTACGTCGCGTGTCTGCTATATCTCTTTTCACCACTTTATAAACAAAACAGTCCAATCTTGTGTCCCAAATGACACCGAGAGCACTTTCCACAGGCATAACAATTTCTTTCTCTACCACCTTGATGGAGGGGGCTCTTTCTGATTCTGGTATACGTTCCATCACCTCTTTCACGTTCGAAACCCACTTGGTCAGGTTAAACCCAGCACGCTTTAGCATCACAACAAGTTGCTGTTGGAGTTCAAGTGCGTCACTTGTCGTCTTTACAGACTTAAAAAAATCATCCATATAAAAATTGCGCTTAACAGCACGAGCAGCAATAGGGTACTGCAGTCCATTGTCCTCTGCCGTCCTTAAAAGGGCACAATTAGAACACGTTGGTGCACACTTAGTCCCAAAGATATGTCGCAGGTACTGATAGACTTCAATTTCAGACTCCGGTGATTGGCGCCACAGAAAACGGAGGGCAGCTTGATCCTCTGGTGGGACAGCAACTTGGTTAAACATTGCCTCTATGTCTCCAGAAAGGGCAACTTTTTCTTCTCTGAATCGCATGAAGATTCCAACAAGATTGTTCAACAAGTCAGGTCCACTTACAAGGTGACTGTTCAATGAAGACTCCTTGATACTTAGCAGCTGCATCACATACACGTCTGACCTTTCCAGGTTTATTAGGGTCAAGTACGGGATGGTGAGGGAGGTACCACGTACGCTTTGCTTGGTCAGCAGTTTCCTCTTTGGTGAGTCTCTTGATGTACCCCTTTTCTAGGTCTGTGTCAATGGTTTTCTTGTAGGCTTCGCCCAACTCAGGATCACGTTGAAGTCTATTCTCTAGAAGAAGTCGGTGAATACCCACAACACGATTGTCAGGAAGTTGGATGTTTTCGTCCTTCCAAAGCAGCAGAACCTCGTAACGACCTTCTACCTCATGCGTCCGCTCACTCAGGAACTTTAACACCTTTTCATCTTCGACAGAACGCTGCACATCACAGTCATATCGACATCCAAAGTTCTCGGTCCGCCACCAAGTTTTAACTGTTTCATGAAGCACTTCATCAGGGGTTGCCATATGAACCTTGTAAACAGATTCACCGTCTTCAATATAACCAGGTAGACGACCAGAAACAGTCCACCCCAATTTAGTGCGAACACCAACAGGAGAACCTTTGGGTCCACATCGAGTCTCAAGAGGCACAATAAGTTCTGGGACATCACTTCCAAGGAGTAACGCGACTCGAGTTACAGAAACTTCAGTCAACTCTAAGTCTGCAAGGTGTGGCCATTTCTCTTGTAATTCTCTGAAATTCACTCTTTTTTCCGGCACGTTCAGGCGACCAACCACTAGAACTCTGTGCACATCAAACCTTGTACCAAAGTTATTCAACTGACTAACTTGAACATCAACACGCTTAGTCAGCAGCCTTGATGATTTCTGAATTCCATTCAGCAGAACAC